CAGGTGGTGACTGCTGCACTCGGTCTCCTCACCTCCAGCCTTGCCACTTCAGAGAATGCCAGCATGCCATCGTGTCCATACTGCAGGAGGATGCAGCAGCAGCATTAATTTGTTTGTAGCCGTAGCCGTGTGCTATAGATTCTGTGTCTTTTGTAAACTTGGTCAAACTTTGTAAATATTGCAAATAGAGAGCAGAAGTAGGAGGGAGAGGCCTTTTTCTTTTAAACCCTTTTCTCCTGTTTTTGTTCCTCAGGTAGATAGGTAAGATTATTGTCTTTTATTTACTTTTTCTTTTCGACAGGGAAGTCAGGGTTAATTTAGAGTGTCCTTTGCTATTTTGGCACGTCTCCCTCTTTACTGAAAAAAATAAAGAAACTGCTCATTTCTGAGACTCGGTTTGTCTTCTTTGGAGTGGAAAGACTGGTGGTGTTATGCCAAAGCTTCCCCTAGACCGGGGAATAACAGTGGATGTTGGTAGATGTCGTGGATGTTGGTGGATGTTGGAGGATGTTTGTACAAGGTGGTGGATGTTAGAACATGTTAGTGGATGTTTGGAACATGTTGGTGGATGTTGGTAGATGTTGGTAGATGTTGGTGGATGTTGGTGGATGTTGGTGGATGTTGGTGGATGTTGGTGGATGTTGGCTGATGTTGGAGCATGTTGGTAGGTGTTGGTAGATGTTGGTAGATGTTGGTAGCTGTTGGTGGATGTTGGTGGATGTCAGCATGTTAGCGGTGGGGAACATTTTCCCATTTGTCTTGGCTGAGATCCTGCTGCTCTACCAGTGTGTGACGGTTCTGAATGTTGCTCAGAGAACCTTTAAGTCAGTGTCATGCTGCTGCAGAGCAACATCATCAGAACTACTCGGATGTCCACTTAGAAAATTAAAAATTCCCAACGTTCCCACCTGGAGGTCCTGCAGCGACCGTCGCAGCTGCTGCAGGCTGCAGCGGGCCGGTCCGGCCGGAGGAAGGAGGTTCTGTGTGTCCGACAGGAACCTCTGCAGCTTTCTCAGGCTGCGGCTGTACAGGTGCCAGTGCTTCACCAAACCCTCCACCAGGGAGCGCCGCTGGTCGGCCCGTTGCACAGCGCCCTGCCAGTGCTCCCGCAGCTGGGCCAGCTTCAGGATGAAGTCGCTCCTGGAGGCACGAACACATCCGGGATTCAAGTCCAAGAACAAGTACTAAACACTGAAGAGAACTTGAAGCTAAGTGATCAATAATTAGGGGAGTTTAAGGAAGTCTTCGCCAACAAAATCATACGTTCGTTTTTTTTTTAAACATGACCTGCAACAGCCCAATGTCACCTTCAGTAAACAATAATAATGAAAGAAATTCAACTTTGCTTCTTCTTTTTTTCTGATTTACAGAATCAAAAACTTTGTTTCTAGGGTCATATAGGTGTAAACTGATCTGACATGTAAAGCTTCAGAGGGCTTTGATAGAAACTCAGTAAGTTCTGTTTTTAAAACTGACCTGCTTGTTGCTCTAGAAAGACCGCTGGATGAAACCCAAAGTTTTTAGGATTTAAACATGAATATCTCGGTCATATTTCTCGACTGGATGAAGCTCTTCCTACCTGTCCTCCACTTCTCCCTTCTGCAGCAGGTGAAGAGCTTCGCTGATGACTGAATGAAGGATCTGGTGGCCGATGGACAGCTCGGCCTGAAACCTCTACAGAACCAGGACACGTTGGGTTATACATCTGTGTGTTTGACAGCTTCTCCTCAGCGTTCATGACGTTTCTTTACCTTGTGGGTGCAGAGCTGCTGCCTGAGGCCGCCGTAGGAACCGGCCACATCCACCGTCAGACTGTCCTCCATCCTCTGGAGGAACGACATCCAGCTCTCACACTTCTGCTCGAACCTCTGCAGCCTCAGCGCCTCCGTCTGCAGCTCACTGCGACACGAAACAACAGTTCTGAACTTTAGAAATCCTCTAATCCCACTTTAAAGAGGAAGTCTGTGCTGGTTTTGATGAAGCGTTCCCTGTTTCATCGGTCAGTCGGAGTCAAATCAGACAGAATTCAGGAAATATGTTTCTCATTTGGGACCCAAAGCTGAGTTCTGTATATATATTCTGACTTAATTTTGAAAATTTCACGTTTACAGTTTACATGCTTTACCTCAATATCTCCAGAAATTTAACTCCCACAGACTTGAAACTTGGTCAGAACATGGACAGAATAGTCGCATTGTTCCAGCAGAGGACAAGATTTTAATGGTTTGGCCGTTTAAAATTAAAAACAGTGCAAAATTTTAAATTGAGGGTGATGCTGTGTCCCCAGAAAGTTCCTGAAACTGTTTAAATATGGATGTTTCCAACTGAAATCCAGTCTTTGGTTGACATTTCACCAACTATTGAGGCTCTAACATCAGTAGAACCTGATGTGTGGTAAATATGACAAGACAAGACTCCAGTTTTAAGATATTTTGACTTGAAACTCGCCAAAATCATTAAAAATTTGTCCAAAAATCACATAAACTCTTCCAAAATTATTTAAAATTGTTTAAAATGACAACAATGAATAAATATTGGCCCAAATTTCCAACTGATGGTGGTGTTGTGTCCCCATGTAGTTCCTGTCAGTGTATATCTATGGATGGATCCATATTTCTGCTAAAATCCATCCTTTGGTCGACACTTGACCAACTGTTGAGGCTCTAACGTCAGTAGAATCTGATGTGTGAGAAGTCTGGCAAGACAAGGTTCCATTTTTTAGATATTTTGGCTTAAAACTCGTCCAAAATCATCAAAAATTAATCCAAAAATCACACAAATTTGTCCCAAAAAAGGGGAAACTTATCCAAAAATCACATAAAATCTTCCAAACTGACTCATAATTGTTCAAAATGACAATACTGAATAAATATTGACCCTTAATAATGAAAGAAAGTGCAGAATTTCCAATCGATGGAGGTATTATGACCCCTGAAAGGTCCGTAGAATCTGATGTGTCACAAGTTTGGCGAGACAAGGTTCCAATTTTCAGATATTTTGACACGTAACTTGCGAAAAATCACAAAAAAATCGTCCAAAAATTGCACAAATTTGTCAAAAAAAAAATTGAAACTCATCGAAAAAAATCCCGTAAACTCTTCCAAAATGACTTGAACCTTCTTCAACATGACAATAATGAATAAATATTGACCCCTGAAAAAGAAAGAAAGTGCACAATTCCCAATCAATGGACGTGTAGTGTCCCCAGAAAGTTTCTACTAAAACACAGCCTTCGGTTGACGTTTCATCAGCTGCTGCTCTAACATCAGTAGAATTTCTAGTTTTGTGATATTTTGGGTTTCCTCACTTTTTAATTTCTTCATCATGAAACAAGAGAACCCTTAATTAATCCCACAGTGGGACATTTACAGCAGCAGAGAGGAAACACGTAGGAAACATTGGTTAAAAACTGAAAAATAAAACAAATCTATATTTCTAAGTTCTGATTCTTCAATATGTGGTTATTGTATAATAATCAGACGTTGCACAGATTCCTCTGAAGGTGGAAAATAACGACATTACACCTATCTGACTATTAAACAACACTTTCTGTAGCAGAGAGACGTCTTCCTGCCCCTTCACTGACCTGCAGGCCTCCTCGGCTCTGGCGGCAGCGTCGGCCCAGCGGCGGTCGAGACGCTGCAGGCGGCGAGCTGCAGCGTCGCCCAGCGTCAGGCTGCGGCTGCGTTCGTTCAGGACGTCCAGGTCAGCGGACAGGCCGCTGAGCTGCAGGAGTTCAGACTGCAACATATGGAGGCAGCGTGACTCACATGACGGCAGATTACACGCCACAGCCGTGTTCTGGCCTCATTCAGGTTCTGCTTTAGTCCCACAACAGCAGCTGCAGGTTTACAGGAATAACCTGGAGCCTTGAACTCGCTATTTTTAGATTAGTTTAACAACAAACTGACACTAATTCTGCAAAAAGTTGTGATTATTTCAGCTTCTGTGAAAACGAGTAAATTACAGTACAAATTACACTTTGAAATTAATTTACTTTTGGCAGCTCTGAAAGAAATTAAGATTTTGAACATCAACATGAGAGAAAAGAGACACAAAAGCTGCTTAGATCAAGAAAAAACTGACACTTGTTTCAAGAAAAATCATGACTAATTTAAAGAATCATGTCCAGCTACAATTAGACCTCGTAATTAAACTGTTTTGGCTAATTTGAAAGAAATTAAGGGAAAAAAGAGGACACAACAACTGTTTAATTAATGGAAAAGACACTGGTTTCCAAAAAAAAAATCAGAAATAGGTTAAAGATAACATTTCAAGCTACAAGTTAGAGCTTGTGATGAAAATATTTTGGCAACGTCTAAAGAAATTAAGCCTTAGACTGTCAATATGGGACAAAATAAGACAAGAAAGCTGCTTAAAGTATTTTTTAAAAATGACACCTGTTTCTGGAAAAATTGTAAATAGTTTTTAAAAAATATTTCCAACTACAAATCAGAGCTTGTAATGAAATAGATTGGCTCATTTTACAGAAACTGAGCTTCATAATGTCAATACGAGACAAAATAGGACACAACAGCTGCTTAAATCATAAAAAAATGACACCTGTTCCTGGAAAAAATCATAAATAGTTTGAATAAAACATGTCATCAACACATTAAACCATCAACAGCAGGAGTCCTTAAAGCCTCCTGAGTAGCAGCAGCTCCTGTCCGTTCATTCATTCATTCATGGACTCACCTGGTCGCCGGTGGGAGCTGCCGCCTCCAGACGCTGCTGCCAGACCTCCAGGCTGCTCTCCAGCGACTCCAGCTCGCCTCCGAACTGCTGCAGCTCCTTAAGCTCCTCCTGCAGACGTACAAACGTGGCAAGTGGCCATCTGGGCCTTAATTTGTAGGTCAGTGTGGCGGCACGTTGCCCAGATTAACCAGCAACAAACAAGACTCTCACATGAAAGAAGTTCTAACCAACTGTTGCTGCTTTGGAGCAACTTCACCTCAAAAAAACCTCAAATATTCAACTAGGTGTTTGAAGAAGCCCGGTTTAACCTCACAGATGCCCACAGGTGCTCATTCATTCATCTCTGGTACCTGCAGCCGACCCAGCTTCCCCGTCAGCCTCCCACCGAGCTGCAGGACGCCACGCGACAGCAAGCGGCCCTCCGATTGGACGAGGCCGGCAGCCGAGGGCTCCAGGCGGCCAATCAGGTGCTTGGAGGCTTCCAGCACCTCGTCCAGGTCCGACTGAAGGGAGTCGGTTCTGCCCAGGAGGCTCTGCAGCAGAAAGCAACAGGTTATAACGTTTAGGGAGACTTCTCTGCATCTGGAAGGCCTCAGGTTGTTTATGTATTCAGGTTTTACGACGTGAAGCAGAAAAAATAGCAAGAAATGAAAATATTAGAGGGAAAATCCTAAACTCAGCTCAAAAAAATTCATTAAATGAGCAATAAAACCAATAAAATAAAGATATATGTGCGATATTAGTGCTTTTAATTAGTTGTTTGGTTGAAAAAAATGTCAGAAAATTGTGAAAATGTCGATCAGTGTTTTTACTTTAGTCCACAAAACTAAAATATTCAGTTTACCGTCATAAAAGAAGCGAAAAAATGAAAATATTCACATTTAAGACAGTAAAATCTGAGAATTTAGTGTTCTTTTGTTTTTAAATAAATGACACTTTAATCATCATAAATAGTGTTAAATTGAATATTTGACAATTTCCTGTTAACAGTTGCAGCTCGACACGATAATTTATAATAATTTGTTAGAAAAAAAACAAACAGCTTCGAGTGTTTTTTAATGTGTTTACCAAACTCTATTCAATGAGGAAGTCCATGAAATGTGGTTCAAAGTCCTAAAAAAGGCTCATAAGAAAGATTTTCAAAAGTGAAGAACGTACAAAAACAATGAAGTATTTAGGAAATATACAAACAACAGAAAACCAAAATATGACGTTTAATTTGTAATTCGAATATTTAAGGATTCATTTGGACGAGTTCTGACTTTATTTGAGGTGTTTTTTAAATATTTTTTGGTGCTTGTGAGGAGAGAAAACATGATATGACAACAAAAAGTGTTTGTGATGTGAGTGTGTGAGCTGCAGGACGTCCTGCTGTCAGACATGAAAACATTTAAAAACGCTGAACATGAGACATAAAAGCGTCTGACAGCTACGGGAGTCAGACGTTGTTGTTAAAAAGAGTTTTTTTGTTCAGCTTCGGGAGAAAAACAGTCACTGGAAATAATTGAGGATTTCACCTTGTCTGTGTTTAAAATTCTGTTACAGACTCTTTGATGTGAAAATCAACAAAAAAGATGAACAAACGCTTCATAAAAAGGTTTAAAAAGAACGACTGTGGTTCAGAAATCTGCACAAAATTAATAGTTTGTTCTCCAAAACTTAAAAATGCAACATGCATAGGTGTAGATTTTATTATTATCCTTTACATATTCAGAATGTGTGCACTTTTATTCTTCTTTAAATTGAACTTTATTTTGAAAAAATCTGCGCTTATTTTCTTTTCAGCATGTCAGACACAAATATTTGTGATTTGTTCTGAATGAGCAGACAGTCCAGGGGTTTATAAATGATTTATAAAGAATTCATTTAGCATTAAAAAGGTGCCACATGCACGTTTAAAAAGGTCATTCCTTCAAAATAAAAGACCCAAAAGACGACAAAAGCATGAATTATGTTTATATGTGTGCTGACTGAGCAAAGGTAATGTTACATACAATAGATATGATATTAAATGAGAAAACTTTACTGTATTTTGAATTGTAGTTTCAGAATTTTGTGGTTTTTTACGTATAAATAAAGACATTTCCACCATAAATCCACACATGCATGCAGAAACGGTACAAACTGCTGCTTTCTGTTTGTGTCACTGTTGAGTTGTGTATCCTCACCTGGACGTTGAGTATCCTCACGGCCACCTGCTCCACGGTGTTCTCTTGTCCAGGTGAGTCGCTCAGTGCGGTCGCAGCGTCGCTCTGCAGCTCCTTCAGTCGCTCTGAGAACAAACCGGCCAGCCGAGAGTAAACCTCCCAAAGCTGCAGGATCTGAAGAGTCTTCTGGAGCCGCTGGGTCAGAACTCCAGACAGCGAAGTCCAGCTGGAGAACAGAACGTCAGAGTGGGAGGTTACATCATGATGCTGCCACCACCGTGCTTCACATCATAATGTTGCATTACGCTTTGACTGGTGACAGGTCTGAATACTTCTTGTAGGTATTCAGGTGAGTCTCACCTGTCTCTCTGTACGTCCAGCCTCTCAGTGATGATGGCAGCAGCAGCAGGACTGATGACTTCTTTAAGCGAGTGAATGCTTTGACTCAGTTCATCCCACTCTGCCTCTGTAGCTTTAGTCTCCTCATGCAGAAGCTACGCACAGACACGACATCCAAACAAGAAGTCAAGTCATTAGTAACGCTCTACATTATAACGTCTAACATAACTTCTATCCAAACTGAGGAACTCACCTGGAGTTTTTCATGCTGATGTCTGTGAGCCTGCAGGGAGAGTGAAGCGCTGCTGTAATAGTCCAGAGTCTGAGACGTTCTCACTGTTTTCAGCACCAAACGGTTCTGGTTCTTCTCCACATCGTCCCAGAGCTGCTGAGCCTGAATCAGCTTCTGTTTGACCGATTCGTTCTGCAGAAGACGAGAAGATGGAAGAAACAGAATGATGATTAACTCCTGTTGCAGATTTTTTTAGCTGTGTGTTGAATTTCTGTATATTCACATTTAAACTAAAATAAAAGAAAAAACTTCCTGCTGGACATTAATCAGCTGGTTAAAGGGCACCAGATGTCGTGTCACTGACCTTCAGACTGAGAGCTGAACAGGCCTGAATGGATTCGTTTATCCGAGACAAAGAATCGCTGCTTTCTCCGTTTCCAACCCAAACTTTGTCCTTTAGCTCCTGAAGAGCTGCAGCCTTCAGCCTGATGGTCTCCTCCAGCTCCTGGCGACAGACGGGACGTTAAAACTCACTTTCATGACAACCTGCAGACCTCAGATCCAGATGTTGCTCCAGATGTGAGCCCTGACCTGGCAGCCGTTGACGCTCCTCTGCAGCTCCATCCAGCTGCTGCTCCTCTGAGCCGAGTCCAACCAGATGTTCTGCTCTGAGATCCAGCTGCTGATGTGCTGCAGTCTGGCGTCCTGCTCCGCTCTGCTCCTCAGCTCCTGCAGCACCGCCGTGATCTGAACAAACACCAGCAGCAGCTTCATTGAGCTTCATTTTAAAGGTGAATTTGAACTAATAATTGGTGGAACTTGAACTTGTCAAACTATTTCCAGGATCCAGACTGACTTTTCAGGCCTAACTCTACCTGAGAGTTGATGTTTTCCTGCAGACCGAGCCACCGGTGGTTCAGTCGACCCTGTTCCTCCGAGTACCGGTTGTGTTTGTAGCGCCTCCTCTGGTCATCTTCAGAACTGCAGCTCTGTAGCGGCAGATTCACGAAGTCCAGAGTCGCCTGAAGAGCAGAAAACTCCGTCTGACACTCCTGATGGAAACGAGACGCAAAGGTACACCAGTAAACTGACAACAGAAATTAATTTGAGTATTATTTGTTAGAATAGTAAAATTTCTGAAAATATATCTTTGGAAAAAAATCCATAATCCTTCCTGAGCCTCAGCAGTGACATAATTCTTTAAACATCAACTTTTGACTATAATATAAAGAACGAAAATGAAGAATAATCAAACACAAAATGTCCTAAAATCACTTCTTTACAGACACTACTGACAAAATGAGATGCCATAAATGCAGACATAAAAACTGAGAAATTAAAGAAGATGATTCGTGTCAAGATTTTATTGTTTTCAAGTAACCATACGATGAAAAATGTAGCTGCTTTTTGCTCTTTCAGCATTTTTAAAACCATTTAGACAGGCCTAAAATATCCATATTAATTTAAACGATTATACAGATTGTTCTGCCCTGAATGTGTTGTGGTTAAAAAGTTGATTGTTTGAGGAAAATTGGTTGAGCTTTTATTTTGAAGGACAGGAAACACATAACAGGAAGCAGGAAGTGAAGCGAACACACGTAAAATATGTACGTAAAGGTGAGAGAAGTTATAGTTGATCCAGTTTAGAAATGTGATTTATTTTAGGACAAAGACTATTTTGTGATGTTCAGAACCTTTTTTTTTTTCCCATCAAAATGACTCAGAGCAGTGTTTTATTTTATCAATAGACAACTGGTTCAATGGGACAAGATCAAAAGGATTTCAGAATTGATTTTTTAAACCACTGTCAAATAAATTAGAATCATGTGATGAATATTTGTTTTGATATTTTTAAAACTTTTTTTTTTTTTTATGTCTGAACACTTTTAATAATCTGCTAAAACGACCGACGAGTCCCAGTAGTTGTTTAAAAAAAAGTTTAAATTAAATGTTTTTAAGAATATTTTTGTTTCCTGTAGTGCTCCTATGAAGTTATTGGAGTCCACAACACAGATTATGTTCTACGATAACAAATGAGGAACGTTCTCAATTGAAAACATGTTTTCCAAACGTTGTCACGTGGCCACAGAACGTTCTTCGTTATAAGAATTTGGTCTTAAAAATTTAATTTATAAGACACTCTTGTGCTCTTGTGACAGATTTAGAAAGGCGGAACATTTGTCCTGTATGTTCTGGAGATGTTATTGAGGGAACACTCGATAGCTTCTGCAAAATGTTCCATCAATGTTCCACAGTGTTAGACGATAACAAAGAAGGACGTTCTCAGGGCAACATTCAGTTTTGAGAAGCACAACAGTCTAGCAATGTCATTACTAAACATTTTTCGAACGTTCTGATGAAAACTAACAGAAATATTGGCAGAACTTTGCAGAACTTTCCAAGAACTTTATGGGATTTAAAAAATAATAATTCTAGCTGTGCCTGGTTTTGGGTTGTTTTAACGTTTTCCTTCCATTTCAACAACCTCCAATAAAAACGCCTCAGCTTCCCATCGAGGAGCTTTAAGTTCAACGTCTGCGTCCGCCGTCGGTACCTTGCAGTATCTCAGGAGCTGCATCAGGTCGGCGCCGCTGTGGTGGTTCTGGTCGGCTCTGCTGCGATGTTCCTCCAGCTGCGACTCGGCAGCATCGAGTCGAGTCTGGAGCTCCGTCAGCGCCACCTGCTGGTTCAGCGTCTCCATCCACCGCTGAGGAAGAGGAAATCAAACAAGAGTTCATTAATTAGAAATGACAGATTTTACTGTTTTATTGAATTCTGTGTTTTATTATGTTTCAATGACGTTAACGAACCTGCATTAGATTTTAAATTTTAAACAGGAAAGAAGAGAAGAGACAAGGCTGTGAATGTACAAAACCTGAACTGAAACTGAAGTGGACGACAGAAAAAGTACAATCAAGAGGTGCAGGAAGAAGGACGATGAGAGGGAACGAAGGAGATGGAGAGACGAGTGGATGGATGAACGAGTGAAGGGCAGGGACGGAGAGGAAATGAGAGAATCCTTGGATGGAGGTGAGAAGAGTCCTCGAGCTGCTCTGAGCTGCTCGGTGGGGAAGTTTAACTGGTGGCAGGGAGGCTGGATTTTAGAGACACTGAAGCTGCACTTGAGGGCTGGATTTAGAGAAAAACGTCTGATATTTATTCACCCTAACGAACCCCACTGTGGCAGGAGGAGCACTAACGAATCACATAACGAGGGGGAGGAGCAACAAACCCCCAACTGAAACCGAAACTCAGGTGGTAATGGCTCCTTAAGGATATCAGCACGTGGAACTCCCAACTAGTCAGTCAGAGCTGATGAAGCCTCTTAGATGAAACATCTTCAAGGAACTCAAGCAGTTGCTACGATTTATCTACCAGAACAGTCTGATATTTAACATTAGAACCACCAAAACGATCATTCACTGGAGGAATGTTGGGTTCTACCTTCATGTTGATTTGACTCGTATCCTCCAGATAAAGACCAACGTGGCAACATGATCCCCCTGCAGGACAACACGCTCCACCGCAACACAAAAACTGCAACTCAAGGAACACGACCAAGAGCCCAGAGTTGGCCGTAAGACGCACCAGAACGGGCCTGGTTTTAACGTCGGGTTCCTCTAGCTATTTTTGGTCAGACGAAAAAAGAAACTCTGAGCGGACAATTTTTGAACCTTTTAGGAAAGATTTCCAGTAATGTTCCTATAAGGTTAATGTAATGTTTTAAAGTCAAGGTTCAAACTCAGATTGTGTTCCGTGATAACAAAGGGAAAAACGTTCTCAAACCAATATTTAAAACACGTTTTCCAGATGTTACTGAGACCTCAGATGTAGTTTTTTTTTTCAATTAACCTGTAATGTGATATATTAACAAATGTGGAACATTCTGCCTGAAATGTTCTGAGGATGTTTTGGGGGATGTTCTTGAACATTCGTTTAAAAAAAATAAATAAATAAATAAAAATTCTCAAAATGTTCCATGATAACAAAGGAAAAACGTCTGAAAATTAACTAAATGAAAAAACACAGGTTCAGATGTGACTAAGGCCTCAAACATCAGAGTGGTTTTTACAGAATGTTCTATAACGTTCCTGTAATTCGATGTAATAAAGGTGGAACATTTATGGACCGTTCTTCTGAAGACGTTTCCACAACAATGACAAAAGAAGGATGTTCTCAGTGCAGCATTAAAACAAACATTTTCAAGATGTTATCAAGACCTCAGATGACAGAACGTTCCCCTAAAAGATGCTCCTGTAAGGTGATATATTAACAAGGTGGAACGTTCTGCCTGTGAAGTTCTGAGGATGTTGTTGAGGGAACACATAACAGACGTTCTTCTAGAAAACATTCTAACAGTGTTACACGAGAACAAAGGAAAGAAGATGCTTTCTAGATGTATACACGTTTTAAGAGCTTGCTGTCGAGGCGATGCCCGATAGAACGTTCTTCCATAAGATGTGTCCAGACGTTCTCAGTGCAACATTTAGAAAACGCTGAGATGCTATCAATGCCTCAGATTAAAGAACGTTCTTAAAAGACTTTCCTATAACGTGATATATTACCAAGGGGGAACGTTCTGCCTGTTCTGAGGACATTTTGGGGATGTTGTTCCCACAATGTTCCACAGTGTTATAGGTAACTAAGTCAGAACGTTCTCAGTGTAACATCCAGCTTTGAGAACGTTACAGCCTCCCAGAGCAGAACCCTGTGGTTTATGTTCGTTCCGTGTAAATCTCAGTCCACCCGGAGAACCTCCTCACCTTGCTCAGATCCTGTCTGACGGCAGGAAGCTCCGTCTGCAGAACGTTCCAGTCCAGTTCTATCTGCCCGAGCCGGGAGTCGACGGCCGTCTGGAGCTCTTCGTCCTCCGGCTCTCCGTCAGCTTCCTTCAGCTGCAGCAGCTGAGCGGCAGAACCGAGCAGTGCCACCTTCAGGTCGCATTTCACCTCCAGCTCCTTGGTCAGAGCCTGAAATACAAAGTCGTGTTCTGTTCTCAGGGGTTGTCGGGGTGGAACCAACATATCCAGCTTGTAATAAATATGAAATCATTGACATTGTCATAATTTTCTGATAGCATCGACAGTAAATGCTCTAAATCTGTTTAACTCAATGTGGAGAAACATCTGGAACCTGAATCTGCAATGTGAAACAGGATTTGCTTGAAGCTTTGTGCTAAATGCAATAAATTCATACCTTCTGCAAGAACAAATCTGGTTGCTTAAACCAGCTATCATTTTAATTAAAGCTTATATTTGCAAATTCATGTCAGAAATGTCTATAAATCGGTTTAAACGACGGATCTCTGACTCACCACCGACTGGAAGAAGTGGTCTTGCCGCTGTTCGACATCCGTCTCCTGATTGGCTGAAGCGGTCACCTGACTCCATCCCTCGATAAGAGCTTTGGCCTTCGACATCCAATCACTGAGCGCCACGGCATCGTGAAGAAACCTGACGATTGGAGGAATATTTTAGAAACCGATTAGAGCAGTTAAAGAAATGTTGTTTGAAAAAGACTCAACAGATTCTTGACAAGTGCTTTTCAACAGATGCGACACATGTTTTGTTATTAAGTTTCGATGCCTGTGTGGATTCTCAGTGGTCCAAGTCATGGCAGGTGTTCCACGGGAAGAAAACTGGACGTCTTCTTGGTTCCCCTTCATCCAGACATCTAAACTTTGGACACGCTCTTACTCTGAAAGGGTGCAATCCAGTTTTTTCGCTCCTTCCTGTCTCTCACCTCATCTTCAGCTTCCTTTTCCTCTCACAGTTGGTTTGTTTGTGTTCCAGCCTCTTGCACAAAGCTCTCCATCGAGCCTCCAGTTTGCAGTTAAACTCTGCGACTCCTCGACACCCTGAGCTCTGCAGCCGCTGACCGGCTTCCAGCATCCGGTCGAAGCGAGACTTGTTCTCCTCCAGGAGGCGACGGAGATCCTGTTGGACGAACAGGAACTTTAAATCACTGCAGCAAATACGCAGACCTGCAAAGTGATGTCTTGCACTGGGTCAGGTGCAAATATAATGACTAATTGCAAATTCATGATCAGAAGAATGATGCAAAAACCGGTTAAGCTCAGCTCAGTCTGACTTAACTCAAAATCTACTGACCTAATCTGTACCAGAGACATTTTAAAGAAGAGAAAAACACTTAAATTATCCCTGAAAATAAACCTACGGGAGAATTTTTGATACCAAAAAAACAAAAAATCAGCTTTTTAACAGTGAAGCAAATCATGCCATCAAAACACTATTAAAACCTCACTTTGGGTCAAAGCTACAGAACTTATAAAGTTTTTTTTTAATCACATTTGACTGTTGCTTCTATTCGAGCAGTTTAAGTTGCATTTACATTTATTTAGCTCAAGAACTCGTCTCGTATTTTACAAAAACACTTTGCTGATGACGTTTCTTTAGACTCATTCTTCCGCTGAAGTTTCATTTTTTATGTAAGGCATCATAACTCAAAATATATATGAAAAAAAAACGTTCTGACAATGTTCTGTGATGTTCTAGCAATGTTTGACGTTTTCTTCTAATCCCCACAGATGCTCTAATTCAAGGTTGATTAACTACAAACGTTCCAGTTCTGGTTCTGGATGAATCTCAGTAACTCTGGATTTAATTTCTGCTTCTGTGACGTCAGACTTGACGTGATTTTTTTGTACGTTTTTTAGTTAAATCAGTGCCATACTGATGTAAAACAGCAGCAACAGGATGTTTGATAATCGTGTTTTAGCTTCACTGTGAGCTCAAACACACGCCTTGCAAACAGGCCTCATGAACCAACAATGAAACCCAGCTGCAGCTCCTCGCTCGGCTCCAGAAGGCCGGAGAACATCGTGTTCCTCTGCAGAATAAACAACATCGTTCGGCTGCAGCTAATTGAGCCGATTAGCGTCTGAGTGGAACGAGGAGGGTCCAAATGAGCAGAGCGGGACTCGGCGAAGCGCTCCGAATTAGACGGTCGGAAAGAGCGCATTTAGAAAAATGAAGGTTACCTGATAGGCCGAGAGCTCCTCCTGTACCTGCTGCTCGGAATCGCACCACCGGTGCATCCTGGGAAACGAAGTCTCGGCGTCTGAGAGCAGAGAGTCGGACCAGCAGCCGTCCTGCTCCCACTGGGACCACAGCTGAGGAGGAAGGAGAGGACGCCGTGGTCAGATGGTTTTATGATCATTCCCATCATTTCTGAGGCTTTAAATCACCTCCAGCTGCTGCATTAGTTAATAAAGCCTCCTCTACAGTTATCTCTCAGCTCTTATCTTGGTCACTTTAAGGTGTAGCCTCGTTTTCGTCAGAACGACCTCAGCTATTAAGACCGTACATCATTTAATATGAAAATACTTGCAGGACATTCATATTAGCTTTTATATAGAGATTTATATGCATAACTGTGTGGAGGAGATCGTCTGGAATCTGGAAATATCAGAACCACGATGGTGATATAATATGAAATAACTACATTATTACTTTTACAGGTGGGACTGAGGCCAGTTGCTTCTTAAAGGCATCAACGGAGCAACCTTCAATTTGCAGAAAATGTGGTCAGACTTTAAACGTGTCATTAAAGCTCTCCCCAAATAAAATTTTCATTGTGTTATTACATTTTATTGCTTCACTTTGCACACTAGCTGCTGTTAATGTCTCACCTGCAGTGTTTCCTGCATCCGGACTCCTTGGTCCAGGCCCTGCTGCTGCAGTTGGACCACCTCGTCCTGCAGTGCCGCCACGACACCCTCCTGCCTCCGGGGGGCGACGTCTCTGCTGGAGATGAGCTGCAGGATGTGAAAGTGGTGGCCGAGGAACTGGAAGAACTTCTGATTGAGAAAAAGCATCATGAAATAACACCATGAATGATTTCTTTAAAGGCAGACTGTCTGTCTGCACCCACCGTGTGTCTGCCCAGCTGCTCCTGGAGGCCATCCCTGCTCCGGAGCTCCACGTCGGGCTGCTGACGGAGGCGCTGGGCGCCCAGACGGAGCAGCTCCTCCAGGCCGAGGACCAGACGTTCGTACAGCTGCTGAAGGTCCAGGCTGCTCCTCAGATCCTCACAGCGGGAACCGACAGCACCGAGCGCCGATTCCAGCTCACCCTGTACACAGGAGTTCAACAAAAAAATCTGTATTTAACTTAATGATTTTGGGTATCGTTATTTATAAAAATCACCACCAGAGGATCCAGAAACTGTAAAAACAAAACAAACTGTTGGATGTTCAGATTTCCAGGTGCAGTTTGATTGGAAAATCAACCAAATCCAACCTTAAAATCGGAATTTTCATTGATTTTTACTTAATTCTACACGTCTCATTTAAAAAAAACTTGTTCATTCTGAACTAATTTTGAGTCACTTTGAACAAGCTTGAGGTAATTTTTGACAGATTTCAAGTTATTTTGGACAATTCTTGAGTTATTTTGGGAAAACTTTGAATCAATTTGGACAATTTAATGTGACTTTAGACAAGTTTAAAATAATGTTGCACCATTTTAGGGGAAAATCCAAAGTACTGGATCAATAAATAAATGCAGCATGGCTTAGAAACAGAGAACAGAGGAGCCAGTTGTTGGAGATACATTCAGCTGATGGTGGAACATCTTTCTACGTCTGATGGTGGAACATCTTTCTACATCTGATGGTGGAACATCTTTCTACATCTGATGGTAAGACATCTTTCTCCAACCTGCAGCTGTTTTGCCTGCTGGACGATGGACGGCGGCAGGTTCTGCTGCTCGGCCTCCTCCAGCAGAGAGTTCACCTGCTGGACTTGCTGCTGCAGAGACTCCTGCATCCCAACGCTGGCCTGGAACAGGAAGTACAGAGAAAGCTAAGTGACTTATAAAGATATGTTTGTTCGTAGTTGTTTAGTTGCCTTTTGGTGCACCAACAAAACCTCACTGGATTACGTCACTAACGTCAGTCTAAAGTTTATGTTCAACAAAGGTCTTATGATGCATTTTAATATGATTAGCTTACAAACTAAAACCATACGTGTCATAATTCATAGAAACAAACCAACAGAAAAGTACAAGATGTAAAGTCTAACAACAAAATCCACATAAAACTCCAACAGGAGCTGCTCGGTAGATTACTCAGCTCAGTGTTTACACATTTATACCAATTTTTATAATGTAAGTGTGAATCATCTCCATGGAAACGGTACCTGCAGTTGCTCATTAAGGCCCAGCGCTCCACTGAACTCGTTAGTTATTTGGTGAACAGTTGGCTGGTTAGAGGTGAAGGCTGCATGCAACTCTTTTAGCTGTTTCTGTGGACAAAATGCACCGTGTGACCCACAATAAAATGATACAACACAGTGAGGAGGTGAGTAGAGGGAGAACCAGTGACAGGAAACAGCGTGCAGACACTAAAACCAACGCTTTCATATGTTTTTAACACAAAGGTGTGTAAATATCACCGTATGAGTCAGAGTTAGAGGTGAAAGGCAACCTGTTTTTGTGCGGTTTGGTGCTGCAGCTGTCTGAGCTGCTTCTCCTCGCGGCTCAGCTCATCCTGGACCAGAGGAAGGATTCTGCACAGGTCATCCAAACACCGCTGGACCAACTCTGAACCCAGGACCAGACTGATCTTGGACCCCTGAGAGACCAGCTCAGAGCCCAGCGTGGTCAGCTCGGCCGACAGACTCTGGAAAGACAAACAGGAAAGTTCTGGTTGGATGAGAAACTGTGGAGAGTTTGGAGGGAAGTTCTGGTTGTTGAGAGGTTTTCCTCAAACGCTGCAGAATCTGTGCTTCGGTTAAGATTTAAGATCAGATCAGACAAACGGAGGATGAAGCTTACAAATCACTTTTTAAAACCCATTTTTATGCAAAGTCGTCTTTTTCATTTGTTAAATGAATTATTGTTATTATTACCCTTGTTTTCATGTTTATATCCTCTATTTTCTTTCATTCTACTTGTTCTTCTTCTTTAATTTGATTTGGCTTTTCTTTGTGGTTTATTATTTTATTTGTATCCATTGCAGCACCAGAGCATGATGCTGCCACCTCCATGCTGGATGGTAGGTTTGGTGTTCTTGGGGTTAAAGGCCTCACCTTCTCTCCTCCAGACATGTTTCTGCTCAGTGTTTGTTCCATCTGACCACAGAACTTTCCTCCAGAAGGCCTTTTCTTTGTCCATGTGACCAGCAGCAGACTTCAGTGGAGCTTTAAGGTTCTGCTTCTGGAGGAAGAACTTCCTTCTCAGCCTCTCAGCTCATGTTGATGTCAGACCCTGTGGACACTGACAGCTGTGTTCCAGCAGCTTCTGATCCATCCAGAACTGCTTTCTGCTGGTTCCTGGTTGACTCTTGACCATCCTGACCAGTCGTCTCTCAGCAGCAGCTGGTAGTTTGTGTTTCCTTCCTGATGGTGGCAGTAACACAGCTGGACCATGAACTTTATACTGACACACTGATGGTTCTGGGACCTGAAGCTGCTCTGAAATGACTCCAAGTGACTTTCTTGACATGTCCAAGTCAATGATTTGCTTCTTCAGATCTTCGCTGAGCTCCTCAGACTTTCCCACTGCAGTGTCTGAGTCTAATGAGTGGATCAGATGGTTCTATTTAAACCGGATCAGAGGAGTCAGCAGCTGTAGTCGACTGTAGTCACTCATGAAAAGACCACGCCACTAAGAAAATTTAATTAGCACAACTTTCTACATCTTCAAAACTGTTAATTCAAGTTGCTGTTTGTTTATTTATGACCCAGCAGATTTCCCCATATTTCCAGAAGACCTTTAATAAATCTATGAAAGAACCAAAACGCAAAAACTCTGCATCATAGGAGTCATTGGAAACTCAAGACTGCTGTGATATACATGGTCTTTACCAGTGGATGTCAACTTCTGTTCACAACAATACGTTACCAAAACAAAACAAAAAAATAAGTCAGTTAACACAAGACCAGAATAGAAACTTTGGAAGCGACAGTCGTGAAATATTTCACCTGAAACTGAAATATTTGTGGGCAGAAGCTTTAAACTTGGAGGGTCATCGTCTCTAAAATGTCAGAAAGAATATTACTTGTCTGCACCAACAAGGACGAACTTTTAAACTGGGTTGTGATGCTTTAACTTGTTGCATCAAACTGTAAAATGAGGGTGAAGTCCAATCTATTGTTGGGGTAGACCAGGGATCTCCAACTCCAGTCCTCATGAGCTACTGTCCTGCAGGTTTTAGACGTTTCCTTACTGCAAAACAACTGACTCACATTAATGGATCATTAACAGACTAGTGTAGAACTTGACACCAAGCTGTTGGAGATCCAGTTATGCGAGTCAGGTGTGTTGCAGTAACGTCTGGAACCTGCAGGACAGGAGCTCACGAGGACCGAAGTTGGAGATCTCTGGTGTAGACCTCATAAGTTGCAGATCTTTTACATGCATGAAAAAGCCCTAATAAAAGCAGCATGCGGCCTCTTTACGTCGCCTCGTCCCACCTGCAGCTGCAGCAGCCTCAGCGGAGTTTCTTCTTCGTGTGTTTCCTCCGCGGGCGTCTGCAGCATGTTGTGGACGGAGGACAGCGACAGGGAGGCACCGTGCAGCACATCAAACAAACCCTCGTCCAGCGTCCGGCGGGAATCCTGCACAGAGAAGTTAGTTCAACCGCCAAAACTTTCAGATTCAGACCGAAAACGCGAGGCGCAGGAATTCAGTTTTTTTTTTTTTATTATTCAGAACGTATTCAGCAGGAAACAAGAGGAATCAGGAGGAGGAGGAGGAGCGACACCTCTTCATCAGCCAGCGTCGCTCCTCTCCCAGCCTTCGTCTTTCATGTTTGTTGTTTCCTGCTCTCCTTTATATGAAGTGTGATGTCGAGTTGTGTGTCCTGCAGCGAGTGATGGAGAGTAAAAGAACTAACATGGGGGGAATCCATCTGAGCTCGGAGGTTTGAAATCTGAGCCACAAAGAGCAGATTCAGACGTGTTGGTTTGTTGTTCGCGTCTTCTTTGACTCGTCATTCTTTATTTCCTTCAACTCATCTGACCATTTCATATTATGATTTATCAGAGCTGTTTGTAATGAAAGCCGAGTTTCTGCTTTCAGAAAGAATCTTAAAAGTTCTTCAACATGTGACACAAAAGAAATAAAATCACGAAGCATGTCCTGATCAAGCTTTTCTTTTTTTTTTCTTTTTTTTTGGCTCTGCTCATCCAAGTCCTCTCATTTTCCCCCTTTATTACATTTTAACATTGAATCGTGGTCAATTTAATTTGGCTTTTTTGAGAAGAATTTACAAAAAAAGGCTTTTTCATATCAAAGTATACAATAATTAGCTGCGTTATTTTACCCTCTACCTTTACAAGCCTTCCAAAACCTGCTGCTGAGAAACATCCTCATATCATGATGCTGCCACCACCGTGCCTCACAGTGGGGATGGTGTCTTTGTGATGACCCGTAGCACCAAAATATCAACAACTAGGATGAACGAAAAAAACCACCATATTAGCCTCAGAAAAAAAAACCACCTTCCACCAGACGACAGAAGAGCCACAACACGTCTGCTGAACAACACTACACCAGAAATAAGAGCAGCTTCCAACAAAAGAGTCCTCCTCGTCGCCTACAAAAAAGCGATGATGAAGAAAAAAAAACAACAATTGTAGGAACAACACCACCGAACACAGCAGCTGAAGAAGCAAAAAACTCCAGAAGAGGAATAAGAGGCGTCGTGGCCTCCCCCAGCAGCCTCCTTCCTCAGCAACCAAGCAGTTGAGGACGACCTCCTCTAGTCAGATCTTCTCATGTTCCATATTCCTTCCATGTCTTAATGATGTATTTAACGACTCCAAGAGATATTCAGTAACTGAGATGTTCTTGTATCGTCCCCTGACTGATGCTTTTTAAGAACTTTTTCACAGAGTTGCGTCGCGTGTTCTTTAGTCTTCATGGTGTAGTTCTGTCCAGGAGTACTGATCCACCAGTGACTGGACCTTCCAGATACAGGAGACTTTATTCTACAATCACCGACCTCAGATGATCTTTATTAACTGTTCATCACCTGAGTTCAATTAGGTGAATACATCTTATCTCACTTTGACATAAAAGAGTATTTATTTGTAAATTCTTGTCGAAAAAGCCAAATGAAGTTGATTCAATGATTCAATGTTGAGAAGAAATAAAAGGGGAAAATGTTTTATATATATACATAAAATGCATGTGTAAGTTTCAAGGCTAGTAAAATAGGGAATAAAAAGCCGACGGTGAAGTGAATCTAAAAGTTTCTCCGAGTGTTTTTCTGGCTGGAGGGGAACCAGCAGCGCTCCACATGTGGCAGCGTCGCCCATAAACTCACCGCGTCGTCCAGCAGCTCGGCCGATGTTTGTCGCAGCTCTCTGAGGCGGCTGATGAAGCTCTGCAGCTCTTTCAGGCTCTTTGTGGCGACGGCGCGTCCCGCTGCTCCGCCGCGTCGCCTCGGAGATGAGTCTGTCACCTTCAGAGGGAGCAGCAGAGAAAAACAGGGCTCTAATCAGCGCCGCGGGAGGCCAGAACACCGCCGCTCAAAGGAGGTGATAATCAGCTCCTCTGAGGAGATAATGGAGCCACACCTGAGAGGCAGGAAGCAGGCGGCCGAGCCGGGCCCACAGGCCGGACCACCTCCTCAGGACCGGGTCCTGGTCCACGTCAGGCCCAGCATCAGGACTGGCAGGAGGCGAGCTGGAGGAGGAGGGGGGATGGAGTTTATTATAGTGAAGGTGAGACTGATGAAGAGTGTTTTAGAGTCTTTGTCAGAACTTAATGGTTAAAATGAAGTTCTGCTGCTTTTAAAGAGACGTGAAGGAAACAAGATGTTTTTCTGTCGATTCAGTTTAGTTTTGTTGTTTCATTACTTTTGGTGCATCTATCTGAAAGGATGTTTTGTTTCTGTTGCATTCAGTCATTTGTTTGTTTATGTTTACTTCTTTCTATCCTCCCTCCCTTCCTTCATCCCTGTTCTTCCTTCCTTCCTTAAGTCTTTCTTTCCTTCTTCCCTCCCTCCTCTCTTTCTTCCTCCCTTCCCTCCTTCATCCTTCTATTCCTTCCTTCTGTCTTTTTTCTTTCCTCTCCCCCTCCCTTCCATCCTGCCTTCCTTCCTTCCTTCTTTGTTTCCTTCCTTCATCCCTCTCTTCCTTCTTTCTTTGTTTCCTTCCTTCCTCCCTTCCTTCCTCCCTTTTTCCTTCCTTCTTTCTTTCCTTCCATCCTCCTTTCCTTCCTTCCTTCCTTCCTTCATCCCTCCCTTCCATCCTTTCTTTCTTTCTTTCTTTCTTTCTTTCTTTCTTTCTTTCTTTCTTTCTTTCTTTCTTTTCTTTCACCAAACCTCCATTTATTATTTTTTCCAAACCCGTGAAACGATAAAAAATATCCCTTAAATATGTCAGTAAAAGCTGCTACAAACAAACAAACAAACAAACAAACAAACAAACAAACAAACAAACAAACAAACAAACAAACACTAAATTCTGCTTCATGTCATCATATATTTAAGGTTCTATAGAAGCACTCATCTAGTCAGAAGACAATGATAAATACTGTTCATGTGTCTGAATATGATCCTGACCTGTGTGTCAGCAGTTCTGGTTCTGGTTCTGCGTCTGGTTCTGCTTCTAGGCTGAAGAGTCGAGCTCTGCTTCCCTGCCTGGCGATGGCCCGAGTCAGACCTTTCTGCTCCGACAGCTGTTGCTCCAACTCCTGAGCAGGAAGTTTGGGTTTAAGTTCTGTTGTTTGATGTTCGTTCATTCGTTCAAACTCAGAGCACATAGAGGTGTGAAGGCCTCGTTCACAATAAAGAGATGTTGACACACAAACAACAAAGTTAAACAGCATCAAAACAGTAAAAGACAAAGTCAGCAAAATGATCAAATGATGCGTTTCTCTAAATGTTCTGTAAAAACCTGAATAAAAAAGAAAAAGAAGCAAAAACTTCACATTTTGGTCTATTTACTAAAATCCAGCTGTAAAATTATGTTTATATTCGTCACAGCTTCAGAACATCTGTCTGTAAAAGCTGATAAGAGACTTTATTCCTGAGTTTCAGACGGTCTGACATGTTCAAACAGATTCAGTGGATGTAAATGTGAGAGCGGTGCTTCAGACCTTCTGCTGCTGCAGGCTGCTCTGTCTCAGCAGCTTGTTCTGTGGCGAAGAGAAAATCTCCTGAACGCTGCTGCTGCGCCTCAGTCTGGCCTCATGGGGGCGCTCTGACGGCTGAAGAACAAACACTTTCAGGTGAAACACTGATGATCTGATTAGAGTTAGGAAGCCTCACGCTGATGTGCTTTCGTTTCCTGTTTTACAGTTAATGTCATTAATTATTGTTAATATTAATGCTATCTGTTAGCATTGTAGCTAACTGGATGTCAAACTAAAGCAGAAGAACTGAAAGAACTTCCCCTGTAGGCATCAAAACCATGAGAAACACATTATAGACACGTCCATAGTGAACAGTGTTTATATATTGATGTAAACGATATTGTTTTAGGTATTAATACATGAACATAGAGTTGACATGACCCGTACCTGCTGCTGAGGTTCTCTCTGGTTCATCTTCTCGTCTCCCTGTTTGTTCTGCAGCAGCTTCTGGAAACAGACCAGGTTGGACTTCAGAAGCTCCAGTCTGGAAGCCAGAAGTTCTGCTGCCTCCTGCTGGGATCCCACAGCTCCCAGTTCACCCAGCTGCTGGTCGGAGGCCGGACCGAAGGCCGAGAGGCTGGAAACCTTCTGCTCGAGCTCCACAAACGTCTCCTGCAGAAAAACACACACCAGGTTTTACTTTGGTTGCTGCTGCTGTTTCATAATCTTTCCTCTAAATGTACTTTTATGAGCTCTTTAACTTCACTTAGTGCAAAACCTCCCCCTGAGGTTTCAGCTCCTTTAACTTGATTTAATTTAACCCTGAGCTACTTCAGCATGTGCACTTCAACGTTTGTACTACTTTGTGGTCTAACACCTGAACTCTGTCTTTGTTCTGGAAATCTTTTCCTTTAGATTTGTTCGTCTTTATTATTTAATTTTTTTAATCTACTTTATGGTCTGTCAAAACACGTTGTGCAAGTTGAGTCATTTTGGAAAAGTTTAAGTAATTCTAGACAAGTTTTAAGTAATTTAGACAAAATCTGAGTCAGCTTTGAGCTAAGTTTTTGAGTTTAGTTGTAGTACCTGATTGTTCCACCAGGTAGAGCCTCTTCCTGTTTAATACCGTAGAGACCAGAGGAGGTGTCACTCAGACTACAGGAAGTTCATGTTGGCAGCAGAGAGAATTGTGGGAGATTAGCTAGCAAGTGTCAATGTGGTTTCGAATCACTGTGGACAATTTAAAAGCAATTTTTTGACAAATTTAAGTCATTTTAGACGAAAGTTTAGTCATTAAAAAAATAAAACTCTTTATTTTCTAAATTCTGAAAAAACATAAACAAGTTTTGAGGACTTCAGACCAATTCTGAGTCATTCTGGAGAAGTTTCAGGACATTTTAGTCGAGTTTTTGAGTTTAGCTGTAGCACCTGGTTGTTCCACCAGGTGGAGCCTCTGACTGTTTAATACCGTAGAGACCAGAGGAGGCGTCATTATTTGTCATTATTATTATTTTTACTAACTGTGTGATTTAGAGGCTCATGTGATGTTTATAATTACACATCTTTAATATAAAAGTCTTTATCATATATTTTTGTGTGTTCTGTGGATCTCAGTGTTCGGAACGTGTTTTGTATTATGATGCACCGACCAACGATAATTCAGGGTTTTAGGACCTGAATGTCACCCTTTCATTCACACTCCTTTGCTGTTTTATTATTATACGACACCTTTACAACCCGTTTAGCCTCATTTCCAGCCTCCTTGCGTTCAGCAGGTCAGCGGTGAATAAAGCAGCGGTTAAACCTGCATCAGGACTCTCCAGGAATATTTGAATAGGAGACGAGATCTGATCGGTGGCTGTTTGTTTTCCCACAAAGCTTCATTCAAATGTGCCGTGTGACCGTGAGGCCGCTTTAAAGCTCTGAAACTTTAATGGAGGCTCGAGTTTCACCGTCGACGTCAACGAGGGAAAAAAAAACCCCCGCAGGAGCTTTGAATAAAGATAAAACTGAAACACGACGGGATCAACGGTGTCCCAGAAATAACTGAGTGTACATATGGACCTTTGAACACAATCACTTTAAAGCACAATGCTGGGAAAAATAAAAATAAAAGAAGCAAAAATCTGGCAGCCATGAAAAAACAGAGTATCGTCATGTTTGAAAACCGCAAAAACACTAAAAACAACAGCAAATATCTGTAAAATAATGATGTTTTTAGCTCAATTTAATCCAGTAAATACTGTAATTTTACAGGTAGACTTTATGAAAGAATAAAATAATGATTGCAAAAGTACAGATTATTGATGTGAACATTATTTACAGTATTGGTATGGTTTTTTTTGTTTGTTTGTTTCAGTTCAACATGTAAATTTCCACCACTTTTCAGCATTTTTTAAAATATTTATTATCTGTAATTTAACAAACCTGGAAAAGTCTGTGACAGTTTAAAAAATATTTACTGTTTTTTAATCCTTAATATACACTTTTTATATGAGCAAAACAATGATTGATTTCTTAGCTGATTGAAATACCTATAAAAAAAAAAAAGCGTAAATTTATGGTCCAACTTTGTGTAAAAAAAAAAACATATAAAAAAATAAAATAATATATATACTATATTGTTTACAGTTTTGCCTGTTTTTTTAAAAAATGATTATTTTATTTTTTTTAGGGTTAACAAGAAAATAATAGTTTTATTTTGTGACTCTCAATTATTTGTCATTAATGTAAAATTTTTTAAAAATAAAAAAATTTCCACAGTGTAGATTGTTCAGTTGTGAAGTTGAGTTTCAAATATTAAATCATAATTCTACTTCAAGATTTCTTTAATTTACCTCAATTCCACATTTCTACATTTTCTTTCTCTTTTAATTTTTTATTTAAAAAAAAAATAGATTTCTTAAATTAACTGTAAACTGATCAGAACAATGTTGTCACAGCTGAACTACAGCGAGTTAAATGACTCTGTTGGTATCTGTAGTTTAATTTTAGACACTCAAACTAAAATATTTAACTAAATAATCAGCGGCTGTGATCTGTGTGTGTGAACGTTTGTTTAACTGTGAACTCTGAACTTCTACCAGAGCTCGTCTGTTTATGGCTGCAGAGACACTAACATACTGAATATCTGATGTGGCTGAATATCAAAGAGTCTCGTTTGGTGTTTGACTCGTTGGTTTAATGTTTGCTGGGACTCGTTCTGTCCGGTTCCTCTCACAGCAGCTCTGATTGGACTTCAGAGGTCATAAAACCGAAGCAGACGACAGTTAATGACCTCTGATCGCTGAGACTGAAAACCAGAGCAATGAGGAGGAAACGGTGATAAACAGCAGGATGGAAGCCCTAATCTATACTTTTAATACATTAAACTTATAAAACTTTCAACAGCACTGTGTTCTCATGGCTGCTCACATTTTTGTTCACTTTGTCCCTCAGATATGGACTTCAGATGTTTATGACGTTTGATTATTAGTTACATACTTAAATGATGGTTTTATACAGTTTGTAATATATTTAGCTATCAAAGATGGCAGTAAAATCAAAACAGTAGTTTTTCAAGATGTTTCTAACAGGTTTTACTCATTTTGGACAATTCAGAGAAATTGTTTTGAAAATTTTTGACAAATGTTGAGTCACTCTGGAGAAGTTTCAAGACTTTTTGGTCAAAATTTTGCATTCAGCTGTAGTACCTGGTTGTTCCACCAGTTGGAGCCTCTCACTGTTTAATACTGTAGAGACCAGAGGAGGCGTCACTCAGACTACAGGAAGTTCACGTTGGCAGCAGAGGGCATTGTGGGAGTTTAGCTAGCAAGTGTCAACGTGTTTTAGACAAGTTTTAAATCATTGTGGAATTTTTTTAAGTCATTTTAGACAAAAGTTTAGTCAGTTTTAAGATGTGTTTTTTTTTTTATGTCAAATTCAATTCCAAGAAAATATGAACAAGTTTTGAGGATTTTAGGCCAATTTTGAGTCATTCTGGAGAAGTTTCATGACTTTTTAGTCAAGTTTTTGAGTTCAGCTGTAGTACCTGGTTGTTCCACCAGTTGGAGCCTCTCACTGTTTAATACTGTAGAGACCAGAGGAGGCGTCACTCAGACTACAGGAAGTTCATGTTGGCAGCAGAGAGCATTGTGGGAGTTTAGCTAGTAACTGTAAATGTGGTTTAGACAAGTTTCGAATCATTTTGGACAATTTTTAAGTCGTTTCAGACAAAAGTTTAGTCATTTTCAAGTTCGTTTGTTTGTTGACAATTCAATTCCAAGAAAATATAAACAAGTTTTTAGGATTTTAGATAAATTTTGAGTCTTTCTGGAGAAGTTTCATGACTTTTTAGGTAAGTTTTTGGGTTTAGCTGCAGTACCTGGTTGTGGAGCCTCTTACTGTTTAATACTGTAGAGACCAGAGGAAACATCAGACTACAGGAAGTTCATATTGGTCAGCTGAGAGCATTATGGGAGTTTAGCTAGTAACTGTCAATGTGGTTTCGAATCATTTTGGACAATTTTAAGTAATTTTTGACAAATTTTAAGTCATTTAAGACAAAAGTTTCATATATTCCAGTGGAACGATCAAGTCAAATCCTCTGTCTGGTTGCTGGTTAGAACAGTGACACTCTGCTCAATTTGCATGATCAAATAGTCGATTGCTGATTGATTTGCATCCCTGGAGTCACAGTTTGTTTCTCTTTGTGACTGTGTGACGTAAACAGATCAGTCTTCTATTGAAGCTGATCAGTTAAAAATATCTCCTAGTCATCTTTTAAAAGTGAAACCTCATGTTTAAACTGAGCTGTCTTCTCTGACTCCTGGCAGGTAGCAGGTGGGCGGGGCTCACGGTACCTGACAGGTGAGGAGTCGCTGCTCCACGCTGTCCTGCATGTTGGGTCCGGCGGCCGTGAGGCTCCTCTGGGTGTCCTGCAGCCACAGCTCCAGCTGGGCGGCTCGGTCCAGGCAGGCATGGAGGACGCGTTCAGGGCTCTCCGGCTCCTCCGCTCCCTGAAACACAACAAACCCAGCTGAGCCTCGGAGCTCCAGGACGGCAGGACAAGACGCTCCGATGTGGATCTAGACGGACATGTCTGACTGGCAGCTCTATGTATGACACTGTGTTCCCTCTGACCGGCTCATGCTCGGTCTCCTGTTCCCTCTCTGCTCCACCCACCTGAGGCTCAAACTACTTCCTGGTGCTCCAGTGACAGAAAGAAAGAAAGAAAGGAGGCCTGAGGCTGGAGGGAGGAGCTGTAAACACAACGTAAACACTGTCCTACTTCCTGCTGCAGCTGCCAAAGAAGGACACTTGTACCTGTCCATGTGATATTTAACCCAGTTCTTCTGTGCCTCCTTTTCAGAGCAACTTTTCTGACTTTAACCTCACAGTGCGTTCAGCGTCTGAGCTCTGCTCTGCTTCAGAGAGTCAACAAACCTGCTTTGAATGTCAGAGTTAATCACACGGCTTAACTATTCAGCAGCCGCTGACGTCAGAGAGAGAATGTTTTCTCAAAGGTTCCCTCAAATTATCAGTTAACACCTTCATCACACAAAGCAAACCCGTCAAAGCTGAACTTATCGTGCTCTTTAAATCAGTTCACTCCCTCTGTGTCCGTTATGCAGAGCAACAACCTGCCCCGACAACTAAAAAATATGAATTCATCTTGTTTAAAATAAAACGAGGGCACAAATAAATAGCTTTACAAGTCATTTTTTAGTAATTTATGGGGATCAAAATGTTAATTTAAGAACACAAATGACTCATTTTGACAAGCCGTGCTCCTGCTTTGCCACCTCCTGGGCTTTTGGTGAATACAAATTGACAAACTAAATGCATTTTTGTGGGGGTTTAGCGACCGACAGGCACCACGACATCTGTGACCCTTAATGACCTCCAATCAGACCTCATGTGTTTAAAACTGTGATTAGATTTAAAATTCAGTGGAATTATAACAGAACGACTTTAGTGCATGAATAAAATAGTTTTACAGGCTTTTTTTTTTTTTTTTTTGTAATTTACAGGATTAAAATCATACAAATGACTCAATTTCTGTATCAAAATGAGCACGAATCCCACATTTTCCCAATTTTTGCCTCCGCTTTGCTATTTTCTGGGCTTTTTGTGAATCTAAATTCCCAAACAAAAAATGGAAATGCATTCAGGATAAATGCTGCACAGCAGTAAATCAATAAAGCTTAACTTAGGATCAAACCGCAACCAGTTTTGGACACATTTCAAGTCACTCTGTACAATTTCTAAGATATTTCCGACAATTTATTTTTCTCATTTTGGACAATTCTGAGAAATTATCGACAAATTTTGAGGATGGATTTTAGACCAATTCTGAGTCATTCTGGAGAAGTTTCATGACGCTTTGGTCAAGTTTTTGAGTTTAGCTGCAGTACCTGGTTATTCCACCAGGTGTTTAATACTGTAGAGATCAGAGGAGGCGTCACTCAGACTACAGGAAGTACATGTTGGCAGCAGAAAGCACTGTGGGACGTTAGCTTGCAAGTGTCAACATGTTTTTGACAAGTTTCAATTTATTTTAGACAAAAGTTTAGACATTTTCAAGATGTTTTTTTTTTCTTTTTTTTCCTGACAATTCAATTCCAAGAAAATATCAAGACATTTTGAGGATTTTAGACCAATTTTGAGTCATTCTGGAGATGCGTAATGTTTCAGTCAAGTTTTTGAGTTTAGTTGTAGTACCTGATTGTTCCACCTGGTGGAGCTTCTTACTATTTATTTCTGTAGAGGCCTGAGGAGGCATCACTCGGAATACAGGTAGTTCGTGTTTGGAGAGCTGACAGCATTGGTGGTGGTTTAGCTAGTAAAGGGGCACTTCAGTGATTCTTAATGAGCACCAACCAGAGCTCATGTGATCAATACTGAGTGTGATTGGCTACGACAGGGAACCTAGAGTGTATAGGAGAGCAATATGGGATTAAAGTAATAATTTAGGAGAACAAAAGACTGGATTTCGTTATTGAAATTAGCACGGATTTTTTTACGATCTGCACCCAGCCTTGTCTACCTCCTGGGCTTCTTGTGAATATAAATTCACAAACAACAAATGCATCCAAGATAAATGCAGTGCAGCAGTCAGTGGAGCAAACGTCACATCAAACCGCAAGGTCGTGTCACGACAAAATCATGGTAGCTGGTTATTGTCTCAGTGGATGGGACCTCCGGAGGTTAGGGTTAGGAGGAGGACGGTGCTTTTGGTTTGGGTCATGCTGGAAAGTTGGTGGTGGATGTGGTTTTGTGCATTTTTAAGGCTCTGCTGCTTCGCTGATTGTGTTTCTGGAGGACTTGTGGATTCAAGATGTTGCCACCAGATTTCACTGCTCATCTCTGAAACCTGTATTTTGTGTTTTATGCAGGTGAATGCAGCGTTCACGTGTACTCTGTGTATATAAATGTAAATACACTGGGTCCCCTCATGAGCTCCGGACACAGAAAAAGAGAGACGGAGGAGTGGATCACTGTTGTGGGTTTATTCGTATTCGTGTTCGGTTTTTGCAGACAGAATGGAAAGACAACAAGAGAAACAGCTACATGCTAAGTAATGTGAGACATCTGTGCTGCTCCCAGGCGAAGCCCTCGAACCTCCCAGAGTGGTAGCTTTTATAGAATATTGCATGTTTTTTACATTAAAATCTTTCTTTCTTTTATTCTTCCAGGCCTGTTTAGTCCCCGCTTACAGGAATAAAACTGACAGGTATTCCCATTGTTGATGAGCTGTTTGGCCTTTAAAATGTCAAGATATTCACTTTACTGTCAAAAAGTGGTTTGGCACATAATTCAATATCTTCCATCAAAGTTACCACTAAACTGGGAGTTTGGTAGTTTCCACCTGCCAACAGCAGCGTGTTAATCAGTGATCAGGTCGAAGCAGTGCATTTTCATGGCTCTCAGACATTTACTTAAATAGAAAACCTGTATCGCAGAGTGAAAAATGGATGTTCTGATTCATAACAAAGCAGCAGCGTAGTCACAATAATTAAACAACACACCCCACTTTATTTATATTATATTATATATTTATATATGTTCAGCTTTATAGAAGTACAAACAGCAGATGCGTAGAAGGCGAACAAACAGGAGTTTATTTTAACAGATGAGCTCTGCGTCGGCTGTGAATGAGCCCAGATGACAGTCAACAAAAACCACCGTTCCCTATATGGTACATTATTATAAAACATGGCTCTATTAATACACTTTATAAAAACATCAGAGGAGAAAGGTCCATGCAAAAGCTTAATACAGACTGTTAAAGAACATCCACCCCACATGCTAAATACCACCAGTCTGCCTTCATGTTCTGCTCACGTCAACACTTCTCAGTACGAGATATCGTGCTGCGTCGTCTCCACAAGACCCATTTACTCTCCGTGAGCTCGGTAATCTTGAATGTAAACACAAACTTTGGAAAATCTTTGGCACGAATCTGCTTTGGTTTCGTTCCTCGGTTCTTTTTCATTTCTTTTTTAGAGAGAAACAGTGAGATTTCAAATGTAAACAAAACTTTTTTTTCTTTTTTTTTAAAAAATCCTCTGCCATGTAAATGCACTGAATGTTTAAAGTGACGCGTTTCTAGAGGACGTCTGGAGCTACAAGAACACATCAGGAGCTCTTCACTCGTTTCTAGAAGAGAGAGGGTTCTACGGCAGGTTCTACAAGAAGATCGGCGGTACAGAAAAGCAGTTCTGGAAAAGTCAGAGGCAGGTTCCAGATCTTGTTCTTGAGATATTGATTGAGGCAGGACTCTAGAAAGAGGTTGGATGGTTCGGTTTTACAAAAGCTCCAGAAAGTCTGGAAGAATTCCAGCTTTAAGAAATAAGTCCCATTACCTGTTCTAGAGCATTCTTCTTGAAGATTTGTTTAGGTTTTCTTTTCTAGATGCCTTGAAGTCTGAGCGTTCTAGATACGGTGTAGGCTCAGATTGCAAGGGTTCTACAGGGAGCCTTCTGATCGAGGCCTGACTCCAGATCTAGAGCTGCAATGGCAGATCTAGAAAAAGTTGGACCTTTTTATGCAGTCGTTTAAAAGGCAGGTTTTCTAGTTTAGTTCTCGAAGTTAGTCTTAGAAGTCCCCAGTGTTTAGTCATACAAAAACAAGGGGAGCTCTGGAAAAAGAGTTCTACACCTAGAGTTTTAGATACGGTGTACACTCAGATTGCAAGGGTTCTACAGGGAGCCTTCTAATCGAGGCTTGATTCTAGATCTAGACCTCAATGCCAGATCTAGAAAAAGTTGGATTTTTTTTTAAATGCAGGTCGTTGAAAAGGTAGGTTTTCTAGATCTAGTTATAGAAGTTCATTTGAGAAGTCCCAAGTTTTCAGTTGTAAAAACAAGGAGAGCTCCAGAAAAAGAGTTTTACACCTAGAGTTCTAGATGGGTTGTAGAGTTGGATTGCAAGGGGTTCTTCAAGGAGCCTTGGAATCCAGGGCTGATTTGACTAAGATCACCAAAGTTTAGATCTAGAAATGTTTGGATTTCTTGCGTGAGTTGTAGTAGATGTAGGTTTTGTAGATGTTTTTGGTTCTTGAAATTAGAAGGTTTGTCGCAGTAAAACACTTGGTTCTACAAAAAAAAGCAAGAGTCCAACTTTAAAAAGCACCACACAGAGTTCATGGTTCTAGCTGATCTTAAAGATGGACTAGAAAAAGTTGGAGCTCCAGTTTTCAGTCTCAAAGATGTCATTTAGATCTAGACCAGATTCTAGATAGGTTTTGTACAAAGATGCTGAAGAAGTCATTTCAGGTTTAGCTTTAATTCTAGAACCATTGTGAGTTCGGACGTAGCTTCTACAACAGGTTGGAAGGTCCAGGATTGTTTCAGGACAAGAAGTCTAAGGTTTGATCTACAAGAAGCAGCGGAATCTAGGCCCGGTTCGAGGAGTGTCGGCAGGTTTTTGTCACACAAATCTAGAAGAGGTTCTAGGTTGAGGAGAGGTGAGGAGCTCTAGATCTACGAGACTACACATTTCTGCTGGGAGCCGGAGTCGGCTTTGGAGGCCGTTACGGTCGAGGCAGTGTTTACCATGCTCTCAGGCAGTGACTGAGTTCTGACTGTGGCCAGCGGTTTTGATAAAGCTTCGGATGAACTTGCTTCGGTGGTGTCAGTGGAGACCTCAACATCCTGAAGAAACATGAGCAGGGTTAGAAGATCAGTCAGGTCAGTCAGTTAAATACATCACACAGTCACGCCGACACTCTGTTAAAGAATTATGTCACGTCATGTTAAAGATCTCTCTGCTCTGTTATCGCCATCGTTTGCTGTTTTCAACCCTTTTATTTCAGGATTCTCCAATAAAAACCTTGAATTAATAATATAAACGTCATCTAGATAAACAGCTGATAATAAGAAACACACAAGGTCTGTGAAATGTAAAACCAAGATTCATTAAAAGATAAGTCTGGAGATATTCTGGATTTTTAGTATTGTCGACAAATGCTGCAAAATATTCAAATCAACAGTTTATTTTCTTAACCTGCTACATAAATATAGATTTAAGGGAATAACGGGACCTTTCATGGTACAACATCCATGAGACCACGTTTGGTTTTTGTTTGTTTTAATTCATTTATTTATATCAAATATTTTGTTATTGCAAAATTAAAAAATTTTAGAAAGAGCCCATTTTTTGAAGATCTGAACCACTCACTGTTGAATTATGCATGACTTTAAGCCTTAATACAATTTCACAGTTTGGGTTTAATAACAATTCACCACCTGTACAGTTATTACAAATATGTAAATTATCTATAGAGACCAAAAGCGTTTCTTTGCACCAGGCTGTAACTATGTTTATTTCTGCTGTAAAGTTGGAGTTTTTAACATGGAGGTCTGTGGGGACTTAGAGGCAGCCTCAAGTGTCCATTTGAGGAACTACAGTTTGTAAAAAATATTATGTTATTGTAAATAACAAAAAGCATATATTTGAAAGCTTTAAAGTTTTCACCTTAAAGCAGCCGTGCCTTTCAAAAATGCACAACTTTGAGCTTTAATACGATTTCACAGTTTGGGTTTAATAGAAATTCACCTCCTGTGCAGAAAGTTGTCCATAGAAACCAAAAGCGGGTTTTGAATCAGGCTGTAAAAATAACCTATAAACTGCAGCTTCATTTTTCAGCACCAGAGGTTATATAGTTTTTGGATACCCAGACAATACGTGTTAGTAGGATCAATCTATCCTCTGCTTTTGGTGAGAACTATTACCAGACTTATCTTGACAGAACGACTGATGAAAGTTCAGTTACCTTGCTTTCTGCTGCAGCCTGTCCGGTGCTTCGTCTGGCGGCAGTTTCAGCCTCTCCTGAGACGACGACGGCGGCGGGTTCCTGACACCAACAACGACACGTTATAGAAAAAAACAACCAAACCGAGACGCTGCAAGGCTGACAGAGAAAGCCGGTGCCACACAGATTACAAACGCTGACGCTGCCCTCTAGAGGAAGAACAACCACCAGACACAGGAAAAGAGAGGGGGAATGATTGGAGAGATGCATGGAGGTTCAGGAAGGGATTTAATACGATGAGTGGGGCGGTGGTAGTCGAGGGGAGGAAGGTGATGGAGAGCAGAGCGACCCAGGTCAGAGATTAGTCATACAACGAATGCTTTAATTGTAACTGGATCGCTAATCGGGTCTCAGGTGTGTCATCAGGCTGTCACATAATTTCCTGTAATTTCTGGAAAATGTCCTCCCTGACCTCTGGGTCGCAGATGAGCTTGAACAGAGCCGAGCAAAAGCAGCGTAGGAGCAGAGGAAGAAAAATGCCTGAAAAATTTTGAGTTTTTTTTTTTTTTTTCTCTCCTTGATCTTCTTTACCTCTGGCATAGTGCCCAGGAAAGCATCCCAGAGCCACCAGAAAACACCGCCTCCAAACTCCTCCACTGTCTGCTCGCCCTCAGCCCGGAGCACGACGGGATGCTCACGCTGCTGACACGAAAACACGCTCATGTGCAGAGTCGTACAACACAACATCTGGGAGCAAACATCTGGCTCGCTAACGCTAGCCTCGCTTCTTACACTGGGTTGTTTAGAATACATTAATGGAAGCGCCATTAGCAGGTTAGAAGGTGCCGGTGCAGCCTTTACCTGCACCGTCTAAAAACTGATCGATTAATCTATTAGCTGTCAACTTTTAAATTAATCTGCAGCTGCTTTTAATGACCGATTCATCAGTTTGAGTCATTTTTTAAGGATAAACTTGCTAAATGTGGATATTTTCTGGTTTCTTTTTCCCTCTCTGGCAGAAAACTGAATATCTTTGGAACTTTGGGAAGCACTACTGGGCAATTTTCCAGCATTTTCCGACTTTTAATAGGTTAAAAAATAACCGATTAATCGAGAAAATAAAAGGCGGATTCGTCGGCGTAGAAAATAGTCGTTAAATGCAGCCGCCCAAAAGCCAAATCCAGATTTTCTCTTTTCTTTATTTTGGTAAATTTCAAAATCCTGCATCAAATTTGCTCAATAAATATATGAAATCATGGTTACCAAGCTTGTTTTTTTGTTTTTTAAAGCTTTATTAACCTCGACAAGGAGTTTTGTTTGTTGGATATTAAAATATCGCAAAAAAAAAATCTGGTAAAACGGTTTAAAACATTTTAAAGGATTTCTTTCACATAAACTCTCACAAACTCCCTTAGATTCTTTATTTAGAGGCATGAAATTGAAGCTGCCATCCCTCCAGTAAATGAAACACTTCAACTCAAGACACCATATTGCAGCAATGTTAAATATTCTACACATCTTGCCAAACTTATCTGCTAATATCAGGTATTTTTCAGAAAGTGTTGGGATCTTCTGCAGGTTTGAATGAAGCACATCGACTGAAAATGTCTTTCTGTTAATTAGTGCACAGCAAAACTTTAGCTTTACCACCTGCACTTTTAACAATATCAACCAAAAACAAAAACATTTCCAGTAGAGAAATTAGTAGCTTTAAGCATGCAGAGGAAAAAAAAAAGAATGTAAACTCTGGATTATTGTAAACACTTTGTTAATAACTAATGTGGGATTGATTATACATGCACCACAGAAGATCAGCCTTCTTCACTGCTACATTTAGGTTTCATTGCCTATTTGCTGTGTAGTAAAAGAGGCGACGGTAGAATAAACACCGCTGGATGAGGGTTTCTTACCCAATCAGGTGTCCAGGACTGCCTCTGCTCAGGTGAGGTTCGCTCCACAGTCAGCAGCGTCGCTCCGGATCTCCTCAGGACGTCTTCTTCAACGTGGACAATTCTGATTTGACCCTGTTCCTCCTTCTGAGTGAAAAAAACAAGGTATAGCTTTTGTTAAATTGATTATTTCTTGTTTTTCTACATATAATAACATTGGGGCTCCGCATCATCTTGGAGGAATAACGGATGTGGTGTGATCAAAAAGTTCTGGGACTGTTGCGGTGAAAGTTTCAGGCCTCTACATGTTTTTTGTGGCCTCTCGTAATTGCATTTTTGCAATTTAAACATCACATTCTGTGTTAGTCAGCAGCTGGATGAGGGAGGGCCGTCATGGTGACCAGAGGAGGGTCTTCAGCTACCACCAGGAGAACAAACAGCAGTTTAACAGTGGAAGAGCCGCAATCTCTGAGATCGGAGGAGAGTCCAGAACTTTTACCACAAATGATCTCAACTGTGGCACCTTGTGCTATGAAATAAGACAACTGTTGCTCCCCACTTGCTAGATTTGGCTCTTTGCAACTTATTACACTTGCAAAAAACACAATTATAGTTAAAGGTTCACTGTTCGCACTATGAAATAACACACGTGTTGCTTTCTTCTCGTTCTTCTTGCCAGATTTGGATACTTGTGACTTGTGACTTCTTACTTAGCTGCAAAAAACTAAATTCCAGCTGAAGGTTTGCTGTTTTAACACAGTTCAGAAGATTCACCACTTATAACGGGACTTCCAGGGAACTTTGGTGTTGCAGGAGCACTGGAAGCTGAGCGTCAATGCACAGATTTAAGTTAGGTCTGGATTTAGATTTTTAGAGGCTCAGTCCTGAAACCTGATCGCACCTTAATATCAAAGTCCCAGCACCAGACGCTGGATCGCTGGTGTCTTCACCTTGAACTAATCACCAGGTTTGCGATGTCAGTATTGTCCTGAGGTGGAACCTTTGACCTCAACTGTGGCACAACGCGCTAAGAAATAACACAAACATCGCTCCCTACCTGTTTCATTTGCTAGATTTGCGACTTGTGCTTGCAAAACATTAAATTCAAGTTGAAGTTTCCTCATTCTCGCTATGAAACAACACAACTGTTGCTCCCTACCTGCTTTACTCTCTAGATGTGGCTCCTTGCAACCTCTTACTCTTGCAAAACAAATTAGTTTGCAGTTTTGCTACAGTTTATGAGATTCAGCGCTCACGTTGGGACTTTCAGTTACAAGTGTTGCAGGAGCACCGGGAGCAGAGCAGCTACTACTTCGACAGTTTTGGATTTTTCTAGACAGTCTCAGAACTTGTTGATCGCACCTTTGTAGAATCTGTTATTGAATTCATTGTAAAACACTCCCATACATTTACAAACGTCTCGATCTTCTCGAAATTCCAACCAAACTCACCTCAGCCTCCCCAGAAGTGGATTTCTGCAGCTGAGGCTGAGACGTGGCCTGTTTGGCCGACTGAGCTTTGGCCTGGATTGGAGTCGGAGGTTGCTGGATGAACAGAGCGGGAACCTTCTGCAGAAACATCGAAGCAAAGAAGGTTCAGTGAATGCCACTTTGAGTTAAAGTTTCCCACCGAGCAAATAAATAAACGACTGACTGACTGACTGACCTTTTCCAGTTCGAGCAGAAGTGTCTGCAGCTGGTCCACGACGCTGAACACAGTCAGAGTCTCTTCGGCCTTTTCTGGAAGACAGAGTCCCGGTTTGCACTTCTGGATTTCAGCGACTGTCCTCCTCATCGACTGGATCCTCTGCTCAACCAGCTGAACACAAACAAAGCACAAAAACAGAGAATTAAGGTTGATAAAGACACTGTTTGTATTCCTGATTCCAGTCTTCCCAGAATTTATTCCAAATACAGACAAAACAATCAAACAAACGCCTCTGTCAGCGTACTTTGAGGCTGTCCTCTCGGGGGCTCGGTAAAGACTCTGGAGACGACAGCAAAGTCTTGATCTCAGCTACGTCGCCCTCCATCTTCCTGACTTCACTCTCGATGGCCTCCACTTCCTAGAAATCCATCAGTACAAGTTGGAAATGTAAATAAACAGAGAAGGTGATCAGCGCAGCGATGAAGAAGTAAAATAACAAGACCCACGGCAGCGGCATGTTCCAGCTGAGACAGAGGAGCCGTGAAACTGTCCTGAACGTCGGCCACCCGGTGGTCGGCCTCCAACAGCTGCTCCTGCAGAGTCGTGACATCGCAAACCTGAGACATCTCCTTCAGCACGGAGCTGAAGTTCTGCAGCGTGGTTCGGATCTGTGCCGAGTCGTCCAGCACCATCTGCGCCGCAAGACACACGGGAAAGGTCGTTTAAAAATGTGAAGAAGTAGGTAGAAGGCGAGAGTGGTGCGGCGTACGGACCTGCAGGGCGTGAACGTGGCTGCTCAGACACTTGGCAGTGGTGTAGGTGCAGGGAGCGGCGAGCCACGACTGGGCTTCGGTCATCCAGCTCTTGGAGCTGTTGATCATCTCTTGATGCTCCTGAAGCCACGTGTGGATCTGAACACAAACATTTACTTTAAATACAAACCCAACCAAGTGTGATCGCTGCTGTATTGAATTAATACATTCTTCTCCCTCTGAACTTCGAGTTTCTGGGCAATTATCTGATCCGGTCATGATTTTAGTCACCGTGGGCTCGTTTCTCACTGCAATATAAAGTCCTGCACCTCTGAAAGTAGCTAACAAAATAGCTAGACGTGTAGGGAACTCATAATCTTCTTCTGTATCAGAGTTATAATGGCACTAATCACAGAAATAAAGTTTAAAAAAATGTGGGATTTCTTTCTTAATTCTTTTCACCAGCAGGGAAAATAAAACAGTAGCTTTATATACTATAGATTTTTTACTGTTTATATTTTACAGCCTCTACTAAATAATTTTTTTACTCTATTCTGCTCATCATCTGTAGAAAGATGTTCCACCATGCTGGATGTATCTCCAACAACTGGCTTCTCTGGTCACTCTCTGGTTTCTGAGCCATGCTGCATTTATTTTATCGACTCAAAATATTTTTTTTCTCCATTTAAAAGTGTCCAAAATTATTTAAAACCTGTCCAAAGTAATATAAAATTCCCCAAATTACTCAAAATCTAGTAAGTAACTTGAAAACCGTCCAAAATTTCAGAAAATTTGTTTAAAATGACTGATTTTTGACAATTTGGAGTTTAATTTGTGTCCCAACAGTTTTACCAATATTGGAAAAAATGGTGGCATATTACGTATCTATCTATCAAAGTAAGATCAATTAAAAAAAAAAAATATTACTCACAATTTCTCAAAAATAGCATGAAACGTCTCTAATGTCACATAAAACTGTTCCAAATTGACCCGAATGTTGTCCAAAATAATTTAAAACTTTCCAAAATTATTTTACACTTGTTTAAAATGACTCAAAATTAGTTAAAATGACAATTTTCGATCATTTCGGACACTTTTTTTGTCATTCTGGCCAATTATGAGTCCCACAGATGTTACAAACACCTCTACAGACTTTTTCTGTCTGCTCTGCTCATCATCTGTAGAAAGATGTTCCACCATGGGATGCAATTTTTAACAATAACTTGCCTCACAGCAGCAGGTTGTGGAGCTCAGGGGGTTAAAAGAGAATTCTGGTACACTTCAACGTGACGTGTTTGGCATTAATGTGTCCGTTGCGGCTCTATAATGACACTAACTTTGCACCGTTGTAGAGATTCCCTGAAACGGCATTTAGCAACAGAATTAGCATAAACTTCCTGCTGCTTTCCAAAGAAAACAGGATTAATTTGCTTTAGCTGATCGTATTTAGAGTGCAGGGAAGTTTATCGACGCTGCAGATTTATTAGTTGGAGTTTCACAGTCCAGTCAGACTGAAAACAAACATTTAAAACTCACTGTGACGCTGTTCACGAGCTGTTTTGTGCTGCTAAATATCTCTAAATCCCTATGACAGAGGCGTAGAGTGTGAAGCTAGTACGACCCATAAATTCCAGATTAAAATAAACCAGAATGATCTTTGAAACTCCTGAAAGCAGAACGTGTGAATTGTCATTTTGGAAAAACCCTCCAAGGCTGCCAGAAATTAGAAATCACAACAACACTTTGACACAATAAAGTGTTTTTGAGTGAGTTTTGATATTTGTGAGCGGAACAACATGAGAGTTTTGCAGCAATGACAGAAAACTAATATTCTAAACATTAATTAAATATGCAGGTTAAAACCTTGAACACCAACGAACACAAACAGTCGTTACGTCTTTGCTGTTTGACACCAAACAAGTTCGGAGACGCTACGACTTCCCATCGTGACTGACAACACGTTCAGATGTAGGAACTCTCTCACCTTGCTGAGCAGCGTCGTCCTCTGTTCTGCCTGCTTGGCCAGCAGTGAGTGAAGCTGCTGAACCTCCACCAGCCTCTCGGTGAGGATCAAAGCCTCCTCAGGCTTCTCCAGGTCCTGCATGGCCACTTCCAGGGCGGCCAGACGGGAATGCCAGACGTCCAGCTCGTCCCAGACACGCTGAGCAAAGAGATAAGAAGAGCAAGACGAGATTTATTGGTGATACTACAGAAAAGAACCCCACGAATTATATGACTTTCAACCCTCTAAATCCCAAATATACAATAAAAAGAATCCTGTATAAACAGTTAAAATCTGGCAGGAAAGAAGCCTGAATAATGAGCAAACAACATCAGAATACTGAAACATTTGAAAACTATTTTTAAAAAATCCTAAATTAGCAGCAAATATCGGTAAAGTAATGACATTTTTAGCTGATTTAAATACAGTTAATTGCTATAATTTTACAGGCACAGAGTTGTTGATGTGGACATTTTGTACAGCAATTTTATTTTATATTTTTTCAATGTTCTACGATCTGTAGTTTAACAAAACAGGGAAACTTTGTAAATAACCGGTAAAAATATATTTACAATTTTTTAGTTCTGAATATAAATACTTTTTCTTTCAAATAACTGCAATAATCTGTGAAATAATGACATTTTGATGATTTAAATAGGGTTAAAAATCATGTAATTCTACCGTAAAACCTAAACTAGGGAATTACCAGTTATTATAAGTATTATTGTACCTGTTTACTGTAAATTGATGACGATGATCAACACTTTTTTTTTTCCAGTGATTTTGCCAGTTATTGTCTGTCATTGAACCAAACAGAGAAAATCCACTGAAGCGCCACCACCCACCTTCTGGGTGACCTTTGCTTCAATCACGGTTGGACTCCTCTGTTCCAGTCGGTTCTGGACTGACCTCAGACCAGCCTGGATCTCCGACAGTTTGGCTCCCAGTTTGTGGACCGGACCGCTCCTGGCCACCGCCTCGCCCACCTGACCGACCAATCAGGAACAAGCAACAACAATTACATCATTTCCGTCTATGATATTAAGCATCAATACATCGTCCTGAAGTCTTGCGTACCTTAACTTCTACTTGCTGCAGCGACGTCGTGACTTCCTGCAGCTGGCTGTCGACCTCGACCGGCACCAGAGTGTACATGTCGGAGTATTTCATCTTCAGGCTCTCCATGATGCGTTGCAGCAAAGCCTTCTGGGTGCACAGCTGGCTGTACAGGTCCTGAAATCACAGAGAGGAAAGATCTGGTGTAAATAAAGTCAGATCGGAGGAGGGTCTGCAGCTACCACCTGGAGAAGAAACGACAGCTTTCACCAGAGAATGAGTGCGGCGGTGCATTTTCCCAACATGTGAGAGGATGTACACTGTGAATTCATCCGTTCAGCGCTTGTTGCCAGTAGTGCTTGACATTGTCACGTAACAGGAGTTCCAAGTGTTGCAGGAGCAGTGGGTGCAGAGGGTCACTACGCAAGAACACGACTTTGACAGAGATGGCGATCACATTTAAATTAGGTATGTTTTTTGATTTTTTATAAACTTTTTAATCTTGTCTTGTATGTTTTCTAACAATAATAAAAATCAGGGATGTCCTGGTAACTTTTAACTGATTTGTATCGACATAAACCTAATCCCTAATTTTTGTTCACCCGTGCTAGCAACAAAAAAAATGGCTGCCAGATGTTCCACTACGATGTAGAACAGAACACTTACCTCGCAAGTCACTAAACATCACAGAAGTCTTTGTCATGGCTCCCGTTGACTAGCTAAACTCCCACAATGCTCTCTGCTTGCCAGTATGAAACAGTAAGAGGCTCCACCTGGTGGAACAACCAGGTACTGCAGCTCATCTACGCTCCTTGAAGTGAGTATTATTTAATTATCGATATGATAAATGGCTCTGATTGGATCTGAAGCAAAGAAAAGCTGCTCAGGACATCACTACTAACAATAACATTTATACGTGGAATTTCTTGATGACTTGCAATAGCCAAATGTTTTGTTTTGTTTATTTAACTCAACGCTAAAAAAACAAAACAAAACAAAAAATCTCCTGTAGAACCCAAAAACGTAGTAACGGCCGATCACGTAATAAAAGTCTTGAACCGATATCTTTTGGCCAGTAACGTAGTAAGTTATGTTATTGGCCTGGTAAAAAAAAATAAAAACAATAATAATTGTTTGCAAATGTAATAACCGGCCAAAAGTTATTACGTTATCGGTTCAGGACATTTATTACGTTATTGGCTTCTACATCTTCTTTTCCCAACATCAGCAATAATATGTTCAAGAAAAATGCTGAATTCAGATTTTTAACACAGCAGAAATCTTACTTTGGGATAAAACACTAATCTTATCTGCAGCTCTTCACCTCACAACCCGCCTGAAGGCTCTCAGTGGTTTGTTCAGCAGTAAACTCTCCCTCCTGGTTCATCACACTGAGCCTTCCACTTCAACAAAACACTTCAAGAGTGAATTTTAATCACCTCAGTGAGCTGCTGCTTTACAATAACAACTTAGATTATTTTTTAAAAAAGACAGAAAATCATGCAAACAGTGAGAGATAACACGGAGGAGACTACCTGGGTGTGAAAGCGTCCGATGCTCTGCTGCTCAGGGAGGAGCATCCTGTTATCTCTGAAACTGAGCCGGTGGTACAAAGGACGGCAGGACGATGGGTTTGTTTGAAGGAGAGAGCTGAGAGCGACTTGTAGCTATCTTTGTGAGGACTGGTCCACTAAGGAGCCTTTTAGTTTAGCGCTTCTGGGATATTTACAAACGTGAGGATGAAGAAGAGCATTGAGAAATTTATTAGAGTCGAGATATCGTTTGGAAAACTGAAGGTGTTCTTTAAAATCTGCACATTTTAGGAAAGTGGGGACCTTTTATAACCATCTCAGAGTTTTAGGAAAGTCTATACATTTGAGGAAACTTTTTATTTCCATCTCGATGTCTGTGCAGATTCTTAGTCATCAACATCAAGGTGAGCTTCAGCAGAAAGCAGCTGGACTTCCATGTAGGTTCTCGAAGGTGTTTCACTTCGTACTCAAGAGGTTTCTTCAGTTTTGAAGAACCTCAAGAGAAGTCAAGTTGATTTTTTACCAAAGATCCTACCATTTTTATGTTTTAAATAAGAAAGGATATATGAGGAAAGTCTGTGAGTTTTAGTACAGTAGGTCTGTAGTGTCCACGTCTACTGGTCCACTGGTTGGTCCATCTTTAGTTGGTTTGTTTTTTAAATTTATTTCAAAACAGGGGTTCTGTACATTAATAATTAATAATAAAAGATGTATGTAGATGAACCAGACATAGTTCTAGGCTCATTTTCATGTGCAGTCTTTGGCCAGATGTTAACAACATCACTCGATCAAAAAGCAGACGTTTCAATTAGCGTCTTGTTTAAGGAGGCGAGCAACGGATTGGTTTAAGGGCAGCTACGAGATGTTTTTTGGTTCACTGCAGCATAAACACGTATTGTGTGTGATGTAAACATGGTTTTGGAAAAGAGTGTGCAGGAATTAGCTAAAGGAAGAAGGTGAGATTTGGAGGTAATCAGAGTATTTACCATAAAATGAAGGTTTTTCTTTTTTCTCATTTTCGTCTTTTTGCTAAATGTTTGGGGGAAAATGACGAAGGTTGGTTGAAAAACAGTCATTCAAAAGTGAGATTGGGCACTTTGTTCCTCTTTAAATCAGACACTTTGTCATCTTTTTGTTTAAGCAACGTAAAGGATGTGGAATGAATGATTGTTATGATGATGGAGATGGAAACTTATTTAAGTTATTTACGCAACCAATCTACTGGTTGAACAGAACGCATGATTTCCATCAACTAAAACCTTCTTTGGTTGTCTAATAGCAAGTTTGCACATTTTAGGAAAGTAGGGGCCTTTATCCGCAGGCTCAGAACACTTTTTCTGAGTCCTCCCTTCTTTAAGAGGGTTATTTGAAGGTTAAGATGTGGTTTAATAGTTCAGTTTACAGTTCTGTCACTTCAGCTGGAGCTAAAGGGAATATATAACGTCAGCGAGTGTCCTCACAAGTGCAGAAGCAGCAGTGTGTTTGTGTTCGCCCGTGAAACGACTCGGCTACAAAGGCCACCTGAAGATCCACTTACAGGCCAGAACAAAAGGTGTCTGGTACCAGAGGAGGGCCGAGGGTGGTGGGAGCAACGGGGGAGTGATGGGGGGGATGTTTGGGGTCTTTCAGGGGAGTAAAGTCTGTGTTTGTGAGGATAGACGCTGGATGAGATGCTGGCTTGTGCTCAGGTTTCAGGACAAAGAGCGAAACGGGTTCATGGAGGTGAAAGCAAACGGACTGCGGGCTAAACGCCAAGCAGACGGTTGGATTCAGATCTTTTTTTTTAATTTACTGGAAAGCTTTAGTACACAATTAAACAACACCTGCCTCCGTCTATGTTCATTTAGATCACAGGAGCTGGAGTTTTTGCAACAAGACAAACACGGTCAAGTCAAAAATGACAAAATCTAGCAGCTGAGTTTGACAGACTGGCGTCATTACAGAGATCGACAACAACGTTTTTTCCAGAATAGTTATTCCAGGTATCTGTAACATCACTCTGATCAGCCTAAACCACACAGATATCTGTAAGTCAGCATCAACTAGTCCAAATAATGGTCGCAGGCATCTCTAACTAGGACTAGCAGGGCTGATAAAATTCAATCTGTGGCCAAAAATAGTGATGCTCTTTTCCTTTCTTTTCTTTTTCCTCCCTTTACAACCTCGTAAAAATCCTCCGTATCTGGAGTTACATCAGAAACTTTCTTTTCAAACGCACTGTTGTCACGCCAGGTCAGTCTGAGGAGCAAATTCTAGTAAACTTCCAACACAAATCTCTGATAAGCAAAGCTCTTGTTCTCCAAAAACTCGAAATTTACGGCATATCGTCCATTTTTTGTCTGTAGATAAACTCGAGACCTTACGACAAAGTTCAAATGGACTCAGAACTCTGATATCCTGATAAATCATCTTGTTAAATGCAGTTGTAGCGCCACAGTGGGTTTGAAGTTGCAGCTTAAGAACCTAAAAGGACAAAGTTGACATGTTGGATTTAGAGGAATTAAAGATACCTTTAACTCGATTCATTAAAAGTCAGGATTAAACTGTAGATAGCCGAAACTGGAATTACAAATAATCAGTACTCTGTTGTGGAAACCTGCAGCTAAACTGCAGATATTTGTAATTTAAAAAACTTCATACACAGGAAAAGTGACCTAATTAGTCCTGGAGGAAAGACAATGAGGATCTAAAAGGTTCTTATTGAATAAAAAACCTTGAGTCCAGATAGCGAGTAAATGTTAAACCAAACATGTTTACAGCATCTGTCAGCTGGCTGCTACGTAATAAAGGTAAACTAAGACTGAAACTAAACTCAGTCTGTATCTAATTATAACATAAAGCCTCACGACACCAGAACTCCGTTTAAATGTCTGTAATTTCCACTGAGACGAGGACGACTCTTTATAAAAACAGCAGCAGCAGCGAGAACAAACACATCATTGTGTTTCCGGCTCAGATGATGAAACTGTGTCGTCTCATTAGAGCCTCATTATTTCCACTCCGCCGGTCAGCGGGGACAGAAACTGTAGAGCTCAGCGATGTGGGTTTGGATCCCACAGTGGGACCTGGAGACACCCAGCGGGGAAAGACTTTCATTTAACTAATGTTTCGTCTCCTCTGTGGCGACAGGATGAGCAGGAATGGCCGGTTTTATCACACATATCTTATTCTCTATTGCAATGCAATGTAGAAAATTCAATTTGAAGTACTTTTGGTGCTGCAAACAGGGACTGAAATGACCAAAATGAAATTAAAATAACTACTAAAGGTCTCAAAATGACTAAAAAGTGACTCGAAATGTCCAAAAAAGAATCCTAAATGACTACAACGAGATTCAATATGACCCAAAAAGTGACTCGAATTAACCAAAGAGGATATACATATCACAAAAAATGGACTTTAAATGACCGAAAAGCTATTAAAAACGATCAAAAAAGGGATTTAAAATGACCAAAATCGAAGTAACATAACCACAACGGGACTCAAAATGTCCCAAAAATGGATTCAAAATGATCAAAAAGAGACTCAACATGACAAAAAAACTGATTCAAATGGACAAAAATGTTTTCAAAATAACCAAAAAGTGATTCAAAATGACCAGAGAGATTCCACATGACCACAATTGGACTCAAAAAGACTACAAAACTACTTAAAATGTCCATAATGGATTCAACATAACTAAAAAGGGACTCAAAATTATTCAAAATGACCAAAATGGAATTAAAATAACCACAACGGGACTCAAAATGAGTAAAAATTGACTCAAAATGTTCAAAAATGAGATTCAAAATGACCAAAAAAAGAGACTTAAAATTACAAAAAATTGACCTAAAATGACCAAAAAGCTATTAAAAATGATCAAAAAGGAATTTTAAAAATAATAATCAAAATGACCAATAAAAAGATTTTTTTTTAAAAAAACTAAAAAGCTAAACATAAGTAAGTTTGAATTTTAAAATCTATTAAATCAATACCAAAAATGAATCGACTACGAGTCAAAAACCTCTCATTCTTGTCAAAATGTAAAACACAGCAGATTGAACATCTGGCTGATAAGTGCTGACTTGATCCTGTTCAAACCTGAGCCAGGTGAGCTGCAGGTGTGCTGAGCGTCTCACCTGGAGCTGCTGAGTGCTGCTGCTCCTCTCCATCTCCACCAAGAGACCTCCGGCCGCCTCCGTCCAAACCCGGACACCCTGCAGCTCCTCCCGGACCTTCTCCCGCTCCTCCAGCTCCGTCCTGGTGGCCAGCAGACCCTCCATGCTTGTCTGCTTCACCCTGAGGAAACACACAAACACGTTTGAACAACAGACGCCCGGCGGCTGAAACCCTCGAAGGCCAGAGCTCTCCCCGAGAACAGCGTCCATGACTGAACTCAACCTACAGTAACGTATCCAAAGCCTTGGACCTCGCTGCAGTCTCTGACCGACCCACTTTAACCGATCCATTGTCCCGGTGTAGCAGGGATTGTGGGTAATGGAGTTTTGTTTGTGTCCCAATTATGCCAAGGCTCTAGTTAGACACTAAAACTGAAAATTGTGTATAAGTGTGATTGTGCGTATGTGTGTGGACCCCAGGAAGAATAGCCGATGCTTATGCTGGTGCTAATGGAGATCCTAATAAATGAGAAATGAGAAAAGTTTGCAGGAAAACGTCCTTAAATTCACACAAACTAACAGTTTTGTCAACTTGTCCAGGAACCAGAAAGGAACCTGGTGCGTGCCCATGACCCTCTGTACGACTCTGAGACGTCTAGTCAGTCCCAGACGTCTAGTCAGTCCCAGGTGTCTAGTCAGTCCCAGTTGTTTGCCGGCGGTCTTACCTGCTGTATCGTCCCTGCATCTTCTGCAGCTGCTGACACAGCGGGATGGGCGGGGCCTGCTCCAGGTGGGAGGGGACTCCCAGCAGTCGCGCAGCTCGCAGCTCCAGCGCCGACAGAGCCCGGTGTTCGCAGTCCAGCCGGTCCTGGTACTGCTCCCAGGACTGCAGCAGGTCCTGCAGCTCCTCGGTGGACGCCTTCGCCCCGGAGGCGTCGGGAAGCTCCGCCTCCACCTGCTCCAGGACGGCCGAGGCCTTCGCCACCTGACGGGAACACATCAGTAAAGTTAAAGGCGTTGTATTTACTGGGCTGAAATGGAACAATGTCTGCTGTTGCTATTTATTTATGCTTAGTTACTCTAAAGCTGAACTTTCAATGACCTCTACATAATATGACGCAAAATAGGCATTAGGGAATCACGTTTTTAACAATTTTCTTCATTGATAATCGTCAGCCTTATCAATTAATGATTAATTAATCAAGCAAACTCATTCCATGTCCTGATAAAGCTGCTTTTCATGCCACAGCGACGGTAACTCGGCACATTTTAGCTTGTCGACAAGATGGCAGCTTCGTGGCCCCCTATCAGCTAAAATACTACTGTGACTGCCATATATAATAACGCTGAGACCACCAAGAGTTATTAATTATAGAGACTGACTTAAATGAGACACTACTGCATTATAGATTATGAAACTTAACCAAACTAAAATAAATACTGTGGCTAAAACAGTGTTACTAAGCTTTTGTTTTGCAAAACAATATGAAAAATATTTGCATGTGCTTTATAATACTGATTTTTCTCATTTTTTCCAAGTGGAATATTTCATTATCGTGTGTGATATTACTTATTATCCTTTACTTTTTTATTCTAGACTGATGTTAATATTTCAGTATTGTGTCCTACTTTTATCTTATTGCTTTTCTACTTCTCAGGCGCTGCAACTCTTATGTCATTTTGTTTTATCTTATATTCAAACATGAAGAGAGTCGAGGCTGCAGGAAGAAGAAGAAAAACGTCTCATGAACTGGGACGCTCATCGTATTTATTAAATCCAGACGTAAAGCTTGTTTTTATGAGTTCGTGTCCGCTTTACTCACGCTGTCGGTGATGTCTTGACACTCTGTGATTCTCTGCTTGCTTCGCGTCCTCAGCTCCTTCGTGCAGCGTCGCAGCCTCGACAGCCTCCTCCAGAGGGCGCTGACGGCCGCCTCCCGGCCTCCCCGGCAGCTCTGCTCGGGACAGAACTCCTTCAGCTCCTCCAGACGCCTCAGCAGCAACTCCATCTCCTCGCACAGAGCCTGGACGACAGACAATCAGCTGATTAACCGTGTTTCCTCAAAAACGTGACCCTCCAGCGCTTTAACATGTAAACGATCGGACGTCTACGTACCGTTAGCTTCGACTCCTGCTCGGTGCAGTCGGCCAGGCATGTGATCTTCTGAGAGATGAACTGTAAGAGTCGGTTCTCTGCCGTCTTCACGCTCAGCACGAGTTCATCCTGACGCTTCATGTAGTTTCTGTGCTGTTCTGCGCACCTGAAAGACAAAAACGATGATCTTTAAAAGGATTCTGCACACTTAAAATGCCGTTAGATAACAGGGTTTACTGGTACGTTTTGCGAATTTACCATTTAAAAAAAAACAAACGTACTAAAAAAAAATACAAACAGGTAATGTGCAGTGCAATGAATATTAATTATTGTTATATAATCTTAGTGTGTGTGACGTCAGCACATAGAAATCTGATCCTGCATCAGTTTAAAACAGTTTGGATTCAAATTAATTAGAAGCAGGACGCATAAAACACTTTTTTTTTTCTACTGGCACATGTAGTCTCACACTGACTTAATAAACACTTCAGATTGCTGCCTAAATCTAATATTTTCTAACTTTTTTTGGCCGATGCAGCTATAAATGTAGGCACATAAGTCTGTCCTGTAGTTGAAATAACATATTTTTGTGGCTAACGTCCATAAATACCAGCACTGGAGCCTTTATATGTGTTATATTCAGGTAAAGTTGTATTTTATACAATTTTTATAGGGTTTTAAACTATAAAATGTAAATTACTGAGGTGAAGTCACATGATAAATGACACTACGGAGTTTGAACCTCAATATTTAAACTAGTAAGGTTGGTTTTTAATGACAACTTAAAAAAAATAATTACTTATTCATATTCTTTGTCTTTTCCAATGGAAAGCAGCTTTGATCTTAATCCTTATTTTTGTCCTGTGTGACCCGTGTTTGTTCTATTTTACAGTATTTGTAACTTGATAAAGGTGCAACTTCTTGGGCAGGTCTGGCATCAGAGAAAGATTTTAATCTCAAAATTAAATATAGATAATATAATGTGCTTTATGAAAAACTGTGACTTAACTTGCTTCTTGTCATTATGGCCCATGTAAGCACAGATATAAATGCTTATTAAATGTGCAAAATAGGAAAACGACTTCAACTATTGCGTAAAAAAAAATCCAAATTTACCTTTATGTGACATCTTATCGGCTTGTGTTTATTTATAATAATAACAACAATAATAATAAGAAGAAGAATTATTATTATTTTATAATAATTATAATTTAATTATTTTATCTTTTAGTTTGTGCACCATATTTAAAATAATAAATAACTAGAATTAGATTATTTTAGATAAAACAACATTTATTCTTAAAAATAATATAAAGTTATTATTATTGTTATTATTATTATGAATACTAATATCTATGGTATTTAATTATTTTATTATTAATATTAGTATTAATAATTTTATATCATTAAAAAATAAATGTAATTTGATTATTTTATCTGGTGTTCTATTGACTAATGTTTAACTCTATTTCTCTACTTTTGCCTCCCTGATCTTTCTCCTGTTTGAACTGACCGACCTTCTGTTGTTCAGTGTCCTTCCTGGTTTTATTTTAAAGCTCTTCTTGTCAGACATCAGTGACGTGTCAGTATCTCCGTTCTTTAACTTGTATATATCATAATACCTGCTGAGTCGCTCCAGCTGAACGTGGCCCTTCGCCTGCAGAGTCGACATGCGGACCAGGAGCTGACTCAGGATGTTCTCCTGGAGCTGCTCCACCTTCTGCGGGGAGAGGTAAGGATGCAGAGCGGCCTGGTTCTGGAGCTTCTCCACGTGGGTCTGGAACTGCTGCTGCAGCGAGGCTAAGGCCTGCTGGGTCTCCTGCAGGCTGTCAGAGCAGAACCCAGCAGAACCGTGAGGAGGCAGCAGCTGGACCTCCAGGTCCCTCAGAAACTCCACGGCTTCTCTGACGGCGCCGGTGTAGCTTCTCAGAGACTCTCTGGCCTGACAGACGCTCTCCTGAAATATAACACAACAAGTTATTCACAATCTGCCGTGATCATTTCAGAACCGTCAAGACAGTTTCTGGGTCAGGATCTTAGATTAGTTTCTGGATCAGCTACTAACTTTCCGTCGACTTTTCCGTGACATCTGCAGGTGGTCAGAAGGAATTATTGTGGAAATGATCCTTGAATTGCTTCCCTGTGGTTGTTTAAACTTTACACAAAGCTTTTTAAAATCACAAAACCCAAACCTACCATTTGTGAGTCACACTCGCGGAGGACTGCGTTCTTCAACTCCGTCAGATCTCGAGAGCTTTGTTTGTTTCCCTTTTTCTGCTCCAGAACTTCCACCGTTCTGATTCTGGACTCCACAGCCTTCTTCACCGACACGATCCTCCGGTACTCTCTGTTGATCGCCCCTTCGTCGGGCTCCAGGACGGGGAGGTTCTGCAGCTCCTGCTGGGTCCTCCAGAGGAACGCCTGGGCGGCCCTCCTCTCCGACTCGAGATCCAGGTCCTTCAGCAGGCTCCACTCGATGATGCTCAGGTTGTTGCGGAGCGTCATCTCCCAGGTCTCCAGACTCTCCTCGTTCTGCTTCAGCCTCTGGCGCTCTGCGGTGAGCTGCGACGGGTAAAGATCGGCGGAGATGGCCTGAAGTTTGGAGGCAGCCTCGTCACACAATCCCTTCATCAGAGGAAACTGGACCAGGAGGCTCTCGCAGGTTTTGTACTTCACCTCCAAGTCCCTGCTGTCGTCTTTGGTCTGGAGAACCTGCTCCTGGACGTTCTCCCGCAGATCCTCCACGCACTGCCTCAGGTTCAGGTACCTCTCGTGGTCTCTGGCTTTCGTCTGCAGGAGAACCATTTTGCTGTGAAGCTCAGAAATGACTGAGTTCAGCTCTCTAGTCTTTTCTTGAGGGATCCACGGCTGCAGATGGTCCACCTGAGACTTGTGCTCCAGAATCAGGTGTTTGAAAGGCTCCAGAGCCTGCAGAGACTCTCTGGTGATGGGGAACCGGTGTCTGCTCAGATCTACCAGCATCTGCCTCAGGCTTTTTTCCACCGCGACCAGGTTTTTCTTGCTTGAATCCACATTCTGGAGGAGTTCATCCAGCTCCTTCTTGTTGGCCTTCTCGTAGCTGCTGATAGCCCTGATGTCCTCCTGGAGGCCAGTGAGCTTGTCGAAGAGCAAACAGTTCTCTGTGACGCTGAGTTCAGAGGAGATGTCTTTGCTCTTCATCAGAAGAGCCTCACAGACGGCGGCCTGCTTCTCAGCCTCGCCGACGGTTTCTTGGATCTGGCGAACTCTGCGATCAAATTCGGCGGGACTCCTCAGTTCGCTGTCGGCACTTCTGGAAGCTTCTCTCTGCAGATGAGCCACAATCCACGAGTCCAAGTCGGCGATCTGCTCCGACAGCTTCTCCCTGGTCTGCAGGCCCGACTCCATCTCCTTCTCAGCCTTGGACAGCTTCTCGGTGGTGGAGTTGGAGAGTTCTTCCAGGCACTCCAGAGACGCGTGCACCATGGGCACCTCCTCGGTCTGGTCCAGCTCTGGCAGGAGCTCGGTCACCTCCTCCACCAGCACCTCCAGCTGGCCCTGTTTGGCCATCACCTCGGACTGCAGCTTCTTCAGGTCTCGGAGCTGCCGGTGCACCTCCTCGGGGAGGAGGGCGACCCTCTTCCTCCGGCCCTCGATGTCGCTCTCGGTCTGCTTGGCCCAGGCGAGGCCGTCCCTCATCACCACGGTGATCTTCTCCATGATGGGGCTGCTGCTGCTCAGGGTTTGGGAAGAAACCAACTCCTCGGTGCTGTTCAGTTTGTCTTTGACTTTCTGGAGCTCCTGATGCATCTTCTTAGCTTCTGCTTCCCACCTTGAGCCGGGGCCCAACGCCTCCGACAGTTGCTCCAGATGGAGGAGCTGCTGCTGGGCGGCTTTGACCTCAGCGTTCGCTTCCATCAGCTGCTGCACCTTCTTGCAGTTCCACTCGGAAGGCGACTTGGCTTTCAGGTCTTTGCCGAGTGTCTCCAGATGTTCCTGGAGACCCGACAGCTCCGACAGAACGCCGCTGGCGACCTGAGAATGGGCTTTTGCGTGATGGAGGTTGCTCTCCACGGTTCTTTCCAGGGTTCTCCAAGAGTCTTGCAGGTTCTTCAGGTCAGTTTGCGCAGTCGTTCGTTCAGACCGGCTGAGGGAGGGGATCAGCTTGCTGTGGGTCAACAGAAGTTCTCCGAAGACCGGTCGGTTCTCCTCCATGTTCCTCTGTAAGGAACACAGTCGATCTACTTCCTTGGAGCTGCTCTGCTCTGGAGACCTGGAAGGAAAAGAGTAAAATCAAATCAGAAATGTGCATCTATGAAATACTGACCAAAAGAAAAACATCTTCACTTTGACATAAAAGAGTCTTTATTCAGTTCATTTCAGTGTCTTCGTGTATCTTATCTCAGAGTTTGTCTTGATTTTGAGCTAAAGCGCCTCAAACACAACAATGTTTTAAATAATGCATTCTAGCAAAAGAACAACGAAAATCTGAGTCACAGTTAAAGAAAGATGAAATTCAAAATATATATTATATATATATATATATATATATATATATATATATATATATAATATACATTATAGTAGGACGGAAACATTTATCATGATAAAATGTTTTACTACGGCCGATAATTACGGATTATATTTAACGACTTTTTTTTGGAAAAAGACCAGGAGAAAATGATTGTTTATTTTAAATTTAACAACTTTAACCTATTTTCTAAATATAACAACATAATATTAATTATAGGGTTTTGCCGTAGAATCAAATCATTCAGTCTAATGTCCTTAATCAATCATACGAGTCTTCGCTATAATATCGACTTATTTTAGTCTAAGATTGTTGGGTCTTAGGAAAAATATTAAATCACTTTGGTTAATCACCATAATTGATAACACTGTAGGGTCTCAGTGTTATATATTATAGTCATATAAAGGTGTATGCTATGTTTAAACTCGCTAAGCTAATTTGTAACGGTTAATAATAATCTTTTTTTCTTTTTATAACTTTATATCACTTTGGTGCGAAAGCTGTCGTCATCAATGTCTTTTTATAAATAACTTCACTTTGTGTCTTTCTGCCGTTGATGAAGTGTTTAATTACTGTTTTTATCATTTTATCATCCAGTCCTGCCTCATGGTTCCCTAATATTTTATACTTAAAAGGGAAACCCTCAGATGAGACCGCTCACGTTTCCACAGCCTCCAGTTCCGCCGTCTGTTTCTCCAACAGCGTCTTTGCCGTCTGGACCTGGTTGCTGTAATCCGTCGCCAGCTGTAGCTGAGCCTCTTTGTTCTGGATGACGGCGGCGGCGTCCTGAGCAGCGGTGACCCACTGATCCTCCAGATACTCCAGAGCATCGCTGTTGTCAGCATCGGCCTCTCTCACCTGAGACAGCGACGACACCTGGGCCTGGGCTGCTTCTCTGCACCCCTGCATTCGGCCAGTAAAAGGAGAGAGACTGACTCAAAGCTTCATGGAAATGTAGCGTACAAGTGGTGCGTTAAAACTGCTGTGAACTATGAATGCTGGTTGCTTCCTGGCGAATATGTACTTGTTTGCCACGCTAGCACTTTGGAACAGGCTGGTACAGAAATCCAGTCACGATGTCCAACACTGGAGGCACTTTGGCTTTATTACCGATGTGCTGCCAACCTGCCGTGCATCATCACTAGCATCTACAAACCCAGCAGCTGCTATAAATCACCAATGTTTCTCCGGTGAGTCACGCAGCCTGTAATCTCACCTGTAGCTCCTCCACCTGCCGGGCCATGGCCGCCGGGCAGAGCTCGGCCGGGCTGCTCTTGCAGCTCAGGACTTTGGACACGAGCCGGCTGAGACGAACATCTAGATCGCCGGTGGAGGAAATCAGAGCCTCCGGAGCGTCTTCCACTGGTTTATTCTGCAGATGCATAACAGACTGGAGATCAAAATCTGGCTTAAAACTCTGAGGCTAATTTAGGGCCTCTATAAGTAATAGAAACCTTTTGCTTTGTGTAAATTATCTCCACAAAAGCAGGAAGTTCTCCAGAAATGCTGAAGTTCTTTTAACAATTCACTGTGTGTTTGTTAATATACAACAGAAAGGATGTTTCTATACAGTGAATGTAAACTTCTGGTTTCATGAAGTGTCTTCAGATATTGTGATTCTTCTCTACTGCAAATAACATTGACCTGAATTTAAATGATACAAGAGAGAAAATAACTTTTTTTTTTTCTTCTTTTTTTTGCATTTAAACCCTCTGAACCCCAAAACGTGCCACCAGATTAGAAAGACATGTTATCTTTCAAAACCATAACATTATTTAACACAGTGAAAACAGGAAGAATTGATGTCTTTTCCACTTTCAGTTGGTCCTTGAAGTAATCATGTGTGGCGTTCGGTTCCGTTAGCGATAACTGAGTGATATTTCGTCACTGCATGGTGGAACATCTTTCTACAGCTGATGAGCAGAGCACAGAGGAAAAGTTTGAAGAGGTCGTAAAAATGTACTAAATAGTGGTAAAATAATAAAACAGTGTGTAGAGTCACGATTTTTTTCAGTATTGGTAACACCTGTAGCCATTTTTTCCCCCCTTATTTTTTTTATTATTTATAGAATTATAACTGCACAAGACACATTTCTGAGTTCTCTCTCCTTCTAGTCCTGGTTGTTCTGTTTCCATAGAGACACAGGACTTTATATTGCAGTAAAAAAAAAAAAAAGAGCCCACAATGTTTCAGGAGACAAACATAAACAGTTTGGGGTTCGGACGGTTAAGCCCCTACATGTAGGAGTTTCTAACTGTGGTGACTTCTGGCGGCAGCACTGAAAGCAGACTGACGGTGATACCTCTATGAGCTGACTGTTGGGTCCCGTTCCTGCCAGCAGCTGTATCTCTGCGAAGGTGTTCCTCATTGCAGATCCGTCCGGCGCCTCCAGAACTGCTTTCTCAGGCTTCACGACATCTGCTGTCTTTTCCTGAGGCGACGATCCTTCCACGCGGGTTACTTCGCTGGGGATAAAGCGAGTCGATGGTTTCTGAAGCACCTCCGGTGACGTCCCGTCAGCGTCAGGCACCTGCTCCTTTTGTAGACATCAAACACCGACATGAATGCCTTAAAAAAACAGTCTCGGTTGAGTGGAGAAAAGACCCGTGTCTGTCTGTGAAACAGGTTTATCTCATTTGAGTTCTTTTTACCAACGATTTGTTATGATGTATGAGGCGGCTCATATTCCTTCCCCGAGGCTCTGAAACCTTTGGTAGCACCGCTAGTAAGGTCTTTGCAAAGCATGTAATCCTCATAAAAAGTAGAAATGTTTATCACTAACTATCGAGGACATACCTTTTGAGAACCATAGGCTTTTACATAAATTTTAAAAGTAACCCGACAAGTCGTCCATCTGTTTTTGAAGAACGGTAGACAACATGTGCCAACAAGTACGTGCAGGAGATGATGCATCATAACCGATGCACACGTTTGACTTTCCTGGAGCGAGAAAAAAAAATCTCACTATCTGAGTGTGTAACGGCAGCTTCTGCAGGTATTTCGCAGAGTTATTAACAAAACAAGAACAAAAAAGTTGTAATTTTCTGTAGAGACATACTGTAGAGCTAGAGAAAGAAAAAGGGCAATTAGGACACTGGTTCTTTAAGACGGGGCATTAAATATTACACATGCAAAGCTAACCTTTAACCTAAAATCATGTTTGGAGGTTGTTTTCTTTGGGATGATGCTTCAATTAAACACTGTAGTAATCACAAGATCAGTAACACCCTAAAACCAACTAAAAATGAGTCTGGAAACGACCTACCTTCGGCAACTTCATCCCCTGAAGCCTCACTTCACTGGTGCTGGTGGTAGTTCTCATTTGCAGTGGCAGTTCTACACTGATGTTTCCTCTTTCCCCTCCATGAATCTTCTCCTCTTGTTGCTCCTCTTTCTCTTCTCTTGCACCTGTTGTGAGTTTGTCCGTTTGGACTGTAAAGCTTCTTTGCACATCTACTTCAGTTGCAGGCTGAACTTCAACTGTCTCAAACTGAACTCTTGATTCCACTTGTGGTTCCTTTCCTGTTTTGTCAGTTCCATGTTCAGGCGCCCTTGTGTCGAGTTCAGTCTTTTCAACAGACTTTTCGTCCAAGCTTTTGGGTGACTCTTGCACGTCACATGTTAACACTTGTTTTTCTTGAACACCAGGATCTTTGGTCTCTTTGGGTTTCTCCAGTGCAGTTTCACACAGTTCTAGCGGAGTGTCCTTTTGACTCGGTTCAACCTCACCTTGTCGAGATACGACATTCTCAGTCTTTTCTGGCTGAACATCAACAAAAGTCAGATTTTCTGTTATTTTTTCTTCTTTACCAACACTTGGCGCCTTTGCCAAAGCAACAGATGCAAATTCATGCTCCTCAACCGGTTTAACTGGTTGCAAAATAGGCACTTCGGCTCCTTTGAGGATTTTCTCCACTGTAACAGACTTTTCATCCAGGCTTTGGGGTGCATCATCCTTGGCCTCCTTAGGTCTGTCCTGGGTGGTTTTCAAGATGTCCAGCTTATTCAGAGCTTCTGGTTTTGCAGTAACTTGCTCGACTTCAACTAATTCTTTGTGACCACGTTCCTTGACATTCTCAGTCTTTTCTGACTGAACACTAGCAGGAAGCAGTTCTTGGTTTTCTGTTACCTTTTCATGCTGGATACTTATTTGATCTTTGTCAAACTTTGGCACCTTTGGCAATGCAATAGATATGATTTCATACTTCTGTACAGTGGCCAGTTTTTGTGGCTCTAAAACGGGAACTTCAGCTCTTCCTTTAACCGTAACACCCTTTTCTTCCTGAGTTTGTGGCGCTTCAGGAACATCGGTTTTAACAACTTTAGCATCTTCTTCCACACTGCGATCCTTGGCCTCCTTGGGTTTAACCTCTGTGGTTTTCAAGGCATCCAGCTCCTTCAAAGTTTCAGATTTTGCAGCATCTTGCTCAGACAAGTTTATTTTGGCAAATGTTGTCTCTGTTTCACTTTGCTGCACTGATGCAGTAACAGCAGATGCAGGTTGAGTGGAGTCATTCTGGGTCACATTTTGTGGCCTTTCGATGCTGACTTCTTGTACTTCCACTCTTTCTGTCTTCTTGGGGTGAATGCCAGATGTAGTTTTATCTTTGTTTTCTGGTGTGGTCGGTATATCCAGTTGTAAAACGAGCACCTTGGGCTCACCCTCCACCCGAACAGACTTTTCATCCAAGCTCTTGGGAACATCATCCACTCCCTTGGCTGGTTTCTCTTCTTGGACCCCTTGTTCCTTGGCCGGTGTGGTTTTCAACACCTCTATCTTGGTTTCAGTTTGGCTTGGTCTTCCTGCATCTTGCCCATGCAAACTTATTTCTATAACCTTTGTCTCGTGAGGCTGCAATGACTCAGAAACCAGCGAGGTGGGTTGAGCAGAGTCCCTCTGACATTCACTGATGCTTTCTTGAATTACTATCTTAGTCACCTCAACTGCAGCTTTCTCCAGCATTACATCAGCAGCCTTCTTATCTTTGTTTTCTTTTTCGCTTGTGGTCTGGACACCTCCTTCGACAATATCTATCTGTGGCTGTTTTGCTTCTGTGACAGAGGTGTTTCTTTGCTCTTCTGGACTAGTTTGTATATCCAGTTGTAGAATGCACACTTGAGGCTCTATGTGGGTTTCCTCAATCATAGCTTTTGACTTTTCATCCAAGCCTTTGGGCGCTCTGTCTACACCGAGATGCTGTTCTTGGACCACTTTGGGTTTGGCTACTTGAGTCTCAGTTTGGTCAGGTTTTTGCTCATATAGGCTTATTTCTATGAATTCTATTCCTGCCTGAGCTCTGGGAGCAGGAGAGGTGCGTTGAGTGACATTGTCTTGAAGTTCAGTTCTACTTTCTTGCGCATCTTTGCTCTGGACACTTGGTTCAACAATATCCACCTCTGGCTCGCTCGTGAACGTCACATTCTCTTCTATATCTAGCTGCAGAATGCGAACTTCAGGCCCCGTTAGGATTTTCTGAATGGACCACTTGCCCTGGCTCTCTGGGGAATCTCGGACGCCTTGTGTTGACACTTCAGTTTGTTCCTTCTGGACACCATGATCCTTTACCTCTTTGAGTTTCTCCTGTGGTGCTTCCTGTGGAGACTGCAGACTCAGCTGACTCATGATTTCACTTAGTTTCTTAATTTCTTGATCCGATGGGCTTATATCTCCCTCATGAGGAGGTTGCAGCACTTCAGAAACTGCAGAGGTAAACTGCATGAAACCAGTCCCAGACAAAGGTTTTGTGATATTTAGGATAGGTTGATCTGGCCCTATCTCATATGTCTGGGTGACTCCTGCATCAGGCAAATCAAGGACCAGATATCTCTTCTCAGTCTCATCTGTGTTTTTCCACAATTTGTCAATATAATCTGGTCCATACAGTGTGTCTGTCGTGTCTGAAGAGAGAGGTGGTTGTGTTTGAGGGACTGTGCATAAATCTCTTTCGGTTCTCATGATTGGTTCTGAGCCCTTTTTTGGTCTGTCTTTAGGTTCCTCCAATTTGGGAGATGTAACTGAAACAGGCTGAATAACAGACTCAACGGGTTCAGCATGAGGAGTTGAAGTATCCACTTTATGGGGTTGAGCATCAGGCATTTGTACAAAAACATCAGTTGTATCGAGAGTGACCGTGACCACTTTCTTTCCCTGAAGGTCCTGAATGGCATCGGTGCCACCAACCTGAGCGACAATCGTCTCTAAATCTTGTTTCTGTTCTGGACTGTCAGACTCTTTCTTGGTTTGTTCAGGGTCTACATGAGTAGTGGTTTTTGCAACATCAACTGTCTGTGGAGTTTCAGGAAGCTCTAGACTCTTTGACTTTCTCCTAGTTGGTACAAGTTCAGTTTTCTCTACAACAGCAACCTCTACAGCCATAGAAGGTTTTACAGTCTTGTCATCTGTATGTTTTCCAGGAGTAGAGATTGACTTTGGAACTGTAGAAAGTTCATTTGACTTTCTTCTGGTTTGTACGATCTTAGTTCCCTCCAAAACTGCAACATTAGTTTGCTCGGTGGACGGCAATGAGGACCTCTCATTGTCAGATTCCTTCTTGGTGGGAACACCATCTTTTTTAACAGGTTCTAGGGAAACCTTTGACCGTCTTTTAGTTGGTGAAAGCTTACTTGATTCTTCAACAGCAGTTTTAGTTGGTCGTGTGACCCCTGTTGCGCTTACAGCCGGCTTTCCACTCAGAGTTTCTTTCACAGCTTCTTTAGAGTCCTTTGACCTCCTCCTAGCGGGTGCAACTTCAAGTTTTTCTGAAGCAGTAGCTCCAGTTTTCTCTCTGGCATTCACAGATTCAGGTTCTTTTTTGGTCTCTGGTGTAAGTTTAAGACCCTTTGGTGTTCTCTTGGTTGGTGAAAGCTTTCCCTTTTCAACAACAGTGGTTTCAGTTGTTGCTCTGACCACCTCTGGAGTTGAAGGTGGCGTCTGAAACTCCAGCTCATCCTGGGTCTTTGTCTGCTCTTTGGTAGTAAGTTCTGCGGAAGGTTTAAGACCCTTTGGCGTTCTCTTGGTTGGTGAAAGCTTTCCTTTTTCAACAACAGTGGTTTCAGGTGTTGCTCTGACCACCTCTGGAGTTGACGGTGGCGTCTGAAACTCCTGCTCATCCTTGTTCTTTGTCTGCTCCTTGGTAGTAAGCACTGGTGAAAGTTTAATACCTGTTGGTTTTCTCTTAGTTGGTGAAAGCTTTCCTTTTTCCATAGCAGTAGTCTCCGATGTTCCTGTGACCACCTCAGTAGTCGAAGGTGGCCTTTGACTGCCAGGGCCTTCTTTTGATTTCCTCCTTGTAGCTACAATCTTAGTTTCTTCTACAACAGCAGCTTTCTGCATCTGACTGTCAGGCTTTTCCTCCTTGCGAGAAAGTTCCAGACCCTTAGGCTTTCTTTTGGTGGGTGAAAGTTTACCTTTCTCTACAGCAGTGCTTTCAGACTTCTGACCAACAGTTTCTTTCTTGTTTTGTTCAGGCTCCACATCTGGTGATCCAGCGTGGGTAACAAGGGTCTCAGAAGTTGTAGAAAGGTCGCCATTCTTTGACCTTCTTCTGGCAGGTACCAGTTTTGCTTCTTCGGTAACAACACTTTTATCCTGGTCATTGGATTTCAAAGAAGACTTCTGACTTTCAGGATCATCCCTTGTCTGCGGTACCTCAGTAGCCTCTGCACTCTTTGACTTTCTCTTCGGAGGTAGAAAAGGACTTTTTTCAACAACAGTCGGTTCAGCTTTAACAGGCTCTGGGGTTGTTGAATACTTTACAGGTTCTTCTTTGGTTTCCTTAGACACCCCATCAGGACCGCTACCAAGGGGAGACACTGGCTCTGGAACTGTGGAAACCTCAAGAGTCTTGGACTTCCTCCGGGTTGGTACAACTTTAGTTTCTTGCACAATAATTTTAGTTTCTGTTGGTTTTCTTTCAATTTGTGGAGTCGAAGAAGACTCTAGACTGCCAGGTTCTTTCTTAATATCTTCAGGTTCCACATCAGTACCTCTACTCGGGGCAACAACTTGCTGGGACATTGCGGTAGGTTCTGCACTCTTTGACTTTCTTCTTGCTGGAACAAGTTTTGTTTCTTCTGTACTTTCAGTTTGCTCCCTCAAACTCAAAACAGACTTTTGACTTCCAGGTTCCTCCTTAAACTGTGCTGCCTGCTGGTCAGGATATTTCAGAGGAAGTTTTGGGCTCTTCGACTTGCGCCTGGGTGGTAAAATCTCACTTTGTTCAGAAGCAGAAGCAGTTTCAGTTTCCTTTGGTACAGACTCCACACCTGTAGTTCCTTCAACAGGTGACACAGGCTTTGGGGTTAGGAGAGACATGACATTCTCAGAGTTGTCCTTGACCTGTGCAGGTTTTGCATCAATAACCTTGGTCTTGGCCTGCTCAGTGACTGACGTATTGACAGAGGATTTCACCATCTCCTGCACTTTGCTGGTGGGTTCACTTGCAGCATCGGTTGTTCCTGGGACAGCAGTGATTAGCTCTGACAGAAGAGTGGCTGCTTTTTGTGTTGCTTCGTCCACCACAGGTCCTTTCTGATCTGTGGGTGGCGCTTGAGTAGTAACAGTTTTTACCATTTCAGACTCTGTTTTAGTCTTGGACTTTCTCCTGGACGGCACAGGTGTAGTTTCGGCACTAGCAACAGGTGCAAACTGGTCAGCTGTGGCATCCAGCTTAACACTTTTGATCTGTGCTTCTTGAGAAGTGCTATAACTTGGTTCTGTAACAGTTTCTGAGGCACATGTTGGTCTCTGAGATTTTCTTTTTGTCGGGACAATTGCGGTTTGTTCAACAATGGTGCTTTTTGTGTCTTTCATGACTGCTGTCACAACAGGTTTTGCCTCACCTTGCACCGCCTCAATTGAAACTGATAATTCTTCTTCGATAGATGCAGACGGTTCTGTTAAGGAGATGTCTGGCTGTACTTGAGACTTTTTCTCAGGCGAGCGTTTGTTCTTTCGTGGTGGTGCAACAACAGAAGTCTTTGTCTCCTCCAGATTACCACGAAGGACATCAGAGGACTGAACCTCAGGCTGCTTTTGTTTACTCCGTTCATCAAGTTCCTGCAATCAAAGCATGAAAACAGCATTAAGGTACAACAAAGGAACGACTGCAATCACTTAACTGTTCATTAAAGATGAAATAAACTGTTTTCCTGTTTCAAGATTTTTGTGATCCCATGAAATATTAAATGTAAATACCTTTAAGCTCTTATTTAGAGAAGCTTTCTGGGTGTCTGCTTCCCTGAGTGTTTCTGAGCCTTCCTTCTCCAGTTTCTCAAACATGTCTGGCATCAGACAGGCTTTCAGAAATTGCTGGTGAGAAAGCGCCTCCTGCAGGCCGACCTGCAGCTTTGCACCCTCTTCCAACGTCACCTAAAACCAGGAGGAAAAACTGTTAAAGGAGCAAACAGATCTCAAAACTGAAGTTGCAAATCTCTAAACTCAAGTCTTTTGCTAATGGCAGTTTTACAAATTGTTCAGTTGCTGCGTTATTTCTGGATTATTCACTGTTATTGTCCCGAAAAACTGTAGACAAGGGTAGTAACAATAAATCTGGGCAGAAATATACTCGATAGATCTCAGGTAATCTATTAGTATTCTACTGAGAAAGTACATTTAAAGCAGTAAAAGCATTTGAAGAAATAAAATCTGCACCTGCACAGATGAAATGGACTCTGCTGGTTTTCTGTGGTTCCACTGCTGCAGGGCTTGAAGGCAGTCAGTCAGACAGCGAGTTGTGTTTGTAGAGCAGCTGTTCTGGTGATCAGTTAGTCTGGACTTTAAGCTGCAGACAAAATAAAGTCACATTTATCGTAAACTCAACTAATATGTACTTCTTCCAGCGTGCAACATCTCAGTAACAACACAAAAACAATTAAAAACACGTTTTCTGACGCAATTAACATTAATAAAAAAAACAACAGTAAAGAAATGTGTACGTATGATTTGTGTTGCATGGTTCCAGGGACCTTTGGACGTCTCAAACAGGTTATAAATAAAAGAGGACTCTGTGTTTTTGATACAACTGATCAAGAGCAGACTGACCCACAGAGGAATGCTGCTGCCATGTCGGGATAATTGAAAAGTAAATTGAAATACAAGAACGCCAGCTGAGACCATCTACTCGAGGAGGCTTACAGTCTAAGAAACGCCAGTGTTTGGGAGGTTTCTGCTGGAACAAACACGGTTATAACTCGAGTAAAACAACCCGTTTGATTGAAACAGAGAGCAGGATACCTGGTGTGCTTCTGGGACAAAGACTCAACCACGCTGGTGATTTCTGCCGGCAGCTCGTTGGAGGACGACTTCACTTCCTGGTGCAGATCGTGAACCTTCACTCCCAGATCCTTCAGTGACTTCTCGCAGTTCTAACAGAAACGAAGAAAAACAACATAATTATGAGTTATTCAGTCGCAAATCATCCGAGGGTTTCTGCTCGACACCCTCTGATTTGCTTGACACTTTTTTTTTTTTTAATCATAAAATATTTAAAATGGCATCTGTGAAACTTACAGATGAGATGTGAAAAATACATCTCAAATTGGTAAAGTCTTTGAAAAATTTCTCCTTGATTGTCTCTAATTTGCCAGATTTTTTTTACAGAATAGAATATAGATATTTATCAGGAAAACTGTGACATTTTATTCTGATATATCAAATACTTTCTGAGAAAGAGTTTAAGCAAAAACTGCCCGTCGACCCACTTTCTGCAGGTTTTTTCCACACATTGAAATTTGTGGCTGTTTGAACAACAATACCTCAGGAACTACTAACGCTAAAAACTTGAATTTTTCATTATTATTTCTAATTATATCGTTAGTTTAGAATCTGCAAAACTGTAGATTTTTAATTGTTTTGAGATACTGTCACTGAAGCATAGCCCAAACTTCAACGTACGAAAAATTGTGCTGAAAGTGGGTCCACGGGCAGTTTTAAAAATATTATCTCCAAAAGTTTTTGATATATTAAGTTAAACTTTAACAAATATCTTTATATACACACATATTTTATTGTAGAACAATTTAGAGCAAATCAGAGATGACTGAAATATTTCTAAATATGTGATGATTTGAGAAGTGATATTTGCTTGTGTGATGTGGACTGAAGCCACACATTTGGTTGTTTTTTTAAAGACAACTGAACTAAAAATACAAAAATAAAAACCAGACGAGGTGATGATGGAGATGCATTATTGTCATTAAAGGCAGCAGAGTTCATTCATTCCCTCACAATGAAGGAATAAGAGGGAAAAAAATGAACAAACGGTGTGAGCACAACCAGAAGCTGACCTGAAGGCTGTTCCAGCGCTGCTGCAGCTGAGTGACGTTGTTGAGCGGCTCGCTGTAGCTTAGCGCCTGGTCCAGAGACCGGAGCTCCCACTGCAGCGCTGCAGCTCGGTCCTTCAGGCCCTGAGCCCTCTTGGCCAGCTGGCCGTCCAGATCCTCCAGCTGAGCCTCGCAGGCCTCCAGCCGCCGCCTCACCTCCTGCTCTGAGGCCGAGCACAGGTCGTGGAGGTGACCGACCTCCAGCGTCAGAGCGTCCCGACCGCCGGGAGTGCAGAGGCTCAGCAGGCCGTCTCGGGCCGAGTCCAGCTCCTTCATCTCCCTCTGCTCACGGTCCACTGTCTGCAGCAGAGCCTGGAGGATACAGACCAGAGCACAAAGTAAACTGAGATTAAAATCCTCAGGAAGTGCATTTAGCAGCACTGAAAATATGCAAATTATTATAGGAGGCAAAATTTAGTGTGTGTGTGTGTATTTATGTTGTATTTCTATCTCTCTGTGTGAGTTTGTGCTGTATTTCCGACCTTCAGGGTGTTGACGGCGCTGTGCAGACTCTGTCGGTCTTCTTTGGGAGCCTCCAGGCCTTTGACTTGCTCCCTCAGCCAGTCCTGAGCGGCTTCATGCTGCTCCACCAGCTGGGTGCACTGGCGCTCCGTCAGGATGCCCTGATCCAGGTCAGCCACTGCGTCCTGGGAGGAAAACCACAGCAGACGGAGGAAATCATACGACAGACACAAGACGTGCACTTTAAAAAAGAGAGAATGAATGAAAACAGAAGAACAGTGGAGTCGAAATTTGGACAATCAGAAATAGTGGTTTTATGTTTATTTTGTTTTTTTCTTTATTTTTGTTTGCACTTTTTCTTTGCTGCAAATTTCTCCACTGTGGGATTAATAAAATCTTACTGTATCGTATGAAAATGTGTAAAAATGTTGCTAATAAACTGTTTACTCTCATGTTTGTACTGCATATGTTGTTTCTGCAGAGTTGTGAACTCACGGTCAGCTGTTTGAGCATCGCTGGGATGGACTCCTCTTTGGCAGCCCAGGACGGATCGGACCAGCTTCGGTCCTGAGTGGTTTCAAACAGCTCTGCAGCCTTGACGAAGAAGAAGATGGAAAAACTCAGTCAGGTTGTTTAAATTCAACCAACAGCTGAACAAAAACTGAGCAGATTTGGGCGAGTTTAGCGACGAACGGACACCACATGTAATCCTGTGAATCTGTACCTGTGTGCGGACGTCTGCTAGGACCGGGGCCAAAGCCGTGGTCTGGTCCAACAGGGTCCGGGCCTGCTCCACGGCCTGCCGGCGCTCCCCCAGGCCCGGCCACGGGAAGAGACTCGGCAGGTCGGACGTCTGCTTCTGGAGCTCAGCCAGACGGGCCTCAGCTCGGCCTCGCTGGAGCTGACAAGAAACCAGGCGGTCGACGAGACCCTGCAGCTGCCTGGAGGGAGGTAAGAAGATAAATCAGACTTAACTCAGCGGCAGAGGAAAGAAACTGGTCCATCTGCTCGCTAAGACTCTGATGTGATGCTTCAGAAAGTCATGCTGCAGCTCACTGGGATGAACAGAAACCATCTACAGCTACACATCTAGTAGATCTGTATTGATTGGTTTAATGATGTTCTGTAGGACCACAGCAGCTAACGGTACTGAACATCAAACATTTCTGTTCACTGAAGCAACGAAACACACTGAAGAGTTAAAGCGAGCCAATAAAACAGCTGTAATATGTGTAAAATATACAACATAGGAAATATTCAGTGTATTCAATGTTTAAAAAAGTGACTTAGGTGCTAGCTCACATTTCTACAGTATATGACTTACAAACAAAAGTATACAGGGAAACAAAGGAAATACAACAAAAATAAAAACTGTAAACAAAATGAGGCATCTGCAGGCAATGTGATTTCATACTATCGTATATTTATGGACAGATGAAGCCACAGAGGGCTGAAAACACACCACACTACTAAAGCCATCCTTGTGTACCTCTGAGTGTCCTCTGCTGATTTCAGAACCGTCCTCCACTGCTGCTCAGCGTCTCTGACTGTCTGCTGGACCTCCACCTTCTTTTCCTCGTCCAAGTCCTTCTGGTCACAGAGGCTCTGAGCTCGTTTCTTCAGCTCCGTCACTTGAGTCTCGCCGTTTGACTTGGAGCTCAAAATGGCCTGAAGGCAAAAGTTTGCTGTTAGACGTAGCGTTGCTCTGAAACACCAGTCGTGTATCCAAAGTTAGAAATTCATCTTTTACTTTGCTCAAGATAATAAAACTGATCAGTCTGTTAGTATAAAGTGTCTATAAAAAGTATTTACACTTCCTGTAAGGTTTTCCCTTTTTAACAGAGTCACAGGGAATTTAACTTGTCAAAACAAGTCTTCTCCAAGTCTCAGTTCTCCTGCAGACTGCATCAGGTTGTCCTCCAGGATTTCTCTACACTCTGCTGCATTCATTCACCTTCGACCTTTACAAGCCTTCCAGGCTGCTGCTGAGAAGATCCCCACATAATGATGCTGCCACCACCGTGCTTCACATCATGATGCTGCCACCACCGTGCTTCCCAGTAACGATGGTGTGGTAATGTGCAGTGTTTGGCATCTACTCTGATGACCAAAAAGCTCCACCTTGGTCTCCTCAGACCAAAGAACCTTCTTCCAGTCTCCTACATGCCTTCTGGTGAACTCTAGTCTCAGTTTAATAAGTATTTTTCAACAGTAGCTGTCTCTTTGCTACTCTCCCATGAAGCAGTGAATACTTTTTAAAGACACTGTAAGTAGCCAAAGCAAACTAAATAACTTTCATGTGCTTGGCATTATTAGTATAAAACACTTTATTTACTCCATGTTTCACCTGTGCTGTGTTCAGTCTCTCCTCTATCTCAGCCTTGCTGCCTTGAGTGCCGCTCCCCTTGGACTCGGCCTGCTTCTGCAGACCTTCAGCCCAGGTTTTGGTGCTTCCTGCCTGGGCTCTGAAGGCCTCCAGCTCCCTGGACAGCGAGTACTGGACCTCGGCCTTCTGCAGGGTGTTCTCAGCAGCCTGAAGAACTGTCTTCCACTGTTCCTCCGAGTCTTTCACCGTCTGCTGAGCCTCCAGCCTGGTGTTCTCCTCCAGGTCCTCCTGGTCAGACAGACTCTGGCTTTGTCTTTTCAGCTCCGTCAGCTTGGAGTCTCCCTCGGGCTTACAGCTCAGGACGGTCTGAAAGCAAAGCACGAATCTCAGGTATGATGACAGACGTAAAAAATAAAACTTGACAGACGTTTGCTTTCTGTTTGTAAAATATTTATATAAAAAAGATTAAAAATACGAATTTATGCAGCTTAAGATTCAGGAGAGCATGCAAGTGAACAAATGAAAACTTAAAAACAAAGCAAAAAAGACCAAACTCTGCATATTGAACGTTGTTTTTAATGTTCTCCAAATCTTTCAACCTTTTTACGGTATAAAGTATAAAAATAATATAACATTTTCACAGAGGGCCACAGAGACATCAATGAAGGATGCCTACAGACTCCCAAACAGTCCTGAGAAGAGCAGAGTTTAGAACTTTCTGCATTATAAATCCTTTATTTAATTGATCTTTTGGAATATTCTAATATTTTGAGATTAAGTTTGGGGGACGGGCTTCATGAGCTGCAGGACGTTATCATCAAAGGTATAACAAAGAAAGGTTTGACATGTTTCAGTTTATGTGTAATGAGTCTAGAATATATGTAATGTTTACTTTGAGGAACTTTATTTCCAAAACAGGAAAAAACTGTAAGAATAAAACATTCTAAAGACAATAAATGAGACATTTCTGCACGTCTTTTGCTAACGTTTCCCGTTCACACTGACCTGTGCAGTGTTTATGGTCTGTTCTGGATCCGTCTGACGGTCCAGAGAGTCGAGGCTCTGCTGCTTCTCCTGCAGCCAGACTCTGGTGTTCTCCTTCAGGGCTTTGAAGCCCTTCAGCTGACCGTCCAGAGCCTGCTGCCTCTCTGCCTGACTCACGGCTTGCTTGGCATCCTGCAGGATTTCGGCCCACCGCTCCTCGGCGTTTCTCACTTTCTGCTGAAGCTCTTGTTTCTTGTGTTCGTCGACGTCCTGAGTGGACAGACTCTGGCTTTGTCTCTTGAGCTTCTGGAGTTTGGAGTCTCCGTCGGGCTTGGAGCTCATGATGTCCTGAAGATGAGATGAAGAATGTCAGTCCACAAGTCCACAAAAAGCCAATTGTCCCACAGATTCACATTAGAGCGGCAACGATTAATCAGCGAATAAATTAACTGCCAACTACTCTGAATCAGATTGAGAAAAAAAAGGCTAAATTGTGTGATTGCAGATTCTGAACAAAACCAAACAGCTGATCAGTTAACCGATGAAATAATCCTTCGTTAGCATGACACCGACTAACAAAGACGGGAGGACACTTTAGTGGCTGGTTACTAACCAACTCCTGAGGTAAATATCAAACCTCTCAGCTCACCTGCGCAGCTCGCAGCTTGTCCTCGGCTTCGGTTCGGCTTCCCAGAGAGTCCAGCTGCTGTCGGAGGTCCTGCAGCCAGCGGTCGGTGTCTCGCTGGTGGGTATCAAACTCCTTCAGCTGTGAAGAAACAGAAGCTCACATGATGAGGAGGTTCAGTGTGCTGGAGGGAAAACTGCTCTCCAGCAAGAAGAGAAAGGACTCTGTTCATCTGTCAGGGACACTGTGGGAGCATTCAGAAAAACTCAGACAGTTCAAGTGAAAACAAGTGTTAGCGTGCAGCCTTTTAAATAGGAGTCCTATTATCCTTTGCACATCTCAAGTTGTTTATAGGAAGCGCCATCTGGCACATTTTAGGTGAATAACTTTCTGCACACTGTGAACGCCTATATTACTTTCTACTACTCGTCTGTTTCATTGGATTTGGAGCACTTGCGGTTTATTTGACTTCTAACAGCTGCTTCGTTTTTATTACAATGTTGGTTCAGAACAAAATCCAAGATCAAAATGTCTCCTCCGATTGTCAGGAGGGCAAACTGACCCCAAACTATTGTAGCCTGAGTTCCTTCCCCCGACTAGGAAGATATACGATGGGACTTTTTCCATGAAAAACTTCTGAGGATCATTAAAATTTCTTTGATAGGCACTCACAAGTTGTATAAAGTAATGATCATTACAAGACTGTATGAAGCCATTAAATAGGCAAAGAGGAACCCTTAGGTCTTCTTCAACAGGGTGTGTTTATCTATTGGATAACCACATAAGTAGGTCCCTCACCTCCAGCTTCCTCCTCTCGGCCTCCTGGGCCATCTGAGCTCCTGCAGCAGCTTCGGTCTGCTTTGCGGTTTGAAGAGTCGACCTCCACATCTCCTCGGTGTCTTTCACCATCTGCTGAACCTGGACTCTCCGGCCTTCGTCGGCGTCCGGACGGTCGCACAGACTCTGTCCTCGTCTCCTCAGGTTGTTCACCATGCGGTCGCCCTCGGGTCTGGAGGTCAGGACGGCCTTCAAAGAGCACAACGTTCGCTACATTACACATCTACCACTATTTAAACCATCAGAGTGTTAATGGAAAGACCGGCGGTGGGGTGAGGTAGTTTTCACCACTAGTGGGACCAAAAAAACGTGACTTAAGAAGACTTGATTGTCTTCACTGTTACCGTTGTAGGACGCTGGACAGTCTCAATAAACCAGTCGTTGTCAAAACTGACTTTAATCAGACTAAAGACTCAGACTTGTTCTTCAACAGTGGTTTTACTGAAACACACCTGAGCTGTGTTGCTCCTCTCCTCAGGTGTTGCGTTGCCACCTGCCGACTGCAGCTTCTGCAACTTCTCCCTGATCCAGGACTCAGTGTTCTTGCTCTGAGAGTCGAAGTCGTCTGACAGCGTTCGCAGCTCGGCCTGCCCGGCGGCCTGCACCGCCGCCGCCCACAGCTGCTCGCTGTGCCTCAGCAGCTGCTCCACCTCCGGTTTCCTGATCTCGTGCAGGTGTTCACCAAGACGCTCGGATCGTCTCTTCAGCTCGAGCAGCTTGGACTCTCCTTCGGGTTTGGAATTTAAGACGGCCTGAAGGCGAAGATGCAGAGAAAAGGTGACGGTGTGGAAGATTAGAGGCAACAGTTGCAAACTTGAGACTGAATAAAACCTGCAGGATATTAAGCCAAACAATGTACACTGTAAAAATCTTGTGTTTCTAACATTATGTTTAGGACAACCTACTGTTTTTTCTTCTTTGTTAAATTACACATACTAATTAGAAAAATCACAGAGAAAAAAAAACGACTATTTTACATGTTAAACATAAAAAACAACATCTAAAATCTGTATTTTTACAGCTGGTAGGTAGTTTAGGGGTTTTTTGTTTTGTTTTTTAGTGTTTGTAAAATTCAAATATTTCTATTGCATTTAAATCAGTAAAAAAAAAAAACAACTTTATTTTAAAGTTATTTAAATGAAATATTTTAAGACTGAAAAGACTGAAACGTTAAATCATTTTTTAAGAAGAATAGAAAAATAGAAAAATACTTTATTTATCCCAGGCCTGGGAAATTACTGTGATACAGCAAATATTATTTTATAGATTTTTCCTCTTTTGTTAAATTATACAAACTAATTAGTAAAGTCACAGGAGAAAAAAAGTACGATTTTACATGTTAACCCTAAAAAAACAGTGTCCACATTTAAAATCTGTTTTTGAGAGTTTTATTGTATTTAAATCAGTAAAAAATACCTTTACGTTAAAATTATTTGAAAGAAATAAAAGTCTTAACTAACAAAGATGAGACAGAAATGGTAAATCATTTTCCAGTTGTGTTTAATTACAAACCATATCTTGTAAAGCAACCGAAAAAATACCAAAACTGCAAAAAATCTGTATTTTGGAAATCAGATTTTTAACCCTGTGTGACCATAAACCTAAAATATTTTACTGAGTTTAAATCAGATAAAATTGAAAGATATTTTCCAGTATTTATGTTTTAAGTTTATTAAACGAAATTAGGTTAAAAATAAATTTAAATGCCATTCACAGATTTTCCGTCTTGTTAAATTGCAGCTAATATTTAGTAAAATCACTCAATTTTTATTATTAATTTACATGCTGACTGTACAAATTTAAAAAAAAAATCTGTCCTCTAAAACAGAAACAGTATTTTTTATTTTTTTACAATGTACCAAGCACAGAATTTCACTATTTTCCTGTGCTTAAATCAGATAAAAAATAGAATTACTTAACAAATGGTTGCTGTTATTTTCCCAGTTTTTCTCGTTGCTTGAACGTCACAGCATTCCCCAGTTTTTACAATATTTTTGGCACCGTTCCTGCCACATTTTACTGTTGTTTTTCTTGACAGAAGTTATTTGACAGTGTAGTATTTTTAGCGGTAATGCGCACAACAAAAATGAAACCACTGATGTCATCCACCTGCTCCGAGCAGCAGCTGCCCACACAACCCCTGTACTGACGTTTATGTTCCACATGAAGGACCTCTACATTCACACCTGACTCGTGGACCCACCTGTGCAACCTGCAGCCTTTCCTCAAACGGCACGTGGCCTCCGAGTCCCAGCACCTTCTGCTTCTGCTCCCTGATCCACGACTGCACGGCCTCGTTCTGGGTTCTGAAGGCGTCCAGGTCTCTCTGAGCTGCAGCTTCATTCCCCGCCTGCTTCAGACTCTCCTCGGCCGCCTGCACCACTTTCCTCCACTGCTCCTCTGCGTTTCCGACGGCGTCCTGAACCTGCCGCCTCCGGACCTCCTCCAGGTTCTGGTTCTCACACAGACTCGCGGATCGTTGCTTCAGGTCCCGGAGCTTGGACTCGGCGTCGGGCCTGGAGCTCAGGATGGCCTGAACAGAAGAGACAAGGCTTTAAGTGACGACTTCATCCAGATAAACGAGTCACTCTGCCTCAGTCAACTCACCTGAGCGACCTGGAGCTTCTCTTCGAGCTGCACGGGGCCTCCAAGAGTCCTGAGGTTCTGGTCCTGGTCTCTGATCCACGACTGGACACCTTCGTTCTGGGTCTGGAAAGCTTCCAGTTCTCTGTCTAACAGAGCTCCAGCTTCTGCCTGGTTCAGAGCTTCCTCGGCGGCCTGCAGAGCTTCCCTCCACTGGTTCTCGGTGTCTCTGACCAGCTGCTGCACCTTCAGCTTCCTGGTTTCCTCCAGATCCTCCTGATCCATCAGACGCTCACTCTGTCTCCTCAGGTCGCTCACTCGGGAGTCTCCGTTGGGTTTGGAGCTCAGGACGGCCTGGTGGAGGGAAGTTCAAACATTCAGAGAGAAAAACAGGAAAATTACTGCAAAATAAAATCCAACATCCACATCTGGAGCTTCATTTTATGAAACTTTAAGCATTTGTGTCTGTAGATCTGTTTTCTTTTCCAACTCTGAAGCAGAAATCTGCGCGTCAGCAGAACTTTTAAACTTTCTGCTGTTATTCTTTAAACTTACTTTATTCAACACTCAGATTTCTGTTTTGGAAATTAATGCAACTTGGTGCATTTTTAGAAATACACAATGACTCCCTTGTATTTTTAAATTGTGAGCAAATACCTGGGGAAGTTTCATGGAGATATTAATCCTTAAATGCTGAGTTTTGTCTTAATTCCTGCTACAATTTCTGAGTTTATGAAAGATTAACTCGACTTATAATCTCACATGAAACGGATAATTTGGTTTAAGACAGGAAAAACAGAAGATTTCTCTCGTTTAGTTCAGTTTTATCTGGTTATGAAATCAGAAATGATAAAAAATTAAAACATAAAACATCAAAAAACCACAATAAATCAAGACGAACGTGCAGAAGAAATACAAATCCTGATTTGGTCACAGCCTGTAAAGTGGAGAAATGAAGGTTAAACCTAAGATCATGTTTACTCTTCTTCCACTGACCTGAGCTTTGTCCTTCGTCTCCTCCGTCCTGCCCGGAGACTTCAGGGGCTTCAGCAGGTCACCGATCCAGGTTCTGGTGCTCTCGGTGCGGGCGTTGAACTCGTCCAACTCTGCGTCCAGAGCGTTCTGGGCCTCGGCTTGTTTCTGCAGCCGAGCCTCCAGGTTCCTGTGGCGCTGGATCAGATTGTCTCCGTCCTTCAGGAGGGCTTCTCCTCGGACTCCTTGCCTTCGTACTGACGCCAGCAGCTCGCGGAGGCTCTCGGCTCTGCTGCTGCGGAAACAAGGAGAAGGTTTGACGATCAAGGTTCTGTTAACTTCAAACCTCCACACGGTCTGAGTCTTTATACAAAATACGCTTTATAACAAATAAAAACTAAACAGTCCAGGTTTAAAACGATGGAGGAGCTGTGCTTTTACTGTTCCAACCCCCTGAAACAACTCCGTTTAAAAAGCTTTCTAATACCCCCCGAACACAACAGGCATTTGCACGACATTTTCTACTTTGGAGCAACTTTAAGCCACTTTTGAGTCATTCTGAACCAATTTTTCACCATTTTGAACAAACTTTGGGCTGCTTGGAACGTTTTTTGTATCATTTAAAAGATTGTTTTTGCCAGTTTGAACACATCTGGCGTCATTTTGAGGATTTATCTGTTAATGAATAATTATTTCAAGTCATTCTGAACCAATTTTGCATCACTTTGAAGACTGTTTTTGTGCCATTTTTTTTTTTACATCTGGCATCATTTTAAGGTTTTTTTTTTCATTGAAAACTCATTTTAAGTCATCCGGAACCAATTTTGAATTGATTTGAACAAATTTCAAGTAATTCTGAAACAATTTCTCGCCATTTTGACGTCATTTTTTGCATAATTTCAAAGATTGTTTTGGCCATTTTGAACACATCTGACATCATTTTGAGGATTTATTTGTCATTTTAAACTCATTTTGAGTCATTCTGAACCAATTTGGCGTCATTTTGAACAAACTTTGGGATACTTGGAACATCTTTTTCATATCTTTGCAGACTGGTTTTAGAGACTGGTTTTGCCATTGCTAACACATCTGGCGTCATTTTGAGGATGTATTTGACCTTTGATACTCATTTCAAGTCATCCTGAACCAACTTTGCACCATTTTAAACAAACTTTGGGCTTCTTGGAACATTTTATGCATCATTTGGAGACTGTTTTTGCCATTTTTAACAAATCTGGATTCATTTTGAACATTTATTTGTCACTTTGAGCAGATTTTTGCATCATTCTGTCCATCTGTGAGTGTAAATGTAGAAGTTCACCTCTCGTCTTGAAGCTCCTTGAGGAGACCTCTGACCTTCTCCGACACCGCCGACTGCTTCTCTTTGTTCTGAAGCCACTCGCGGAAGCCGTCGTGCTGCTTCTGCAGACTAAAGGACAAAAAACGAAAGTCAACAAAACACTTTTTGTGGTTAAAATCACACGACAAAGGAACTTGTTGCACATCTGTTTCATGAGGAACAGAAAACAGATTTATTGTCATCAGCTGTTCCAAACGTCCACGTGCATGAACAGAGACTGACAGAATTCATCCTGGTTTGCAGACTCGCTGCTGATAAAGACTCGATCACCTGTTCAAGTCGCTGAGCAGCGCCTCCATTTGCTCCTGCCGGTTCTGGCAGTGGGTTCTGAAGGTGGACACCTCCTCCCGCTGCTCCTTCAGCCAATCGGAGAGCTCGGACAGCTGCTGAGGAGGAAGCTGCCGGCTGCCTCTCTGCAGCTGGTCCTGCAGCTGGTCCAGACGTCGCTCGGCGTCTTTAGACTTCAGGAACGCCTGACGGACACGAGAGGAAACGGGAGGTCAGACCTGTCGCCTGACAAGCAACAGCGTCCGCACAGAAAACGTTTACTCACCATCAGTCTTTGCACGAAGGTTTCCACGTCCGTTTTGCTCTCAGGGTTCTCGAAGCACTCGTTGACGGCCAGCTGCAAGTCCTGGAACCATCCCTCGAAGGACTGTCGCTCATCTGGAGGGCAGGAAAAACGGATCACAGATAGAATATTAGGGAGGGTTTCTCTTTAATGTGTAAATGTAAAAACAAAATACCATAAACACTCATTAGATACCAAGAGATGGAACTCAAAGTGATGCTAATTAAACTGGCTCTTCTTTCATTATGACGTTACAGGTAAGACTCAGTCCTGTACTCACTGAGTAAAATTCCATCACGTATTTTCTATTTTTCAGTCTTTTGAACAAAATTTTTTTTATTTGCAAAATTTTGATGGTTTTTTTGTGTCATTTTGAGCAAATCTTTAATCTTCATCAAGTCTTGCACCACTTTGAACAGACTCGGAGCCATTTTAATACAATTTAAAGGCATTTTTAGCAAATTTTGAGTTATATTGAAAAACTTTCAAGTCATTTTAAACATAATTTTGTAACACTTTGAAGATTTAGTCATTTTAGACAAATAAGTCCTTCTGGGGCAAAAAAATGTAAGCCATTTTAAACTTTTTTGCAAAATCATTAAGATTTTTTTGGTAATTTTGAGCAAATCTCGACATTTTTATCCAATTTTAAGTTTTTTAAGCAAATTTTGAGCCATTTCAAACTAATTTTCAAACAATATTGAGCTGCTTTGAGCAAATTTTTAATCTTTATCAAGTTTTGCACCACTTTCTGAGCCATTTTAATAAAATTTGAAGGCATTTTGAGCCATATAAAAAAAACATTTGACGCATTTTAAACATCTTTTGTAACATTTTGGAGATTTTTTTAAAAAATTTTAAACAAATATTGAGTAATTCAGAACAAATTTTGAGGTATTTTAAACATTTTTTGCAACATTTTAACAATTTTTTTGGTCATTTTAAGCAAATCTTGTTCTTATAAAATTTTAAGCCGTTTTTGTCGTTTTAAACAAATATTGAGCCACTTTGAGCAAATTTTAAGTCATTCTCAAAACTCAAATTAACACTAATGTTGAACATGTAGCAGGGTTGTGTTTCTGAAAAAGTAAAAGTCTCTCAAAACTCAGATTTTTAACCCTTTTTAAAGACGTGTGTGACTGTTTCTGACACTCTCTGGATTTGAGCTGATGTGTTTAAAGCATGTTTTGTCTCTCTGTTAATTTCTTTTGCTGTAATTAAGTCTTTCTAGAACAAATCTGATAAATGATAAATGATCGATAAAAATGAGAAAACGTGGCTGTAAAGCTTTCCACGGGCGCCTTGACTTCTGGTGCCACTTTCCCCAAAGCAGACAGCTGCAGCAGAACATTTTAATAAAAGCTGTCGTGTTAGATTCACAGCCTTGTTTTGTATCGAGTCACTTTAAAGCCTCTCCTAACACCAGGCCCAGCTCTAACCTTTGAGGACCTTCAGCAGGCCTTTGTCTCGCTCCTCCCTCTTCAGGTGGATCATGTCTTTGGTTCGGTTGATGGCTTCTCTCAGCCGGCTGCAGTCCACAGACAGAACCTCCAGAACCTGTGGACTGGCCACGCTGGACACCATGCCCACCTCCTTCAGCACGGCCTCAGCCTGCTCCTCCTGAGATTCCAGGTCGTCGCTCAGCTCCTGCAGCAGACGTTACCATCGTGTTAACAGGCGATAGCGTCACACTGTGTTTCTGTGTGAGTAAACCGTCCAGGTACCTGAATCTGGGCCTCCACCTTCGGCCCTGCGGCGTCGACCTGACTGAGGCGGCCCTGGGTGTTCTCCACGGCAGACTGGCAGTGCTCGATCTTCTCGGCCAGGTGTTTCTTCACAGCTACCAGCTCCTGGAAGACGTCGGTGCAGTCGGTGAACAGCTCCTTCACCTGCTCCATCCTCTTCTTCAGCTGGGTCTCCATCACCTACAAGGTCCACAGATTAATTAAAAAACTGAAAAAAAAACACAAACACTGTTAAAAAAAAAAAAAAAAAAAAGAGTAAATCTACCAGTGCTCCGACTCACCTGCAGCTCCAGCGGAGCCTCCTGACTCTGTAGCATCTCCTGGATCTCTGCAGACTTCTTGTGGAAATGAGCGATGTTCTCCTCGTTGGCATTGATCTCATCCTGCAGACAAACAAGAAATTCAACTTTCACTTTGTCTTTCTGTAATGATCATCTCTGAGTTCTCTCTCCTTCTTCATTCTGTCCCCATAGGGCTGCACGACTTCATGCTGCAGTAAAACGTCTTCCTTTTCCTCTCACCCTCATGGCCAGCACTTGTTTCTCGTCGTGGAACGGGTGGCTCTCGGCGAACGTGGCCAGTTTGGCTCCGGCCCAGGCGTCCACCTCGCCACCCAGCATCAGCTGCTTCTCCCAGAGCTCCAGAGCCACCCGGAGGTTGTCCATGTAGGCGTCCGTCTTCTCCGTCACCTGCAGAAACACCAGTCAGACCTCAGAGCAGTTTTGAGCTTTAATTTAAATATTTACACAGACAGAGACGGAAACAGGTTTGAATCTGTTGTTTTTTCAAACTATGTAAATTCAGTCTGAGTCTGAAGCTAAAACTCCTTTTCTAAAGGATCCATGACCTTATCAACAAAGAGTTTTGTGTAAACATTTATTTAAAAGGTGAAATTGTGGTTTGAAAACTGGAATGTTAACGACAAGAAATTCCTTGTTGTGTTATTGGTGGCAACGAAAAACTGAATTCTTACAATATTAAGGAATTAACTGATGGAAAAAAGATACGTTTTATCAGATCTGGACTAAATGGAATAATTATGTAAAAAACAATAAGGTCTAATTTCTTTTTTTCTGCGCGCGATGTGAAGATAATTACGAAGATGTTCCCTGGTTCGGCTGTTTTTTATGTGATGACACGAGAATTATTTTTAAAAATTAAAAGAATGATCAGACTTTTTTTTAATTGTTGTAAATAAGATATGCAGTAAAAAAAATGTGTTTTTTAAAAATGCAATAAAAAGAAAATTAACTTTACAAAATGTTTTAATCCAGCTGAAAGATTTTGGAAATGTGTTGGGAAATCTGTTTTAATTTCGATACTTTTATTCTTATTTATTTCATATTTTTAAATTGTCTTCATGTTTCTTTGGCCTTATTCTCATTTTATCTGTCTGGTCTGGTTTGTTTTTAATTCTATTTCATTTCAATCAAATATTCCTACTCCTTTCACATTTTTTTTTTGAAAAGAAAAACCTTCAAAATGTATGTTTTAATGGCTTATCTCCTTCCCTGGACCTGCTAAACCTGCATATTCAGTCGAGTTCTTCTGTGTTTTCATGCAATAAACATGAAATAAAGTCATAAAAGGCTGCGTACGTCCAGCCAGTTGTCCATCAGCATCTCGGCCTCGGCCTCGAACGGCGTCTCGCTGACGTCTGGGATCTTCTTCAGCTCGGACTGCAGCTGTTTGCAAACTGCCCTCATCTCCTCCATCTGCTCCCCCAGGCCGCCCAGCTCCTCCTTGATGTCCCGAACCTGAACAAACGCACACAGATGAACACTGGCCTCGTATTCAGATCGATCCTGCCATCTGCTGGTTCGTCATAGTACTGAGTGCACATCTTAAATCATGTTATTTTTGCTGCTTTATGAATTCTGCGACATCTAGAAGTGACTTTTTACACAAAGAGAGAGAAATAAAAGGTTGTGTGGATGCACCTTAGTGATGCTCCTCTGCAGGTTGTCTTTGCCCATGTAGGACGCCTGGTCGCTGATGGTCTGCTCGGCCTTCTGGATGCTGTTGCTCAGCTGACCGCGGCAGCTCTGGAACTTCTTCAGCAGCTCCAACAGAGCGCTGCACTGCTTCTTCCTGCGGGAAGAAGGAAGAAACAGGAAGGGTTCATCCTCCGTTGGTCTCACGTACTCAACATTCAGCTCAGAAACTCAGCAGAAATAATAGCTCGTTTTAATATTCTGCTAGCTCGTGGTTTAATTATCCAGTGGAGTCTTGAGTCCGGTGCTGCTTGTCTTGAGTTGGCATTTATTTATTATTTGAGGTGAAGGTGGTACTAAATCCAACCCTACCTGTCAGAAAAAGCCCTGTGAGTGTCCCTCCACTGCGTCTCCAGCTCCTGCACGACCGTTTCTCCTCCACCCTGTTTCTCCTGAAGCTCTCGAAGGTTCTGCAGCTCCGAGTGTTGAGCCTGAAGTTGACCTTCCAGATCCGACAGAGCGCGAAGTCTAGAAAAAAACACCAAGAATATCAAAGGCGTTATTTTACAAACTCAGGGTTTAATCAGTGCAATCAAACAGTTATTATCCATGTCCACATTACATCTTATTTAAAATACAGTAGAGCGGCAATATCAACATGTTTTAACCTTGACATATCATCCAAGGTCAAATGTAATATCACCAACAGAAAGCCCCAACATGGTCGCTGATCTGCACCGAATACCATGAATCTACCTTCCACCCTTTGTGAGTGTATACAGCATTGTAGAAACAGTGACCTTTAGAGAAGTCATTCACCTGTAAGGTATCAACTTGTTAGACGTTAGCACTCGAGCTAGAGATGCTTCACTGATGGGACCGATAACTCGTCAGGAGCAGCTACAACTACAACACCACAGGTCACTCACCGGTGCTGGACCGCTGGCATGGTGGGCTCTTTCAGTCCTTGCGCCTCGATGGTCTCCTGCAGTTTCCTCAGCTCCCCCAGCATCGTCCTCATCCTCAGGCCCAGGGACTTGCTCTGGCTCTCCTTCTGGAGGCCCTTCTGCTGGGCGGCCAGCCCGCCGTCGGCCTCCTCCAGCCTCCTCAGCAGGGCGGTCACCATGTCCAGGCAGGAGGCCGGGACGCCCTCCCTGGTCACCGTCAGCCGGGCTCCCTGCAGCAGCACGTCCAGCTGAGGCGCCTTCTCCTTCAGGCTGTCGATGCTCTGCCGGATCAGCGCCAGCTTGGAGCGACGGTCCTGCAGCACCACAGCGTCGCTGCAGGGGGCGTCCTGGACCCCGGAGATGTCCTCGTCCACGGTGCGCAGCGACATGAGGAAGCGGTCGAGGGCCCGGGCGGCGGCCTCGCTCTTGCGGACCTGCTGCCGGAGCTGGTCCAGGCTGGTCCTGTGGGTCTCCACCTCCCGGGTCAGAGGGAGGCACTCCCTGGGGTCCAGGTCGCTGGATCCTGGGTCCAGTCGGGGCAGCTGGTCCAGCTCGCTCTGGATGTTCTCATCCAGTTCCTTCAGAAACATGAGATGTGGTTTGTAATTGGTTCATGTTAAAGTGCATCCAGACGGTTTTCATTGACTTCTGGAGAACTTTAAACTCTGGTTACCTAATAAGCTCCACTAACTGCTGCTCTTTCCACACATTTTTACAATTTTCTATCAGTTTTTGCCCCTTTTTGCTTAAATCACAGGCCCAAATTGTAAACCTGCAGGTGTTAGTTGATGCTTTAGTTGTCATTTCGGTGCTAAAACTAACTTCACAGATGTGTTGTGAGGTTTAAAATGAGAAACTGAAAGACCTTCATTAATCTGTTATTGATGTAATTATTAGCTTCCTAACTCTTTGACCAACCAGCTTTTAAAACAACTACATAGCAGCAGTGTTTCCTCATAAATATCAAGCAAAGTAGAAGTGGACTTTTTTAAAATATCTCAAGAAAATATGAATTAATCTTGTTTTAACTATCTGCTTTTGAATGGATAAGATAGAGACAAAACCAGTTGTTTGCCAACAACAAGAAACAAACAAAACCTTGTCTATTAGGGAGAGAAAAATGGAAAGAAGTCTTTAGGAGCTGTTTTCAATCGGAAATGTTTTAATTATTCTTCCAAGTCAGTTGGTATCGACTGTGTTTAAAGCTGTTTAGGTGAAGACGAGGAAGACAGAACGGATGAGTTAAACGTAGTTAAACAGAAAAGCTGTTTGACTTGTTGCAAAAATCACCTCAAGCAAAAGCAAGTTGAAGATCTTTTTTCACAAAATTTGACCTTTGCATGAACTTTTTACCTGATTTTATGACTATGAGAATAGAAGTGCAGCTGGTGAAGTTTAGGAGTCGCTTCATCAACTTATGTTCAGACGCTCAAAGATTAAGATTTTCACCGTTGTGTTCATATTTTTTCAGTAGAATGACGGCTAATTCCACTAAATAGCTAAACAGGACACAGTGTCTTGTTGTCAAATACATAAATCTAAATCACAATTATACGATTTAAGCTTCATCAACACCTTGCTTGTTTAGATTCTTTACCAGCACCTGCACAGGTAACATTTATGCGACCGATTAAACAGAATAAACCCGAACACGAACCTTGATGTCTTTGAGGATGTTGCTGTTGGCCAGGGTGAACGCCGTGACATCCTTGGGCTGCCTCAGGTACCGGTCCAGCCGATCGCTGAAGTCCACCATGTGGTTCTCGGTGGAGTCGATCTGGCGGAGGGCGGCTCCCAGCGAGCTTCCCCTCCGCTGCAGGCTGCACTGCTGGCTGCGCCACTGGTCCTGCAGCTCGGCCTTCTCCTGCTCCAGGGACGAGCTCCCGGCCAACTGGGAACACTGGTTGGCGTACTCGGACCACAGAGATTCGGTCTCTTGCCTCAGAAACTGCAGGAAAAGTCGAGATTAGAGGCTTGTTGGCGTTTGTTTGACTCAAGAGGCTCAATGTTTGATTCAGGGATAAAACTGGAAACTAATGTGGAAGTAGAAGCTGCTCAAGTGGAAATTTAGATATACAGATTCAAATACACAAAGTTTTGGACATCTTATGGAATCAAACGAACCCAAAACTGACCAGTGCATTAAAATACAAAGCTTTTATCCGTAGCGCCTCGCCTTAAACACACAAACGTATGTGTTTACCTGTATTTCCTGGAGCCGAGTGTGAAGGCCTTTCAGGGAAACCGAGTCAGAGGGGACGTCCTTGATGCTCTGCTCATTCTTAGCCAGTTGGGTTTGCAGACTCCGTTTGTAATTCTCATACCTGGAAATTGAAAACAAAAAGAAATGAGGCACTAAAACAGACTGGGTCAACCTATTCCAATACCAAGCCTGTTTAAGTCATGGCACCTTTCTAAAGCCTCCTTTTTGGTGACTTCTTCTTCCACAGACGCCTGTTTTTCAACCTCCTTCTTCTCCACAGCGACTGTCTTCACCGTCACCTGGGAAACAACAACATGTCTTGATTTGCAAACTTTATCTTGCTAAAAAAAAAAACTGTTTGTTTATTTTTAATGAGTTTTAGTGTTAACTGCGGTGAGTCGTACCTCAGCAGTGACCGGAGCTTTGTCACTCGGTTTCGTCGGTTCCTTTTGTGCCGTCAGATCCTCAGCGAACGCAACAGGAATCCTATAAATCAGAATTAATTGTCATCATTCTTTCAATACTTAACACACATTTATCAATATTATTTTGTCTACACCTACAAGAATCTGTGCAACGTTACTATTTTAAGCAGATAAATTTGTGCTATATTCATCATTTTCTGTACTTTTTATTTCCATCCAGAGGAGTTTGGACAATCACAACAAGTATTTATGTAATTTTTTGGTTTATTTTTGATTTTTCTGCTTATATTTCTCCTTTACTGCTGGAACAATGCTAATCCCCCCACTGTGGGTTTAATAAAAGCTCATCGTGTCATATTTTTCCTCAAGACAGGGTTGTTTTTTTTTTTACACAATCAGAAGTGAGCCGACGTCTCCAGGGTCTTACCGAGCGTCGGGCAGCGGCGCGTCCTGGTCTCCGCTGAACTGGCGGTGGATGGCGGCCAGCCTCTTCTCACACTCCCTGAGCTGAGTCTGGGCCAGCCGGTGGGCGTCCTCGGGGCTCAGGGTGTCGCACAGCTCCTTCAAGGCCTCCAGGTGCTGCCCGGCCTCCGCAAAGTCCGCCGAGAAGCAGGCCTGGTGGAGGTCAAACAGTGAGAACAGAGACGACTAACTCCTAAAACCCAGAACCTTTCTTTGTTCTCAGATTTACACAAATTTACAAGAGGATTTTGACCATCTAATATTACAAAATTGGATATTTTTTCTGTAAAGATAGCTTGACGAACACAATGCAACACATAAGCAAACTAACATATGGCAGCAGGAGACAGACGAACTTCACCAATCACATTTTTATCACGATTTCTGCTCGACCAGCTCTGAAATGTTTACATAAAAAATATGGAGATTTTCAAGATATTTTTAAAATTTTATCACATACTTTTTGCACATTTTTCAACAACAATATCTCAGGAACTATTAAAAGTAAAAGCCAGAATGTTTTGATGTTATTTGTCGTCATGTCATTGATTGAGAATCTGCAGTATTGATTATATACACAATACCGACTATTGGTGAGTTGAAATGTGAAATAAATTGATTCCATCATGTGAAGTCCTACCTTTGAGTGCATTTATAAAGAAATTGATGATTGCAGAAGTCAGGTGCAGGTCACGACATTACAACACTAAACATATCTGATGACAAAAATCAAAACAACAATGCTAACTTTAATTGCTAATTGAGCAGGTGTGACAAGTTGCACCACAAAAACAAAGATATGACTAGATAGTTGAATCCAAATAGTTTCTGGGGTTTTAATAACATTTTAAAATAAATTTTTAATATAGGCATTTTTTGTCACTTCAGAAATCGCAAAAAAGTGGATCTACTGGCAATTTTCAAAAAAAATTAAACTAGAAAAATATTTGACAACTCAAGCTAAAATGTCACATTTTTAACATCTAGAGTTTCTGATAAAAAAGTGTCATGGTCGAGCAGAAGGCGTCTGACGATTTGAGACGGAACAACCCACAAGAATGCTGTTTTTATCTCTAACTGAATATTGTTTGTGTTCTTTTACTGTTAAAAATACATTGTATTAATGACTCCGGTAATGATTCTGATGCGTTTGTCTTTTCTTACATCTAAACAAAAACAGCACCCTCCAAAAAAGAAAGCCAGAAACCAAAGTTCAACAGTTACCACGTCCCACCGACAGACTCCTCGGAGGCATTTAAGGGAAAAAAGAAGGAGGAAAAAGGAGTTATATAAGCAGAGCAGGTCAACTGGACCGTCCTTTGAAGCGCACCTGCCAAGAGTTCGGCTGATTTGGTGATTTAGCTACCTGGGATTGGCTTTCTAAGCTGGAGCTTAAGTGCATCTCGCACCGCAGGGCTGCTGCGTTAAAGTCTTTCCTTGTTACTTCAAACCTTAATTGTGGCAAAAAGCCTGAGATCTCAGCTCTCACGGCCTGGGAGATAACAAAAAATTAATTTAAAGAGAAAAACATGACAGAACACGATATTCAATAAAAGGTTTTTAGACCATTAAAAAGGCTGGCAAAGGCAGAATGAGTCCAGTAATAGCTTAAAGACTCACAAAGGCAATTATTTTAATAATGTGAACCTCAAAAAAAAACCAACAAGTGTACACGCTTGTCTATCAACGGCAATTAAAATCCCACAAAATAACACAAATCTGCAGCCGTAAGTGAGTTTCACCTCCCACTGTGTCCTGACAGACTGGGTGAAGAACTCCATGTCTCTGAGCTGTGAGGGCGTACAAAAGGCCTCCATGCCCTTCGCCGCTCTCAAGAACTCCTCCAGCAACTCCGGGTCGAGCGTCTTCAGAGTCTCCTGAAGAGAAAGGCAAAGATATAAATGCAGGATGCTTGTACGTCATCCAATTCATGGTAATTCTAATAACTCTAGTAGAAGATACCTGGAGAAACCTCTTATTCAAAAGATTTCCTCAGTTGTAACTGGGGAGTCCAAGGTATTTATTCTCATCCCTAACTCACAGGATTTAAGGTGTGAACGGTGGTGACACTGCCTAGGGAGGCACGTAAGGGCTGCGTTATAAACACCTGGTAAGTTGTGTCATAGACCACCTATTTGGAGACTCCAGTTTGGTATACATAGACACAGACAGTTTGGATGCCATCTATGAGCTGTTTTCCACTGCAGGAACTTGTTTCAGGGTGGGCCCAGCTTTTGTGCATCTTCAACCACAAGAACTATAGTTTTTGCGCACAATGAATGGGATTTCTAAAGTTAAAATTTCAGTTGGAAGCTAAAGGCACAGAAGCTGCCAAGTAAAGACCAATTATACAGTCACACACACCCTGTTGTGTATGTGCGCAGACTGCAATGTGCCACACTTGATTTACAACACATTTTTGGCCGCAGATTCTTATACAGGTTCACAGCTAACATAGCTATCGCCATTGCTGCATACCCAATGTGCTCATAGACCTCTAGTTATGTCCAGTAAGTGTTCTTTTCTCTCTTTTGTTGGTGCACGTTACACTCATTAGAAACAGAAAGTCCAAAGTAGACGATTCCAGGGCCGTTCTTGTTGATTTTTGCGTCACTTTGTACCTGCCATAAACTTCTGCAGTGGAAAGATGCCTAATGTTAAACTGGAACAACCATCCCTAAACAGAGGTATGGGCACCAGGTACTACTGAAATCCCTCGGACAGTTTTACCACCATTAACACCTTCAGTCATGTGAGTTTCCATTTGCTAACAAGATCTGAGTCATGCGAGAATGCCTAGGACTCCCCACCAGTCAGTTAGAACGAGCTAAAACATCTTTAAGAACCAAAAAGCTGTCCAGCTGCCAGTGATTACATTTACCTCTTTCACTGACGCTTGGTCTGCTGATACGCGTTTGTCTTTGAAGACGTTGATCGCTTCCAGGATGTGTGCCTGCAGGCAGTCTTTGGCCTCCTCAAAACCATTCCTGGCCAAAGCCTGGGCCTTACTGTAGGCCTCTGTGTAGGCTTGGGGAGGTGCTTGGGCCAAAACAGGAGGTATGATGCAGAGGTCTGGTGACTCAGCTTGGGCTTGAGGCAACACACTGACCTGAGAGAGGGCGGTGGTCTGGGGTTTTGATTGAGGAAGTGGTTGAGTCTGGAGTCTGGCCTGTGGAGGAGACTGAGCCTGGGACTGTGGTGTTGTTTGGGCTTTGGGCAGTGGTGGTGACTGAGCTTGAACTTGGGGTTCAGGTTTGGATTGCAACACTAACTGTGCCTTGGCTTGGGTTGGTGACTGAACTTTGGGTTGACTTGGTATTTGAACTGCAGATTGTGAGGCAGCTTGGGCCTGCACAGTGGGTTGCTGTGGTGATTCAATCTTGGTTTGGGTTGGCGGCTGAACTTGGGGTTGAATTGGTGGTTGAGCCGCAGGTTGTGAAGTACCATGTGTCTGTACCTTAGGCTGTTGCAGTGATTCAACCTTCGGTTTGCTTGGGGAAGGAGTCATAGGTTGTGGTGACAACTGGGCTTCAGGGAAAGGTTGTGGCAGTGGCTCAGGCTTGGTTTGGGCTGGTGAGTAAACCTGAGGTTGAGTTGGTGATTTGACCTCTGCTTGTGGTGCTAATTGGGGCAGAGGTTTTGTCTGTGGAGTTGATTCGCCCTTTAGGGTAGAAGGCAACTGAGCCATTGGTTGTGCTTGGAGCTGGGACTGTTGTTTGGGTTGTGGAGTAGGCTGCTGGAACTGGATGCTAGACTGAGACTGCTGAGTCTTCGCATGGAGCTTTGCTTGGACCAACGGCTGTGTCTGCTGAGGTTGGAGCTGTGAAGGAGGCTGAGGATGGGCTTGGTGTGAGGGTTGTGACTGGAGAGGTATCTGAGGTTGCACCTGAGACTGAGGGTGACCTTGCATGTATTGCTGAGACTGGTGATACTGCTGAGACTGTAGTTGTGGGTGTCCCTGAACCCAAGTCTGTTGCTGAACTTGGCCTTGTTGTGTCTGACCTACACTGTAAGCGCCCATCTGGGGCTGTTGTTGCATGGGAGTCTGGGGCCTCATTTGGGGTTGTGTTTGAACCCAGGGTTGGGTTTGTGCTTGAGGTTGCATTGGAGGCTGATTATATGATGGCCCCATGTGAGAATACCCATGGGGTCCGATCTGAGGCCCTAGTTGGGCCCACTGTGGCACAGCCTGAACTGGTGGATACGCCTGAGAATGTGGAGTTTGGCCTGGTTGCTGCGGGTATGATTGGGGAACGGGTTGCCTGTGCTGTGCACTGGCTTGATTTGGTGGTTGTTGCTTGTCACTCCACTGCTGGGATGGGGACTGACCCCGGGGATAACCTTGCTGGTAAAGCTGAGGTTGTGCTGTAGTCTGTGGATGCTGGATAGGCATTGGGGATGAGGCTCTAACTTGAGTCCAAGCCTGCAACTGGCCCTGGGATAGATGGCCTTGCTGCTGGACTGGTGACTGAGCATGTATGGGATACTGAGTCATAGAGTGACCCTGTAGCTGGACTACAGGTTGAGCTTGGGTTTGATGGTGAGCCTGCAGTTGGGCCTGATTTGGCCTGGGCACTGGCTGACTATGGGTTTGAGACTGAGTCATGGGCTGAGGATGGGCTTGAGGATGGACCACAGACTGAGGATGAGTTTGAGGATGAACCATGGCCTGGGGATGGGTTTGAGAGTGAACCATGGACTGGGGATGGGTTTGAGCGTAGGCCATGGACTGATGATGGGTCTGACCCTGGCCCGCTGACTGGGCATGGATTTGAGATTGCATCATTGGCTGAGGCTGGCTTTGAAGTGGGACCCTGGGCTGAGGCTGGATTGGAGGATCAACCATTGGTATAGCTTGGGTTTGAGCCATGTTTACCGACTGAGTGTGGGTTTGAGGCTGGGCCTGTGTTGGTGGTTTAGGTGAGGGAGACCTGACAGGGGCCCATGACTGTGGATGACTACGAAGCTGGACGTGGGATGGCACAGGGGCCTGGATTTGGCCTTGCAGTGGAGCTTGCATCGGGGAAGAGGGTGTGCCTTGAGGCCACGTCTGCACTTGAACTACAGATGGGCTATGGGCAGGACCCTGTGGCTGCGCAGATTGCTGAGGTCCAGCTGGGACATAAGTTTGGGACTGGGGCTGTAGGTGTGCTTGTGATTGGGTCAGTGACTGTGTCTTCACCGGGCTATGAGGCTGTGGAGGAATTTGTTCCTGTGATTGACTTTCGCTTACTGTCGTTTGCGACATTGTTTTCAGTGATTGTTGGCTATCTGTAGTACTGTAAGTCACATTTGTGGACTGCTTCTGCACTTGAACCACTGACTGAACCATAGTATCCGATTGTGACTGATTCTGTGTCTTTCTTTGTGAGTGGGACTGACTCACAGTTACTTTCTGGGATTTAGTTTTGGCTTCTGAAACTGGTTGTGCTTGTCTTGTACTATGCTGCTGTTCTTTTTGGTGTGCCAGCTGCTTTTGTTGTTCCTTTTGTTGCTGCTGCTGCTGTTGCTGCTGCTGTTCCTCCAGATTTTTAGGTTGCTGTGTTTGTTTTTGTTGCTCTTTATTCTGTTGTTGTGACGTCTTAGTAGTTTTTGCATGAGCCTCAGGCTGCAGCCTTGTGGTTGCTGTATGTTGTGAAGCCACCTGAACTGATGTCACTGTTTCTCTGCTTGACTGCATCTGACTACTCTGAACTGTATCCTGAGAGGATTCTTGGTCTGGATGTGGTGGTTCTTTCTTCTCTCCCAAGGCTGGTTTCTGAAGCCACGGCCGGTTCTTTGCAGCCTGAGCCTTCCTGCTTTGAAGCTCCTGGGACCTCAGAGTGGTTTTCTTCATGGCTGGTTGTTGAGGTGACGTCGGCTCGTGGGGCTCCGGTGTTTGTTTAACTTGTGTTTCGACTTGTATGTTAGTTACCACACACTGTTGGGCTTGATACTGACTCATTTCTACCTGCTGCTGCTGCTCCAGCTGTTGTTTCTGCATGAGTTCCCTCTGTTCTTGTTGTCCTGGCTGTTTTTCTGTCTGTCTGCCAAGCCCTTGGTGCAGTAGCTGCTGTTGTGGTAACTCTTCCAGTTCCTGCCTAAGTGGGCATGGTTGTTGTGTTGGCACAAACTCCCGCTGCTCTACTTGTACTTGTGGTGGCTCCGGTTTGAGTTCCTGCTGTTCTGGCTGTCCTAGCTGTTTTTCTGTCTGTCTGCCAAGTCCTTCTTGCAGAAGCTGCTGTTGTGGTAACACCACTTGTTCCTGAGTCTCCAGTGGTTTTTGTGCAGCGGGCTCTGGCCAAGCCTGAGCCGGGCCTTCTGGTGGCGACTTCGTCCTGGTCCCTGTCACAGCTTGGGCGTAGCTGTATGGCATCGGAGGAGAAGGCATCTTTTCTTCTCTGTATTCCTGCACCACTATCTTCGGCACGAAAGTTTCGTGAGTGTGATGGGAAACTAACTTTGTCTCCGGCTGTTGAGTTGGCTGCCCGGCGTCTGACTGTCTCAGATGCTGAGGCTTTGCTTTGGCCTGGATAAAGACTTTAGACGGAGGTGCTGCTTCTGGAGGGCTTCTGCTTCGGTCTCTCCTGGCTCCCAGGCTGCTCAGCATGCCAACGGCTTCCTGGAATAAAAATCGCACACATTAGAAAAACAGACTTTCCATGCGAGGCCTACTTTACTGCGTCTTGTCTTGTTTCCTGTTTCCGCACATCCAGATCAGTTTGCAAAAGACTACAAACCTGCGCCTGAGCAACAGCAGCTCGCACTCGGTCCTGCATGGCGGTGGCATGGAGGTACTGGATGGGAGAGTTCTTCTGACTCGTCGATATCATCACCTGCAGGTCCTGCTCCTCTGTGACCACCTGACCCTCCAGCTGTAGACCGCGGGAAATGATGGCCTGCAGAAATAAATGGTGTTATTAAGGTTTCTGTACCAGAAGACATACAGCAGGACAACGTTTTTAAGCTGTGATTCCTTGTACCCTGGCTCGTGGGTCTTGGCCCTGCTGCTTCTTCTGCCGGTCTGCGGCCCTCAGCAGCTGGTAGAGCTCCCTGGCCTCGGTTTCCCAGAGAAGGAGTTCAGCCAGTCGACTGTTGAGTCCAGACACACTGTGCTGCAGCTCGGCACACACCTGTTCTGCCTCAAACAAGGTCTGCATCACCTGGTGACAATAAGACAATGTTTACACATCAGCACATACGCTTACAAATGCAAATGGCTATTTGGTTGGGGAAAAATTGAAACACCACAAGAGGTATTTTCTACCATCAAACTATGTAACTCCTGACCTTTGTACAGGAAGAACAGCTGAAACATCAAACACTAAATCTGAACAATAATATCAATGTCAATTGTAACAATACTTTCTCAATAGTTTGTGTGATAACAGTTTTAGTATCCTGTTATTTCAATTTTATGCGCAAAACTTCATTATCATGTCCAAGATTTCAATTTCAGGTGCAATAAATATTACGTGTAATATTTCAATTTCATGTGCAATATTTTATTTTCATGTACAAAATGTTATTGTCATGTGAAATATTTCAATTTCATGTGCAATAATTATCCCTTGCAATATTTATTTCCGTTTGCAGTATTTCAGTTTCATGTGTAAAACGTTATTTTCTTGTGCAATATTTCGATTTAATTTGCAAAATGTCATTATTGCCAATATTACTTTCGTATCATAGACAATATCACTGTTTACTTTTCCATTCTAGTCCTATTTATATTTATTTTTAGTAATGTATTGTACTGCTTTTCTACAAGCATTTATTCTCATGTTATTTCACTTTTTTCCTGAGCGATATTTGGCAGAAGAATTTCCTTCCAGTTCAATAAAGTTCTATCTCATCTTAAAACACAACAAAATGAATTATAACAAACATGCGTTAAAAAGAAGAGAAACCGTTCATACTTCAGGTATGGCCAGCTTCAGCTTCTGTAACTGATCCACTGTGCTTTCTGGGGACGGAGCCAGAGCCTCCAGGTCCACCTCTTTGATCTTCCTCATTATGAACTGCAGAGCGGAAAGTTCAGGAGAGGCGCACTGGTCATTGACAGAACGTGAAAGCAGAAACGTGTGTCTCCTGATTGCACCGTTCCCACCTGTAATCGCTTCCTGTAGGTGCGTAGAGGACCCGCCATCGCCTCCAGAGGCTCTTTGAGAATCAGAGTGGCTTCTCGGATCAGAGCTTGGAGGTCCTGTGGGTGCGTCTGGACGTCTGCGCCGGCCTCCAACATGCTTTCCTGCAAAAAAAAAAAAAAAGTCAAGATGTTAGATTTGACAAGAAATAAACAATTACAAGACCTGCATTTACTTCTAATTGCTGGTAATAAATAGCATCACTTGTTCCCCGTCGGGTTTCACAGCCGCTCGTCCCGTTTCACAGGCGATTCATTGTTGTATTTGTAACTCTAATATGCAACCCGAGACACCAATCAGCTATAATTTATTGTTCTCAAGGCTTCACAATTACCCGCAGACAAAACGTGAAGGTGGAACACTAATTTCAAACCTGAAGCCACTCCTTAGTTTTAATGTGTGGGAATCCTTTTCACAGCAGGGTTCGATCGCAGCTTTGATTTAAACTATTAACCCTTTGAGCACTGGGCGAGTGAATCTGCTACCTTTACTCTTAAGCTCTTTGTCATTATAGGAGCTTCTTTGTTGTTTTTTACATCTTCCATTGTTTGATTATAATAAAACTTGCACAGTTTTTTAGATTAGTCTTTAAATCAAAGAAGAAAACATCTGGTAAAATCTAGTTTCGATGTTTTTTCTTACAGGCATGTCACCATAAACAACTGGCAATAGAGATATTTTTTAAAATTGTGTTGGGAAATTGGTAAAAAATTGTGTTTTGTGCTGAAATAAACATTATTGTATTAACTGGGGTGTTCACACAGAGTAGGTGACTAGCAGAGGTGGAAAAATGGGTAAATGTTTGGTTAAAAAAGCTTAAAAGTAGTGAAGTTTCTCCGAATATATCCCTTGGACTCATATCTGTTGCATTGCGTAAACATATGAACAGATTCATGCAATAACAAGTTTATGAGTAATCTGAACAAGAATAACAGGAGATGAGCTTCACGCAGGATGTCATTTCTTTATCAGAAAGACAAGCAACCATCATTTTATGGAAAGGTCAAGTTGTGCTTCAAAAAAAACACTTTGCAATAAATATCTCAGGAGAAGGAACGTGAATTTGGACGTAAGAGTTTGAGAGTTGCGTTACCAAAATCGCGGCTGTCGCTAGTTTCTGTCAAATAAACACAGAAGAAACAGATACCTACTCAGCAGAGCTCTACTAATTAGTCTTAAACCCACAGTAACTTATCAGAGGTGAATCCCGAAGTGAAACGACGGCTTCACACCTTCGACGTGCGCGGAACAATTTGACAGAACGGCGTCTGGTTTCTCAGGTCTTTCTCGTTCGTTAACTCACAAACGTGTTCCTCTTGACGAACTCGGCCCAGCTCATGTTGAGCCGCCGCAGCTCCTCGGCGAGGCTCCGGCTCGTCTGCGGGTCCGTCGACTCGATCAGGAAGGTGCCCACCTCGTTCAGGTGGGCCTGCCGGGAGCCCCACTCGGCCACCGACTCGGATGTCACCTTCACAAAAACACACGAATGCAGAAATATTAACCGCAGGCAGAATATTTAGACACGTTTAAAATGTGAGAGCTGCAAACGATTGGAGTCGTCCTGGTTTTAAAACACAAACTAGGCTTTTTGGAACTTTTTGATATTATTAGATATCATCATATGTAAAGGTGAGCCTCAGAAAAACTTATTTTTAATAGTAATTTGGGCGACGGGCCCTTTAAATAGTCCAGGAACAACTATATTATAATTTTGAGGGTTTTAATGCGTGAACTGAATGACATATGCATCGATCCAGATCATTTTTTACTTGTTTTTTAAAAAATATTTTTAAGTATTTCACAAAAAAAATTTGATGCAGGGATCCCGAATCATTCAAACTAAACAACACTGACTGACAGCTTTTATTTTGAAGGACTAAAAATCCACACTGTAGTCTGAAAACCTGACAAATAACAATAAAAGTGAAGGTTTGTAAACAAAAGCCTAATGTGAGCTCAAATTTCGACAGCCATGTTTATTTTTGTGTTTGTTGAATCTCCTTTTTTGGGACCAGTTTGAATTGTAGGAAATGCATCAAATATTATTTTAGCAGACGTGTTTATAAACATCTGCACCAATATTTTTCAGGATTAATCTCTCTGGTAGTGTTCTGTCTTACAGGTAAAAGAAAGCAACTCTGATTCTAATTTTCTGAGCGATGAGAGACGAGTGGAAGCAGCTGGTTTGTGCAGTGAGCGTGATAAATGTGTATTCTAGGCGCTGGTCGGACCTCTGGCCGGTGTCCGTGCCGGTGCGTTGCAGATCCCTGCTCCAGCCAGGCCTGCAGGGAGCTCAGGCAGTCGCTGTACGAGTCCCAGGCCGACAGGACCCGACCCATGGCGGTTTTTGAAGCGCTCACTTCCGCCAGTGTGGCAGCGCTTTCCTCCTCCAGCTGCTTGGCCTGCTGGCTGACCTGGTGGTAGTCGGCAGCTGAGGGACGAAACGGCAGCATCAGTCGCTCAGAGTCCTTAAAGACGAACCTTTAAATGCATTCATCACATCTGCTGTGAAGGGAACGCTCACCGAGGGCTGATTTGCTGGAATACTTTTCAGAGATCTGCTTCAGCTTACGGAGGGCTGCTTCCAACAACGAAGGAAGCTCCTGTGTGTTTACAATCTCCTGTATTAAAAAAACAACAGTAGAGAGAACATTTTAAACAAAAAGGTTAAAAAAAAAATTGGGAATAATGGACATCCTGACTATCTTATCAGATCCTGCAAATGCTATTTCCTCATCAGTTTGGCTGATATGTGCAAAATTATAGATAATATGTTTTTCACAAATGCAGTCATGGCAACCTTTTTCCTTCCTATAATAACATTTTGCATCATTTCTCGTGAAACAAACATGAAGAGGTGATGTCTGTCGATGTGTTTTGATGTAGAAAGATGACAGCTTTACCACATAAAACATCATGAACTGTCCAGGTGAAGCTGTAAGAAGGAAAAGCTTCATAATATCGTGTCTGTTGCATTCATGCTGTGTAGAGTTCTTAATTGTTTTGTTCACCAAACCTTTCAGAGTCTTTCATTTCTCTGCGCATACGCTGCTACAGCTATGATTCTTTATTCATGTCTTTATATTTTTCTTGTTTATACGCTGCAGGACTTTGCAGAAACAGCATTTTAATTTCTCTGTACGTGCCGCGCATGTAGTAGAGATATTAACAATAAATTCTGATAACACAGAGTAAAGCCACAAACAATATGATGTACACAACGCATTTCTTTGTTTTGCTCTTTTTAAATCTGTTCTTCACGTCTTCACACATCGACAAAGAACTTTAAGGGATTTCTTAAAGTTCACAGGAGTTCGAGGCTTAACGGTGGAAGAGTCGGTCACATTCACATGTGGTTCAGGAGATATGATGAGCGGATTATTTTCATCCTTCTGCACCTTGTTTACATCACATACTGTGTAAACTCGTACATTCTCAGAGGATTAATTTGCACATTCCTGCACACGAAGAGGATTTTTGTTGTGACTCATAATCCCTTGATTGCACTTGTTGATAATTGGACTTGTAGCGCTGCTTTCTATTTGTCTCTGTAACACCTGCTGTCGACCAACACTTCATGAATCTACAAGCTACTCTTTACTGATACGCACTAAAATAATAATAATAATAAAACTGTTTTTTCTACTATTTCTACAAATGTTAATGGACGCAAACTGTACAAATGTGTCCAGAGTCAAGCCATAATGAAAACGTGAACATTAAAGCACAGTTTATAGAGAGAATTATTATTATTATTGGCACATTTCAGGTTATTTACTAAATATATTTTGTACATTTGCACATTTCTCAAGAAAATAACTTGCTCATTCCTCCATAATCCTAATATTTTTATTACTTTTTATTACCTAAAATTCCTGGGATTTGCTTTGCTGTTTGTTTGACTTGCAACAGCTTTTTTTCTTTTAAAAATATATATATATATATTTTTTTTATCCTAAAGCACCAAATTATCATGTTAAATTCCTAACATGTAAAAATCTTCTTGGCAATAAGTCTGAATCTGTTTTTCATACATCCTCTGGACTACAAGCTACAATATTAGCTGCATCATGGTTAGCATGTAGCATGTAGCATGAGTTTCCAGACTTGTGTGGGCGAATATTAATAAACACGCAGGACAGCCAGGAAGCTCAGAAACTGCAGCAGGAGGACGAGCTACTGGTGAGCAGTTAAAATAAACCATTAGAGCCAGTATCTCAGTGACTTAAGATTCAATTTAGCATGTTAGCATTAGCTTTAGCATGTTACTCCGCAACTGTAGCAACTCTATTGGCATGCTAACACATGTAAACACGCAAAATCGCCAGTGTTGGGATAAATATTAAAATAAGAGAGGGAAGAATATTATTGATTGACACTTGATCAATAACAGAATAACAGTGTAGTTAAAAACTGTTATATTTGGAACCTCATCGCCTGCCTGATGTTTTTTTTCCACTACAGTATCATACGATGAATTGTGCATATTTAGCATTTTTAGTGGTCTTTGCATAGTCAGACTATTCGCCACAGTGCTGCAGAACAGTCTGACTGCACCTTATTATCATTCTGCTGCATTCTGGCTTGTTTTTGATGTCTTTAACCCAATTGCAATCGTCTTGGGCGTTGCTAAGCTCGGGATGCAGTGATGTTGCCCCAATGAAATAGTGATCGGGAATTGTTTTGCATGCAGGGAGGTGATAGCTGATATTAGAATGGCTAATTCACTGAAAGAACCAAGCAGGGCTGCCTTACTGCACAAGTCATAATAAAACTTGCTGTTTTAAGCGTAAAAGGTTGCCGCTCAGAGGTCGTTTTTGTCTGTTGACGGGGATTTCAAAAAATATAAGAGGTATACAGTGGAAGGAGAGTAGAAAGCATGGTGGGAATGACAGATTTAGAAAGAGAAAGTCTGCATCCAGTGAGTCTAGGAGCACTTGATGAAATGTAAGGGACCACCTAAGTGATTAAAAAAAACACCCTTTGGGCTGCAATCAACCAACATTAAATTGCTTTCTCCCAATAATCAAACCATGTGAGGAGCATCAACAAGCCACTCCATTCAAACCCCTCCCAGTTATTAAGGTGTACTCCGAAGATGCCAAACCTAAACGAGGATTACTCACATGCCATTCCTGCAGCAACACCCTCACAGCCTCCGGGGAGATGTACGGTCTTTTCCAGACCCGGAGCTTGGTCCTGATCTGCCCCAACAGATCCAGAACCGTGTGCCGGTGCTCGCGGTACTCCAGCTTGATGCCGTGGTATTTGGCAGTCACTCTAACGCTGGTGAACCTGGTCCACGGAGGGTTAAAAACGTCAGTATTTAGGCTTACACAGTGCCAAAAAGCAACTTTATTGGACAGCATCAATCATAATTTGATGCACATTGTAAGTGTTGCGTCTGTAGCTGTTCAAGATGTTTATCTGTGCATCTGGAACTGTCTAAAACATGAGCAGCTTCAGGTCAAATAGGGAATTAACTCACACCCTGTGGTAGCAGCAAATACAGTTTTTAAAAGTCCTTTTAAAAGTAAAAACGACAACATCTGAATCATTTTGGACAATCTTCAATCAAGTTTGAGTCTCTGCTCATCATCTATAGAAAGATGTTCCACCATGCTAGATGTATCTCCAACAACTGTCTCCTCTGTTCACTGTTTCTGAGCCATGCTGCATTTATTTATTGATCCAACAGGTTTGAATTTACTCCCAGTCTGTCTATGGAGACACTGCCTGCAGTTCAGCCAAATAGCTGCTGAACATTTGCCACTCGTAGTTGAGTCAGTCGTGCTGATTTTTGGCTTTTTTTGGCAGATTTTTAGATGATAAACATAGAAAAAAAAGTGATTTTGACAAAACATGACATCCTTAAGTTTGGATTTGCTTAATGTTTTAGATAAAACTAGTTCAAGGACCAAAACAAAGTTGATTCACGTGTTATGATTCTTTCTGTTTTTATAGTTTCTGGCTGAAAAATGGTGTCATCTCGCCAATGCTTCTCTCTGTTTTTAAAAAAAATACATATATATATACAGAAACATGTCTTATAAACCCACCAGAGGATTCAACTGCACGTCTCTTAACGACACATCACGAAACATGTAGCCTGACAAAGAACCCACCTCCTCTTGAGTTCGTCCATCTTGTCGGTAGGAACCATCATGTTTCCATCTTCGTCCATGTTCTGGAAGGTCTGGAAGGTCTTCACCTGCTGCGGCATCTCCTCCAAACAAACCTGCAATAAACAGGGAACACAACAAAAATCTGTATTTCAAGTGTTCTGTACAGTTATTTCCCTGAGCAGACGGGAAAACTGCCCGGTTTTGATGAAGAACGCTGCACATTTTGCAGGACAGATGTTTACTCTGAGCAGCTCTTGCTTCTCCTTGGCGTCGTAGGCAGCTCGGCCGTGGTCCTGAGGGTCTCCTTCCTCTTCGCTCAGAGCTCCTTCTGTTCGTAGCAGCCAGCGAGCCACGGCGTCCAGGGGGGCAGGAAGACTCATGTCCAGCCCGATTTTGTATTCGCGGATCTAAACAGAAACGCAAGTCTCACGTCAGTGAGAGTAAAATATTTGCAGAAACAAGCGTGCACAGAGAAATATTAATAAATCAGATGCAGCTCCCACCTGACTCCCTCAGAATCAGCTGATGTTTTCATGCACAATAACTCGAGTGTATTTGAGGAAGCCGTGCAAAATTTCCCTGTCACACTATAAATACTACAGGTCCTTGAAGTGGACACGGGAGGGTCCAAAATCTCAGGCTGTTTACTTTTTTAAAATTCTGAGCCTCAGAACTTCACTAGACACATGACAGGATGAAAAACACATCTGAGTTCTGGTACAAACTGACACCAGATCAGTTCTACATCCATCCAGGTGTCACAGTCTGAACACTGAATCTGGTTTTTGATCATTTTTTTATAAAACCAACTTTGAGCGTCAATATTATAGGAAGTACAGTTTCATGTCAGAAAGGGACAAAACTGCCCCAAAGACACATAAAACAATCAAAACGTCGCACTAAAGGACAAGAACAAGACACATAAGAAGGAAAACAAGAGACAAAATCACACAAAACAAGACAAATGAGACACAAAATGTCAGAAAACAATAAAAATGAGACACAAAACAGGATAAAGGAGACCCAAAATGGCAAAAATGACCAAAAAAAAGACCACAACAAGAAACAAACTGCCCCAAAGACGCATAAAACAATCAAAACGTCGCACAAACAACAAAAACGAGACACAAAACTACAAAAACGAGACACAAAACAGGATGACAGAGACGCGAAATGGCAAAAACGACAAAAATGATCAAAAAAATGACCACAATGAGAAACAAACTGCCCCAAAGTCACGTACAACAGTCTGAATGTCGCACAAAATGAAAAAAATTAGACATAAAACAAGAAAAATAAGACACAAAATGTCAGAAAACAAGAAAAACGAGACACAAAACAGGATAAAAGAGACGCAAAACAAAGAAACTGACCCAAAGACGCACAAAATATCACAAAACTGACACAAATGACAGAAGGGGGACAAAAAATGACCAAGCAGATCAGTTTTAAATCCATCCAGGTGTCACAGTCTGAACACTGGATCTGGTTTGTGTTCATGTCTTCTGTAGCATCAGTATTATGGGATGTATCGTCGTGTGAACAGTCAGACTGCAGCAGCTTAATCATAGAAACCAGCTGGCCTCTATCTGCTGCACTCATCAAGTTATGAGGCTCAAAAACACTGGAAAAAGTCCATTAAAGTGATAAATCTGAAACGCTATGAATATTCACAGTATGAAGGTAAAACTTCACAAGGCTTCATTAAATACACTAAAGTTACCGTAGAAAAACAATCAGCTGGTTCTGAGGACGTCTGTTTCTATATATAACTAATATATGAACGTATTTACAATTTGGGGAAACTTAACCACAACCCTGTTTATGAAACAAGTCGCTACCCTGCAGTAAATGTAAATACAAACACAATGCGACGCTCTTAAGTCTCGTGTTAATTCAAACTCTTTACAATATTTTTACATCGTTAAAATTATTTGTCCAACTCTAAAAAAAAAAAACTCAGCTTCTTACTGATCTGCTGCCAACGAAACTCATCAGTTACGTTCCACCAAGTGGTTTTTTTTTTGTCAGCACTAAACAGCTTTTGGTTTCTTATCGTCTCTTTTTCACTGTTTGAAACACATCGCTGGGATCAAACTCTAAAAAAACATTCAAATTTCTGAGAATAGACACTTGATATGTTGTCTGTGGATTATTTCCTGTTTAACAAAAGCTTTAAATTGTTTCTCTTACAATTAAAACCAAATTTGTTTGACAAAGACATAACTGAAATGTGTGAAAGGTTTCGGTGTGTTTGTGTAAAACTGTGTCAGGAGAACGGTTTCATTGAGGGGTCCGACCTTCTCGGTGAGGGCGTCCCAGGCCTCCCTGAGCGCTCGCTGCTCGTCGCTCAGCTTCGGCGTCCGTCGCATGGCCGTCAGCAGAGGCATGATGGGCCGCCGCTGCTCGTTGAAGGACACCAGGAAGGTCTGGAACACCTGGAGGGAGGACAGCACCCAGGTGAGGTCGGCTCAGATGGCACAACGCTCCCATCGTGACTACTTTCTACCAAACATACGTGGTATCTCTCTGAGTAACTCTCCCCCTCGGTGGAGTCCCATCCCTCCAGCAGCTCGTCGTAGGCCTGGACCAGCCAACACGTCACCTCCTGAGCTTTGCGATCAGGAGTCGCCTGGAGACACGGAAAATAAAATAACTGTTACGCTCTGAAGATGATTAAACAACTCAACCTACAAATACTGGAAAAAAACGGTGGTTCCACTTGTTGTAGATTTCTTATTTCTATGTTTAAAGTCTCTACAAACATCAGATGTAGAAAGATGTTCCACCATCAGCTGGATGTATCTCCAACAACTGGCTCCTCTGTTCTCTGGTTCTGATCCATGCTGCATTTATTTATTGATCCAGTAGGTTTTTATTTTCCTCTCATTCTCTCTGTGGAAACACTGGCTGCTGTTTAACTGAATATTTGTTGAATTTTTGTCAAGTGCTGACTAAGTCATGACATCTAAGTTAAGCTGAGGAGCCCTGAATTCTTTATTTTTGGCCCATTTTTGAGTGAGGAATAACGTGATGTTGATGCTATATCACAAGTTTAAGCTGAGATTTGGTTTATTTACGGATTTCCGAATTTAGTTTTTTTCTGTTTTTGCAGTTTTTTGGCCGGAAAATTGTCATTTTGCCATTTTTCTACAGAAAACACGTCTCTCAAACCAAGCAGAGGGTTAAGATGAGTTGCCTGCTGAAGACTGAAGATAAAAGGTCTTGAATGTAAGCTGATACATGCGGTTGCCAGAAGATAAAGATTGGTTTTCTCTTTCTAGGATTATGAAATGTAAACATGTAAACAATTTCTTGTAAAAACGATGTCAACACAGACAACAGTCCGAAGAAGCCGAGCAGAAAGTTTCCCTGCAAGCCACGGCTGAGTAAAGAGCTCTTTTTGTAGAAGTATTAAGGCTTATTTGTTCCTCTTTTACGCACTACGTAGAGCAAGAGACGCTATTTTTAAACTCACTTACTCCTGCAGCACAAACACGATCTCAAAGTGGATTAAAAACTCGAATGTCTGCAGCAGCTGCACACAAACGTGCTGATGTGTCGTCAGAAACCTGAGCTCACAGCTGCTTTGTTGCCCGTCGTGAGCTGCGCGACAGGAGCTGCGATTGCAGTCGCCCCATGAGAACTTTACGCCGAGCGACACGCCCTCGCTGCGGCTTTGGACGCTTTCCCAGGAGAACATGGCAAACTAGTTCGCCGCTGCGTGATCGGTCCTGCTGTGATCTGAAGGTAATCTTGGCTTTGAGCGACCGAGTTTTGAAACAGATAAACAACCGGCCCGACGTGTCTTTACGAAACGTCGGCGGTGCAGCGCGGAGCTGCTCGTGGGCTGATTTACGCCGGCAGACGTGACAGTAATGAGGCGGAGGAGCTGCAAACCAACCAGCCAGAGGGGATTTAAACAAACCGAACAGAGGCAGAAACACACGAGCTGCTTAGAAAACCGTAAAGCAGCAAGAAAACTGATTGACGTGAAATTATTCTTTGTAAACCAAGATTTGGTTTCTGAGACGATTATTTTAGGATATCAATCATAAAATGCACTTTTTCAGTTCGTTTTAGTGCATCTATGTGCTGCAGCCTCATGAAACTGAGATCATCTTCATGCATTTCTCACCAAAAAGTCTTCTTAATCCTCTTTTTTATTGCATGCACAAACAATTTTGCACCTTTATTGCAAACATCAGCGCCGTATTCCTTCGATCAGCCTGATTGGCTCGTTAATTCGACTCCAACTTTGTGCAAATGTGCTTTTTTTTTTTTATTCCGAGGCGTCCCTGAGTCTGTGCAGGTTAGTACGAGGTGAGAAAGGTGAAGATGAGCAACGGCTTCGGCTACCTGTCGAAGAGGTGAAGCAGAAATGGCAGGAGTGTAGTGGACAGGCAGGTTGATGGGAGAAGGAGTTTTAGGAGGAGTCAGGTATTGTGTCTGGGAGGAGAAAAGAGGAGGAGAAGAAGAAGAAGAAGAAGAAGAAGAGCAACAGGAGGCAAAGAAAGTGGAGAAAAATCAAGCAAAAAAGCCAGTTAAAACTTTTAGATGCAGCAGAAACACTGGATTACTGCACGATATCAGAGAAAACTGACGTAAATAACTGCATCTGAAAAGAAGAAATCTTTCTAGAAATTAAATAAATATGTTTAAAAAGCCTTTATCGTGTCGAAGGCATCTAAAATAGTTTGCTTGACCTTCATATTTGGCTTTGAAGTCAACAAACGGAGCTTTATTGTGCAGGTATAAATGGTCAAATCAATCATTTCCTCAGTAGACGTTGGTGAACATCGTCTTTAAGTGGCTGAAATATTTAAGTGATTTGTTTTTGCAACCAAATCGTTCTGTCTTTTCTGTGCACGTGTGGAGGCTGGATGTCAACAAACGCTTCGTCTTCTAAATCGCAGTAAATTAATTTCTGGGACTTCTCTTGAAGATCAGTGAAGTTTCTTTCCATATCAAACCAACACAAAGCTGCAGAGTGACATGTTTGATGCTGGAGCGACTCATCCTGCTGCTTTTTACTGAACCAAACGGTCGATATTTTAACCAAACAGGCTCTGCAGGCTGGAGATTCATTTCGCTGTGGCCTCGGCTGACATAAATGAATCCCAGATTTGTCTGCATGTCCGTGTGTTTACGTTGATGTGTTCAAAACAAACATGACGTAATAAGACAGCCTCCAGTGTTTGCTCATGGTTCAGAACAAGACATTAACTGTACGGCTGGAAAACATGCTGCTGCTGGTGACCAGATTTAAAGGTTTCCTGCCTGAACATGAGCACACAAGGCACATAATAACGTTAACTGTATAGCCACATCAGAGGGGCAATTAAAGGGACCCACAGACTGTTTTTTTTAGATATCTAGATTAAATCCTGAGTGTATGTTGTGAAACATGTAAACAAAGTCGCACCGTGTTCTTCGAGTGTTGAAAATGAAAGTCATACGAACCTGCATCTCCTCCTCGGCCGCCGGCAGGTCTCTGGAGTACTGCAGGAACTGGGCCACGTAGGTCATGATGGACTTCTCGTCCGGGTCTCGGACGTCCACATCTGCATCGACATCACAACCCTCCATGATCACAGCCTCATGACTCAAGACTCAGCACACATGAGCGAGAGAGGGCAGGTGGAGCTCCGATTAAAAAAGGAATCCGAGGAATGGAGGTGTAACTTTTTGTTTTGCGCCTTTAAAGCCGAGCGGGGCAGGGCAGAGGCGGAAAAACAAACCGGGGTTTTATAAACAACACGCCGAGGCCAAGAAGCGGCGAGCGAGTCAGCAGACCAGGTCGCTTCGTCATCGCTCGCGCCCTCGAGGCTTCGACTCACAAAGATCCACATTTAGTCCCAAGACTCAAAGCAGTTAATAGGATCAAAAATCAGGAAGAGGGAGTGGATTTTACAAAACCAACAAGCACAATATAACTTCTGTTTCTGAGCCACGCTGCATTTATTTATTGATCCAGGATTTTATTTTCCTCTTTGCAGTCTCCCGGAAACACTGCCTGTAGTTCAACCAAATAATACACTGAACATACATACTGGATTTTTGAGTAAGTCATGGCATCTAAGTTAAGCTAAAAGACCCAGAATTCTTTATTTTTGGATGAGATTTGCTCCTCTGGTCACTGTTTCTGAGCCATGCTGCATTGATCCAGGAGGTTGGATTTTCCTCTAAAATTGTTCAGAATTATTTGAAACTTATCCAACGTCACATTAAATTGTCCAAATTGACTCAAAACTTTTCCAAACTAACTCACGAATCGTCCAGAATAATTTGAAAATCGTATAAAATGACTTTAAACTTGTTCAAAATGACTGAAAATTTGTTCAAAATGACAGCTGTTGAGTCACTTTGAGCAGGTTAAACAGTTCCTCCACACCTGCTGCCATAAAGTCTTATTAGGATGCATGACGGATAAAAAAAATAAAAATAAAAAGATTATCAGAACATCAGTAATTTATGCTTTTAACGTCTGATAGAATAGAAAAACTTACTCAACCTCCCAAGACGGCTTTTTTGGACGAACACCTTAAGAAGGATTCAGAATATTAGATTTATTGCGGATATTTTAAAGACATTAACGGACAATTAGTTTAATGTCTAACTGACTCCACTTTAGTCTGTAGATGAAATAACAAGGAGATTAAATGTAAAATCGTTTTTTAATCATCGGTCATGAAAGCAGCGCTGGCGAGGAAACCTAAACAAGTTCTGACTTAATCTTATTTTTAAGTTTTTTAATGTGTACAATGCAGGAAAAACATGCCACCCCTGGCGTCTCCGTCTGTTTTGCACAAAGAGCTGCAGGTCTGTCAGCGAGGCGTGGCTGAGCTAACCGTACGGCAGACGGGACGGAGCTGCAGGGTTTTAACGGAGGCGTGGTCGTGTTTATTTGCGCTTTAGAAAGTCACCGGCGTGAAACAATAAAAAAGAAAAAAAAGATTTCACTCCCGTGATTCACCGCTGTGTTGTGCCGCTCCCTCCAGTCATCTGTCTCGGTAATTAATCCAACGAGGAAACAAACCAACAAATCCCACACCTTTAAAAATGCTCTAATTACATACAAATGACAGGGATTTTCTGGTCCGATCTGAGGCGTCACAAAGAGAACCTGCTGCAGGACGTTGTTGACGTGAAGTTCAAAGAGTTTTCTGAATCGTTAATCAGCAGCGTTATCGATGAGTAATGGGTTAATGAAGAACATAAACTGAGCACAGTGGACGTTTACACTTCGCTGATTTTGGTAACAAACACATGATTCAAAACTTGTCCAAAACACGTTAAACCTCCCACAATGCTCTCTGCTGCCAACATGAACTTCCTGTAGTCTGAGTGTCGCCTCCTCTGGTCTCTACGGTATTAAACAGGAAGAGACTCCACCTGGTGGAACAACCAGGTACTGCAGCTGATCTGCAACACATTTTCTAACATGCATGTAGAGAATACAGATGTTCTCTGTCTTTTCCAGCTTGTGGTGCCTCAGTACATCCTAAACTCTACCACTACTGTTCCACCGGAGCTTTACAACAAGGTTCCTGAACACCTACAGAACATTAAGGAACAGCTTGGATGCAGAAATGCTTTTTTTTTTTTTTAATGCCCTGTCGACTACATACATTGGACTGCTTTTAATAACTTTAAGGATGTAAATGTAGGAGAACGTTATCGGATTGAGACTTGGTATGTGCAGATAATAAATATTAAATGAGTTGAATTGGATCACAGGCGTAAAATTTGATCAGGACATCCCCTATTAACGTTTAGTGAATTATATTACTGTCAAAACAAAACCGCTGTAGACACTAAAGTTATCAGACTACACATGAAATTGGAATTTAAACAGTAAAGTCCAAAGTTAACTGTGTTCACTGACATCTACGAGGGGCAAAAGTCGTAATAAAGTGTATTTCTGAGCTAAAGTTTGTGTCCTCACCGTCAGGCTCCAGCAGTTTGGGGATCCTCAGCTCCTTCTCTGCGATGCGGAAAGCCTCCTCCAGGTTCTGCTTATTGCTCCTGGTTCTGGCTTTGGACAGATCGACCAGGTCGGGCCGCAGAGCGTACAGGATGGCCAGGAAGACCACGCCGCTCCTCCAGCTCGCCTTGAAGTCTTTCACAGTTATCGTGCAGCCAGCTCTGGAGAAAACAAATCACTCTTTATTAATGTTATTGTAATTATCATGCTGCGATTGGTACGTCTTTGAAACAATCGCTGCTCAGAAAATTCTGAAACGTTAAAAACCTACAATTTCAGATTAAGAACAAGGAACCAGAAAGTCTAAACGCAATTACGGTTTTTAAAAAAGATGATTAACAGACAAAATATAGGCTAACAACGGTATTTTAGTAAAGTCAAAAAATAATTTAAAAGCATTTTTGCACAAAAAATCCACAACATTTAGAAAAAAAAGTGACATACTATTTGTTCTTTAAATAAAACTGGTTTACTTATATACACAGGTGATACCAGTGTCATGCTCCAGACTCTATATCGACATTTATGCTAAATCAAAATAGAGTGAAAAATAAAATAAATGGAGATATTCATGCCTTATGGGGAATTGCAGCGTTGCAGCAACAATTTTAGTATCACAAAACTCACATTATTTACACTGAGATGACACGAGTTAGATAAGAAAAACACTATATACACGTGTATGAAAACTACTGTGTTGATAAATATATTGAAAATAAGATTTAGAAATAAAATAAGACGAGAGCTGCATAAAATAAATACTGGTAGAGATGTTCACTGTTTTTCAGTGTAATCTTCATGTTGCTCTATGACCCAAGACAAACTAAACGAACATAAGGCCCTTTTGTGAGGAAATACATCAGGCCCTACGTCACACACTTGGCCCACTACCAGAGGTTTTTCAGCGATTTGGCAAAATATTCAACTCTAACAATCAGCTTGTGTCAGTGCAACCCTTTGTGAACCCCATTCAGATGAGCCGGTGCTTACTTGTGGCACTGCTCGCGGACCCAGAGCAGCAGAGCCTTCTTGGCCGAGACCCTGAAGCGATTATGCAGCGGCGAAGCTCTGGGAGGAACCGGGCTGCTGCTGGCCGAGCGACTCGACAGGGTGGAGCGAGTGTCCAGGCTGGCCAGAGACTCCATGGACGACTGGCGGGAGTCGAACGAGAGGCAGCTGGCCAGCTCCTCGATCTGGGGAAACCGGACGCCAGTTAGGGTTGAACGTTTAAGGCATTTATATTTGGAGGTACAAAGCAAACACATGAACTAAACTGGAGAAATATGGTGTCTACAGAGAGTTTCTCCTTCTTGATACTTTTCAATGTTGGACAACGGTTTGAATTAATTTGACTTTTTGGACAAGAATTTACAAAAAACAAACTCTTTAATGCCAAAGTGAAAACATATTTCTAGAAGGTAATGCTTGACGCTGCCACCACCGTGCTTCACGTCACGATGCTGCCACCACCGTGCTTCACGTCACGATGCTGCCACCACCGTGCTTCACGTCACGATGCTGCCACCACCGTGCTTCACGTCACGATGCTGCCACTGCCGTGCTTCATGTCATGATGCTGCCACCACCGTGCTTCACAGTGTAGATGGTGCGTTTCAGATGAAGTGCAGTGTTTGGCATCACCTCTGATGACCAAAAAGCTCCTTTTTGGTCTCATCAGAATACGGTGAACCTTCTTCCAGTTGGCTTCAGTCTTCCACACAGGCTTCTGATGAACTCTGGTCTAGATTTTTGTCAACAGTGGCTTTCTTTCTGTAAGTGACTCTCGCTTCATATGACAGAATCGTACTTTTTGTAAATTCTTGTCCAAAAGGCCAAGTTGTATTGACCATGACTCAATGCTAATAAGCAGTAAGAGACCTTCAAAGGGGGTATTTGTGTTCACTCTTTTAGGAATCTTTTGCCCTGTTGTTTCACACAAAATCCCCAAATGCTGGAAGCATATGACTCATAAAATGTCAGATGAATCGCATCTAAATCATGAGCAATTTGTATCTGTGAAACCAATTTGCAACTCGTATCAAGGTTTGCAAGTAACTTCAGCGTTTTCAGTGGGAATCAGTGTGTGACTCTCCACTGATATTTGAAGGTTGTTTTGAAAGTGGTCTGGTGTTCTATTTTCAGGTCCGTGTCAGAAAACTTCCTTCCGATTAAAGGCGATAGCCGTCACAGTCAATGACATGACAAATGACAATCAATAGCATACCAGCTGACTAAGCTGTTAGCTAGTACCTTGCTCACGACTTGACCTTTCATTTCCCACTATAGTGTTTGTGAGGTCATGTAATGTTAATCTTTTTTGTTGTTTTTTTAAAGGAAAGTAAACTTACGTGATACTGAAGAATGATTGTCCATATGAGGCCCAGGATGATGGACGGTTTGCCATCGATGATGTCAGGAATGTTTATGTTGACTAGTTTGATCTGGAGAGAAAAAAACCGAAAGCATTTTAGACTTTCACAACGTCTTTACTGAGACATTATAAAGAAAACAAACTCTCAGCTCTCTGAAATACTCACTGCAATATAAAGTCCTGCATCTCTATGGAAACATCAAAAAAAGACATGTTCTATATGGAATTGATCAGCTATGTGACTTGTTCTTCTTACATTTTTACAGCCTCCACAAGCCTTTTCTCTATTCTGCACCTTTGTACAATGCTGAATATATCTTTTGTTTTTGTTTTGTTGTTTTAATCTGTCCAAAGTACAACAGAATTATCAAAAATTGACTCAAGAATTGCCCACAATAACTCTAAAACTGTACAAAATTAGTTGAAACTTGTCCAAAATGACCCAAAATGTGTTTAAATTACAATTTTTGATGGATTTTTGACAGTTTTTCTTGTTATTTTGAACAAATTTGAGTCTCGGGGGTAAAGAATAGAATTAGAATAGAATAAAACTTTGTTGATCCCTTCGGTACAAGACCTCAGGGAAATTGAAAGGGGAAATGAAGAAAAAATGTCTCCTCACACTGTAGATATTGAACTATCGCCATGTTTTAGCCTCTACAGCCTTCTCCTCTCTACTCTGCTCATCATCTGTAGAAAGATGTTCCACCATCATCTATAGAAAGATGTTCCACCATCAGCTGTAGAAAGATGTTCCACCATCATCTATAGAAAGATGTTCCACCATCAGATGTAGAAAGATGTTCCATCATGCTGGATGTATCTCCAACAACTGTCTCCTCTGTTCTCTGGTTCTGATCCATGCTGCATTTATTTATTGATCCAGTAGGTTGGATTTTCCTCTCAGTATCTGCTTTGTGGAAACACTGCCTGCAGTTTAACCAAAAACCTCAGAATATTTGTCACGTATTTGTTGGTTATAGTTGTTTTTTTTTTTGTACTGAATCTGGTGCAAATTTCTGCACCAAATTTCTAAATTAGACACATTGAATAAAGGGATTTTAATGAAATATCACAATTTTAAGCTTAAATTTGGTTAATTTTCCCAATGAAACCATCACAAACATGGACGGACCATCAGAATTTACTGTTTTTACGGTTTCTAGCTCTGATAAATTGAGCAATTTTGGTGATTTTCTTTTCAGATTTCTTTTCTTTTAAACCCGTTTGTAGGTTTTGGAGGTTTTTAGGGTTAAAAAATTCATTATTCTCCCTAAAAACTTGAGTGACGAGATAAATTAACCACCAAATGAATGCCAAAATCCACCATCTGATGCAGCAATCATTCAGCAGTATCTGTGTTTGTGTATTTCACTTTTAACTTAAACTTTCACTTTTTCACTCAATAAACAGCAGGTGTCTTTTACCGATTTCTTCTTCAGAAACGACAGCGCTTTCTCAATGTTGCTCCGGTGCTGAAACATTCCTCGGCCTCTCTCCCGACTCTGAAAAACACAACCGGTCGGTCGGATCACAACGTTTACCGGTTTAAACACGTCAAAGTGAAGAACAGAGGTAAGACTCACGATCCGCTGGCCGCTCATCACCTCCAGCAGGTCCAACAGTTTGGCGCCATCGCGGAAGTCATTGAACAGATCCGCGATCATACATGGCGGCCTCCTCTGTCACAACACACACATTTTATTTACATTAGTTATTATTGTTGTTGGTTACTAGTCATTAATGTGTCAGTACGCTGAAGCCCTTTCTGATTTCTGCACGGGTACATTTAAGGAAGCAGACAAGGTTTGAATGCGTATTTTTGAAGTATTGCATTAAAAAAGCAGTAAAATTTGAAAAAAACAACTTCACTAAAATGCAGTTCTTCTTTTATTCCCGTAACATTTGTTAAAACCTGCAGCTGTTTGTGCTTCGCCCAGGTACACTTCAGATGTTTTTATGTATATTTTGCATATCTGTGGTACGTATCGCATCAGAAAAAGTTCATTTAAATGTTGAAAGTTGAAAAAAATATGCTTATTATTCAAATATTTTACCAAAAATATATATTTTTACTGCAACGTGAGCACATAACTGTCACACTTTTACACATAAACCTGAAACTTGGTACAAATGCAGACATTTTAAGTTTCAAAATGAACACTGTACATCATCTCAAACAGGCCATCTCTATTGTGAAGTACGGCGGCGGCAGCATCATGATGAGAAGTGTTTTTGTTATTAATGTTTTAGGAAGATGGATGTAAAACAACCAAAAAATTGAGATGTGTTAATAACAGAAACCCTGAGTGCAACATGTACATATAGTAGTTTTACATATAAACTTGAAACTTGAGCTTTTTTTGTTGAATACAGTTTAGAAAGTTTGATTTAAAACAAAAAATACAATTCAAAGGGTCCATAATAGAGACATGACTGCAACATGTGTGCATGCAGCTTCAGTACTTTTACATATAAACCCGAAACTTGTTGAAAACACAGAGATTTAAAGAGTTTGTTTATTAATATTTTAGAAAGTTTGGTGCAAAATATAAACATGAATATACATAATGTAAAGCATTTTGGCAAAACAGGTCAAGCTCACCAGAATTTTGAACAATTTCAGGGTCAAAAACATGAGGAACGCTTGTACGACATTCGTCAACACGTGCGACAAACTTCTTTCTGATGAATTTGAGGCGTTAAAAAGTTTTTTCAGCTGGTAATAAATAAGCCGCTGCCACTCGGGCCTTGTGACCTGCAGTCTAAATCAGTTAATCCAACCCTGCATGTGTGGCAGCGGGGGCTAAAAGCAGGACTGTTCGTCAGGTCCTGAGAAGATGACATTTAGAAGAAGGGACATCTCGGGCACATAATGATGGCTGTTGTGTTTTAATTCGATACGACAGGTCATAAGCTAATGACTGGATCCCACAAACAGCAACTAAAAGCAGGAGGGAATCGATTTAACGCGATACAAAGTGAATGTCAACACGCCACGATATGATTCACGTCCTCCAAAGCGTTGACAACATCGACTTTAGTAACACGTGAGATTACAGGGCGGCGATTCATGTGGTCTTTCTAAGAAAATCCTGTAACTTTATTTTATTCATGTAACCCTGTTCTGAGTCTGATCTGGGTAAATAAGCACTAAATAAAGAGGATGCACGATATTAGATTAGAAGTTTACATCCACTGTATAAAAAGACAGAAAATCTGTTTTTTTTCTCACCGTCTGACATTAAATCAGACTAAACTCTTCCTGTTTGGGGTCAGTCAGGATTACCAACATTATTTCTATTTGCTAAACGTCAGAATAATGTCTTTTTTTTATACACGTAGTAGTGCAGCAATAGTGTATGTAGACTTTTAGTTTCAACTGTATCTGCAGACTCTCACATTGATGTAGGTTTTTGGTATATTTTAAAAAAAGTCTTGCGACCTCAGAGCTGCTAAACACTCAAAACAACCAGAATGGTTTCTTAAAAACCCTGCAGGAAAGTTCATCAGTGAGACTCATTCAATGCACATTTAACCCTGCAGGGATCATCAGCAAGAAAAAGAAAGAAAGAAAGAAAGAAAGAAAGAAAGAAAGAAAGAAAGAAAGAATTGTGAATATATTCTGCAGTCGAAAATGTGATTATTATTTAAGATGTTGTTTGTACAGTTGAAGGAAAGTTAAATTTACTCACAAATATACAAATTAAGGCTGTAAAAGCAACATATAAACGAAAGAATGACTTTAAAATTAAAAACAGAGTGAACATTAGAGTATTATCTGGTTTTTGAAGCATTCATTTACTGATGTAATCATTACAGATGTCGTAATAAACTCGGTTTTAGTTCCTGCTTTGGGTCCAAACTTTAAGTTGCAACATCTCCTGATGGAAAACAGAAAAGTTTAAGATCTTTAACGGATTAAAACAGAATAAACAGCTAATGAACAGGGTTGGAAAGACGAGTCGTCGTAATAGTCGACGACAACTACAAGAGCAGTCGACCCGGCTGATTTTTCCTACAATTTAAGGCTAAATTATTGAAAGAACTGTTGTTTTTGTGGCATCGCTGTTCATCATCCAGTCGTCCTGTTTCCGGCGCCTCCTGACTCGAACGATGATTGTTTTTACTTGAACTCTCTGAGGCGACCACGACGTCTATAAATCATTCATTCAAAGGGCTTCGAACAAACATCCTGCACGACATCTAGCAGCACATAAACGCGGTCTCTGTACAGCTAATAGCACGTTTTCTGCTTGCAGTTCTGCAGTTTTGTTTGTCAATCTGAAGACTCATCGATTGAATTTGATTTGTGTTGGTTCTTTAGTCGTCCAAATCCTCAAAATAAACACGAGAGACTCATTCAGTGAGTATAAATGAACGTGCATTTTCCTCCTGAGGGCTTTTCTTATATTATTTACGACAACAAAAAGCCTAAATGGAGGCTGATTGTTGTGTTTCATCCAGTCCTCCGGAGCAAACAGTTTCCATGTGACCAGAGGTTGTGTTGTAATGTGAGCTCTAATGTGAGGAACCACTAGAAGGATTATCAATTATCTCCACCATCCAGTTCTCTGGCAGCCGCGGCTGGACGTCCGGTGGGTGGATTTGGTGGGTGGATTTGGTGGGTGTGGTTGGCGTCGTGGCCTTCTGTCACTGTCTGTCTGATGTGAACTCTGCTCCTCGGCGCTATATTTATGTCCACAAGCACCTCACGGCTGACCTCGGACAGAGCCGACTGCTGACTCGTGCTGGAGGACGCTTCTGAAGTTACGTCGTCTCATTTCGGTAAATGTTGGATTTTCTGTAAACACGAAGAGCTCCAGACGGCGTGGTATCAATCCACCTGATGCCAAGATTTACAGTGACTTCACACTTAATGTCTGCACAAGCATTTAATCAGAAACAAGATTATTTTGTGATTATTTTCCTGGAGAACATGGAGACTCCATGCAGAAAGATCCCGGGTGTCCTCACCGGGACGCGAACCAGCAACCTTCGAGCTGCGAGGCGACGGTGCTAACCACCGAGCCACCCTGCAGCCCCGTCCTCTAAATTATAAAACCTAATTCAGCCCATTAAGATCACACTTTTTCAATCCTTAAGACTATTCTTTTGCCAGATGTTGCCCAGAAACTGACATTTCATAGCATTAGTACACATTAAATAATGAAGCTAACAATAATAACAATAAAACATTTGTGCAACTATGACAAAGGACTTTTTTCGCAATCGAACAAGCACAGATGTATAATAAATAAAGCTGCTTCTGTGCTGCTTCCAGACTGACTTCTTTGTTTTTAGTTGCACCAACATATAACTGAGGTGCACTAAAAATGTTGTATTGCTCCTTTTGTTGCTCAATAACCCGTTTCGAGCGTTTCATGTTTTGTCAGTTCCTTCACAAGTTGGTCATTTTCTAAACTCAGTAAATGAGCTGTGGAGAACTATGAGATTCATTTTACATAAGATCGATCCGGAGCTTAGTCACAGGCCGCTCTTCTTTGGTTATACTAAGTTTTTGTGATTATTTCCGGCCTCCTCGGGACCAGCTCCTTTGAGATTTGGTCTTGATTTAACGTCTCGATTTGCTACGTCGACACTGACAGTAAAAAGCTCTGTTCCCGGTCTCACTTCGGCTCTAATCTTTGCTGTAATGCCACGAGTTTATATATTTAGTTCAAATGTGCAGCTAAAATACCAAGCATCAAGTGGTTCCTTTGGCCTTTCTAGTCCTCAGGTTTGCTCCGGTTTCACATTTAAAATGTGACCAAGACAAACGTGTGAGTCGGTTATTCGTAGATTCACTGTCGAGCTGCTGAAACGAAAACCTGAGGAACCAACTTAATAGTGTAAACGTTTGATCAGTTAAAGCTGTTTTATCTGATTTAGAATTTAAAAAAAACGTGTACCTGGACAGTTTTACGTGTCTTTTATTTGAGCTGATTTATTACCGGCTCTTTGTTTGAATTAGTTTTATGGCTTGTGCAGCTACAGATCAACAACTGCTGCCGTACGTCGAATTTGCGACGCTAATGTAGACAAATTCTTCAGCGCGTTGGTGTGTTTACCACAAAGAAAGAAAGCGGCTTAAACTCCTCATAAATCAGAGCCTCACCTTTGCCAGCTGAGCGTTGACCCAGTTAGTGAAGGTTCTCTTCTGAATCTGTTCTTGTTCCACTGTTGAAGAAGAAGAAGAAGAAGAAGAAGAAATGCACCGTCAGCTTTGAAATGAAGTTATTTCACATTCAGACATTAATCACGCAGACATTAATAAACCCGTCAGGTGGCACATAAATTATTTATAACGGAGTGAAACACGGTTGGCTCAGCTCCCGGATATTATGATCAGCAACACGTGTTCTGTTTGTCTGCTCGGGTACGTTTCCAACTCTGTCCTCTCCAGACAAATCACACGAATAACACCTAAACATGGCCGACTCCCCGCTACATGTCCCGTCTTTTAAATTTGACCACAATTTCTCGAAAACCAGAGTCTTCTTGGTTCAGACTAAACCTTTAGATGGCAGTTAAACATGTAAAAAAAAAGTAAAGACAATGAAAAATCTGTGTATTTTTCTGCGATTTCTGTCCATTGAACAATTAAAAATGTCAATTACGATCGAATAACTACAACAAATTCTCTCAGTTCTTTAGCATTTTTGTGCCAATTTTTCTTTAATGCTCGCTAAAAACTCTTTGAAGGGCAACAAATATTCAATTCAGGAAACATGTTTATTCACACGCTTCCACGTCTGCATGGAAAATACACGGAAAGCAGTCGAGAGCCTCAAAAAGCAGCTGCAGGTTTCAACGTATCGGAGTTTAATTCACAGTTTTGTAAAGCTCCTGTGAAACAAGCCGAGCGTTCGCAACGACAGCAGCAGCAGCAGCAGCAGCAGCTTCTCCTCGCCTTTAGGAAACACCCAAAGGTTTGGCTGATTGGTTCAGGCAGGATCCCAAGCAGATGTGTTCAGTGTTGCCTGAACAAGCCTCGGTGAAAAAAATCATTCGACAGGAAGAGTCCTGCAAACACCAAGGAATCCTTAAAGAAAATATACAAACAAGCGCCTCACATGAATCTGTCTTTCAGTCAGTCTAGCTGTTGTTGATTTAGGAAATTACTTTTTTTAGTTTTAGGCGCCGCTTTCGCTTTCATGTTGGTCCTTATGTACAGTCCTTGAGGCAAAATACAAATAATTGTCGAGTTTTTTTTCAGCTCATTGAACAAGTTAGTCGTGTTTTTTTGCAGCAAAAATCAGGCAGCTGGAAGCATCACTTCCCTACATTCCAGAATATCTCCAAACAGCAGATCACCGCCTGTTTTGAAAGACTGCTTCTTCTAAACTGCAGCTGCAGCATCCAGGAAGTTTTTTCTCCGGTTGCAGCTGCACGACTGAACGAAGCTCCCAGAAAAACTGAAGCCAAAACATCTCAGTCGCTCCCTGGTGGCCGGTTGTTAGTTTAGGAATCCGACAGCTTTTTTTCTGAGAAGAAAACCTCTTTTAAACGTCAACGTCACAGCTGGTTACGTTCGTTTAGACCAAAATCCTGTCTGAGGTTAATATTCGATTGTGTCTGATAGTCTGCGATACGTTTCCTGATCTGCAAAATAGTTTGAGTTCTTTCGCCTGCAAGAGATTTGAAATGTAATTGGAATGCAGTTTGACGAAGATGAGGTGAACACAATGACCTTGGCTTATCCGCGACTACGTGGTGCAATTCAAAAGCTGCCACAAGTCAGGAGGCCACGTGATGCTGTGTTATCACCGTAAGGACATGAGTTTGAGGTGTTTCTGTGACCGCCGTTTGGTGCACATTTGCAATTTCAAACTTTTACATCAGTCAGCATCTAGAAGCTTCATGTGGAGGATCGTCATGCTGACCAGAGGAAGGTCTGCAGCTACCATCAGGAGAAGAAACAGCAGCTGTTCTTTTTCGTACGGTGGACAGGATCCTGCTGGCTGTTTTCTTCAACATTCACTGGGTGGTGCAACGTGGATTGGTCTCCGATCTTCGGACATTTATTGCAGAATTTTACTGTAATGTCCTAAAACATATTGGAAGGTGACTATTCGGTGCAAACTAACTGAACTGAACAATTTTGGGCCACAAAAATGAAGTTGTGCCTTTCCACCCACCCTACTTACTAGATTTGGAACCCTGTGAAGACGTCCTTCTTCCCTAAAAGGAAATGTAAGTTGACGGTTTTGAGATCCAGCACTCCTCACAGGTAGTGCAGGACTTGTTCACATAATGGGACTTCCCGTGAGCATTACAAGTGTTGCAGGAGCCCTAGGAGCAGAGCAGCACTGCACAGGAACGGCGGGCCAATTTTAAATTCGGTGAGTTTTTAGATTTTCACTCTTAACTATTTGATTGCAACGCATTCACGTCTCGAAATATTGCATCTCTGTCTGCCAACATGGTGAAAATGCACATAAATATACCTTTGTTGCATGTATACATTTAAATTGTGTACAACAGTGGATTGTTTTCACATTTTGAATGTACAATACACTAGTGCATGAAAAAGTTAAATATTTTCCATGCGTTATTTATGAAAGTAAAGCTTTAATATAGTCTAGACTCAGTACACGGATGCAGTAATTTGTGGTGAAGGAGCCGCAACCATAGCATAAAAAGCAACTTACTTTACATTTCTGTATTGTAAATCCTTGTTTTTTTATTGATCTTAGGAAAGATTCTAATAATTTGAGATGCTGGGTTTTTTAAATTTTAACGAGCTACGAGCCAGCATCAGCGAAATTAAACCAAATAAAGGCTTGAAAACATATTTAACTTTACATGTAATGAGCCTAGAATGTGTTAAATGTTCACCTTCTCAAAAAACTGATGGAAAATATTGAACTTTTTCATCATTTTCTAAGTATCTGAGATGCACTGTGCTGCTGTTCTGCACGGTAAATTTGTGTAATTTCACAAGAAGCTAACAAAGAGTATGCAGAATCAATAAGGATCGGTTATTTTTCTTTTGAGATTGAATTTGTAAACCTCAAGGGAAGTATGCGACACGTGCAGCGAGAGGTCAGTAAATTGGCCAAAACTCACCATTATACGGCTCAATGAAGTCATTCAGGTCAGTGGCAGTATGAAGAGTCTCACATATAATCCAGTCCTCGCTCTCCATTAGCTTTATAACCTAGTCAGAGCTTTCTATATCTACAAGGATGTCAGAGTATATCTCTAAAACTTGTCTATCCTTCAGTAAACATCTTCAAACTTCTAATTTAGTAGTCGCAAGGTGCAAAAACTGCCACAGAACTTACAAAAATTCAATTTACAAGCTAGAAATAGTGATATATCCCACATATTCCGATCATTTTGCAGCTGCTTCATTGTCCAGATTTTACCAAAACAATCATCTACAATGTCCCAGTCCTTCCTCCGGCTCTCCCTCAAGCCGTCTGGTCCTCTGAGATGCATTAACGAACCGCTTACGGACTATTTTCTGCCTTAATATCTTCCGCAGCAGGCCACCGCCGCCGTCTATTCTTAATCGCAGGAAGCCCCCACGACTGCTCACATTTCTGATCATAATTAATCTGCTGCGATCAAACGAAGACACCTGAGAAGAGGCAGCGATCAGTTTTTTTGTGGCAGCTCCTCCGAGTTGTTCAACATCTGGATATGAAGCACAGCAAGCTTTGAATCAAACCAAAAATGACCTGAAGTTTTTTAAGCGTTCCCAGCTGGCACGTCAAGAGGACGAGGAAACTGGAGAGTTGTGACACACTTGAGTGTTTGCCAGAAGAATTATTTTAAACTTCAGAGTGTGAATAGCAGAATGAGATGCAAAAAGGAGCGTTTATAAGTGTTGGCAAATTACCATACAGTAGTTTTAAAAGCTGCGATAAAGCCCTGAAATCAATCAATGGTATCTTAATAAAAATACTGACAACTTAGAGAAGCACCAAGACCTTGTAAGCTGAGTTGTATTCATGGGTTTTGTGAATAGCTGGCAGCTCCTGGCATTACAACTGAGCTGTTTAACGCTAATAATAATGTCAGCCATCTCAATCGATAAAACAACATCAATTTGCCATGTTAAAGATGAATTGTTCATTGGTTAGTTGCATGTAATTATTGTAGGTGTAGTACCTGGTTGCGCCACCAGGTAGAGCCTCTTGCCATTTATTGAGATGGAGCTACAGGTGTGTTTGCTGACCACCCTGCTGTCTAACTGCTAACTGTGGCAGTCGTGTTGGTGAACTGTAAAAAGCTGTCCAGTTTAGCAAGCTAGCTGCGGCACATGCTAACGATACTAAGCTAAGATTTTCAGATGCTAACAGCAGAACTGAGACGCAGCAGGACTCTAAATATGAACTTCCAACAACATTAAAGCGACAAAGTGTATCGGCGATGCTGTGCTTTGAGTATAAATCCATTTCAGAGGTGGCAGTAAATACTGACAGATTTCCTGGACCGATAAAGTTGCTGCAACAGTGTTTGTGCTCGTCGGTTTCCGCTGAGCAGCTACACTAACTTTGGATTTTCTAGGAGCCAATAGCCAAAGACCAATTTTAGATAAAGTTATTCATTGTTGTTGTTTAGTTTTAGTTTATTCTAAAATTTATTCTCTTAGTTTTGTTAATCCAGTAGTCTCGCATCAACTCTGTTCTTCAAATTTGTGATGTAACCGAGTTGATTTTGTGGCCAGCATTAACAGTTTTAACAGCGTATGATTGTTGAAGAGGAAGAAAATCTTTTAAACTCTTTTTTAGGCTACCAGATTGTTAGCTGGTCAATGATCTGTTAGTTCGGTGGTTCCCAAAGTGAGATGATTTGTTCAATTAGCCTGCTAGCCTGCTTCCTATTAGTTTGTTAATAATGAAAGAAGAAAAAAAACACAAATTCAAACCCTCAAGAGAAAGACTAACTTTGAGTTCTGACTGACTTTAACTGTGATTTTGTGCAGCATTTTTAAGCAAAACTGAAAAACAACAGTTATATGTCTATGTTTATGGTGTCTGTATGGTTTACAGAATGGAACTGCTTTATCATTCTGCTCTGGGGGTAAAAAAAACACAATGATTTATTCGTATTTCTTTAAAACAACTGCAATTGCCTTGGGCACAGCTGAGTCCAGGATGCAGCAATGGTGTCCCCTCAAAAGCAGTTGTGCTAGTTCACATTTTGCACTGCAATTTAAATGACTA